CATTTGTGCAGATAATGCAGCTTGTTGAACACCATTTGTTGAAAAATTTTCTTCTGAAGTGGTTGAGTTTGGTGTGTTTTCAGATGTTGATGCAGCATGTGATGCAGAAATATTGTTTTCAATTGCTGTAACACGAGGATTAGCCTTGGTTTTTCTGGCTGGTTTTCTGGTTTTGGTTACTCTAGTTGTTGAAGAGGTTGAAGAGGTTGAAGAGGTTGAAGAGGTGTTTCTTCTATTGGAGTTTCTTGTGACAGCCATTGTTTCTAGTTGATGTTGATTTAATGATCACTTGTTTTATTTTATTCGTGGTTTTAACCTGACAGAATATCCTCTACTGTGTGTATATAAGGTAATTCCGATGTTCTATTAATATACATATAATGTTACAATTAGTGGATTCTTGATTCTTCTTATAGTTGATGTGAAATGTTGAGTATTGATGAATTGTGCATAATTGGTTATTCTGGTTATGTAATACCTGACAAGTTCCGCGAAGAAAATCTTGAATCAAGGAAAAAATCCAAAAACCACAAACTTCAATTTTAAAACATTAACCAGCCCCATCACTGAAGGTATTAAGGAAACGGAAAGGTCACACTACTTCATCAAATGTCGACCTCTTTCAGCTTTGCCAATAAGGAGAATGCTACCCATATTTCTCGAGGTGCACCAAAGACACCGTTGAATTCCAAATCCATCATTTTCAAAAACAACAACAATAATAACAACAATCCAAAAAAAATCCCAGTTTTAAAAGATGGTTTCAAGACCCCTAATAATAATGTTGAACAGAGAAACCAAAAGAGAATTCCATTAGGTGGGAAAGACAAGAATGCTCATAATAATTCATTAAAGATCAGCGCAGGTTCGTTGAATGATCATAGTAGCAAAGGAGGTTTAACATCATCTGCTGCTAAAAGAAGAATAAGAAGATTGAGAACACCACTAAGTAATATGCCAGCCACAAAGAAGCTGAGTGTGCTGAGAGATGATGAAGCAACTGAAGTTGAGCCACCAAAGACATTTGATCCAATAGATTTTGATGATGAAATTGAATATGTTCCTGAAAAAGAACCACCATTACCTTATGCACCATTGAACTATGAACCATTCACTGAAGAGGAGTTGGATAATTTGAAAAACAATACTAATCCAAGATTATTTGATTGCAGAGATGAGATAACACCCTTAACTGAGGAGGAAATTTATGAAGAATATCCAATCAGTTTTGATGAATCTGATAATGACTCTGATACTCATTCCATTATAAGTGAGAAGTCAATTCCACATTATATGGAACCAACTTTTGTTTCAAGTGCTAGAGCTAGAGCTAACAAAAAAGTTGAAGTTTATGATGAAGGTTTATCAATCGCTGAATTGCAACGCATTATTGATGAGGAATGAAAAAGAACAACAAAACATGTACAATACACTAGGGGGTTTTATAATGGGGACTATTACGTTTAATTATTGGCTTAATGATTATTTTTTTTGAAAAATATATACAAAATTGATCACCTCTTTTTATTATGGGTTATTTGGTTTTATTTTTATACAAGTTGTCATCACTGTAGTCATTAAAAGAAAAATTATCATAGTAGAAGACCTCATTGTTGTGCACAACCAGGACCTTCATCTTCGGCATAATAATTATTCTCATCATCCTCCACATATTCTGGTAGGTTATCATAGTGTATCACTTTGAAATCAACAATATCAACATTGTTGATTGAAATGTCTTCATCAATGATTTTTTCTGAAGAACCTGGTAATATACTTAAAACTTTTTGTAATTCAGCCTTTTCCGTGAACCAATTATCAGGTGGGAATTCCACAACAACTTTTAGATATAGATCACCTCTCTTTGAACTGTTTTTAATTGGGAAACCTTCACCTTCAATTTTCAAGAAATCATTAGGTCTTAGCACTTTACCAGTTGGAGTGGAGATTTTCAATAATCTGTCATCAAGATGTTTCAATATTATCTTATCTTTGAAACCACATAATGATTCAGCTAATGATATAGTAAGATCAGCATATAGATCATTTTTCATTCTTTCAAATGTTTCATTTGTAGATTTTTCATGAATTGTCAATATGACATCACCAGCTTCTTTACCATAAGCTTCATCACTTTCATTCTTCAACACTATAGAATCACCAAAGCTTGAACCTTTCTCTATAACAAATTCCAATATTTTAGTTTCTTCTTCAGTTGTTTTACCATCACATTTCTTACATTTATCCTTGGATCTATAAATCACACCTTTACCTTTACAAGTTGTACAATCCACATAATCCTGAGTAACCATACCAGGACCAACTCTTCTAATCTTTCTAACGTAGCCTTCACCTTTACAAACACCACATTGTTTAGTCTTTGCATTAGCCTTGACACCTAACCCTTTACACAATGCACATAATATATTTCTTGTTGATGTGATCTTTACAGTTTTCCCATTGTATAGATCAGCCAAAGTGACATTAATATCTAGTTTAGCATCCTCAGTCTTTGTAGCACGTTGTCTCGCATGAGCACCTGGATGGCCACCAGCACCTCCATTGAAGAAACTAAAGAAATCTTCAGGTCCGAAACCAGGAACGTCATCATATCCATAACTATTGCCTCCAAACCCATTAGATGAAGGACCATTAGCATCACCGTATTGATCAAAATTTGATCTTTTGGTATCATCAATTAGGATCTCATATGCAGCTGAGATTTCCTTGAATTTAATCTCTGATTCTTCTCTTTGGTCTTCTGGTACTTTATCTGGATGATGTGATAATGCTAATTTTCTGTATGCTTTTTTGATTTCAATTGAAGTTGCTGAGCGATCGACTCCCAAGATATCGTATGGGTCTGACACTGGTGTTATTTGTTAGTTCAAGTTCTGATATTGGCATTGTAATGGTACTTACTCTTTTCCCTTAGTATGTAGTTGGATTGTATTAGCTTGAGAATGCTGCACAAAACTTGAGCTTATAATTTTTTTTTCTAGTCGACATGAGATCCACAGAGCTCATCACTAGAGAAAGATCCGATGCTGACAATTACGCAATTACGCTTGTGAGATTTTCGCTGGAGTTATTTTTCTAGGCTTAGATCGCGAGACACAGAGGGAACCATCTCCGCCTAATAGAAATCCTGGAGAAGGAGACCGAGAAATACTACAGCGTAATTATCAGAACACTAGTCAAGTATAACCTCCATCAACTAATATCAAAGATCTATTCATATCTATACTACTTCATTATAGTTGTAAGCCATTAAATACGCTCTTAACCCTTCTCCATTTTCATCCTCAACACCATCTTTATTCACTTCTCCAACACCCAATTCAATTGTCTCCAGTACCTTGAATCCAAAATGTTCATATACTTCTTTAGCATGATCATTAACTGCAATCAAACAAGCTGGTAATCCTTCTTTCACTGCTTTCTCTAAAAATGGCTTAACAACTGCACTGATAGCACCTTTAGTCGTTTTGGCAGGATCTCTTGCTAGGAAATTCAGTTCCCAATGATCTTTATCTTTGAAATATTTTTCTTCAGCAGCACTAAATTTCGTTACAACTTCTTTCACTCTATGATTTCTATCCCCTTGGAACCCTTGTTCACAGCTGAACCCAGGTGGTAGCCAAACAGCCACAGCACTGAAATCACCGGCCTGGGCAACTTGAGCTCCAGCTTCTAACACTTGTTTCACTCTTGCTGTTACACGTTCAACATCTTCTTCAAATGTTCTATCGTATGTGATCCATTGTTGGAAAACCATCGTGTCAAATGAAGTGGCTACCACCCTCCCTGCTCGTTCATAGTTTGTTGTTAGTGAATATTCAACCATTGTGTGTCAATTGAATCTGTGGTGTAATTGTGGTTGCAATTAGTTGTGTAAAGATGGTGTCAAATTCTCGAGGAAACAGATACGCTTTTATAGTTTGCCGATGCCAACGGAGAACATGAGAATGATGAGCAGATGCATCAAGTTTTGGAATTTGCAAAGTTTAGACAAATAATTAGTTTCCAAGTAAAATAATAGGCAATTGACAATTCTAATTTGATTCTAACCCATAAATTCCTAGAATTTAGCCAAAAGGCAAATGAAATGGACAGTCATTCAAGTTTGATGACATTTCATGAGCCGCATTATACGTCGTTTGGAAGTTCAATCCCAATAGCATTAAACTCAACGATCATTGTCAATGGAAAGAAGTCTGGTATGAACTCTATGAAAGATTGGCTGAAACGGTAAAAGCTTGGGTTTAAATGCAAAAAGGTTGACGTTTAGATATATGGGTTGTATTGATCGCTACATCCAGTATCTCTACGCGGAAAGTCCACAAACTAGACCCTTGGTAAAAAGGCTTAAGGCTATGTTACATAGTCAATTCATTCAACTAGTTAATGTCTCAACAATCATTGTATTATTCTGCATCAGTTTCAGCTTCATAAGTTATAGATCATATAATAAACTTCCATTCCTTCACCATTTGGATCTGGTTTATTTTCAGCATCAACTTCACCTTCACCAACTCTTAAAACTTCAACTGTTTTGAAACCCCAATGCTCATAAACTTGCTTAGCTCTATCACCAACAGCTTCAAGTGCAAATGGGATTCCTTTCTTCTTTGCATCTTCCATAAAAGGTCTAACAACAGCACTCACGGCACCTTTAGTATCACTGGATGGATCCCTTGCCAAATAAGACAAATACCAAAATTTTTGTTTACCCAAGTATTTCTCAGCTGCATCATCAAACAACTGTTTGACTTTCTTCATACGACCTTGTGAATCATCTCTATATGAATTGATAAATTTTTCAGGACCTGACAAAATCGCAACAGCACTAAAATCACTAGATTGAACAACATAACCTCCATTTTCCAAATAACGTTCAACTGTTTCCACAAAAGCATCATAACATTCTTCTCTATCAACCTTCCCTTCGCATAAATAGTGATCAAATTTCATTGGTAAGAAAGCATCGGTTAGGATACTAGCCACTCTTTCGACATCATTAGTATGCTCGTATGGTAGCATTTTTTCATATCCGAACAATTATGTCAGCTATAATTGTAGTAATAATTCATAGTCTGATACTGTTTTTACTAAAGGATGAGAGATACTATTTATACACGGGTTCTAAGCGTACAACATGGCACCAACCTTATTAATTAATGGCGCTTGACTATTCTGGAAGGTGCACCAAAAAAAAATGACAGGTTCTAGATTCCTCGGGGATTTTAAGCGCGATAAGATAAAGAAATTTCAGTATGAGGAAATGGGACATAAAGAACCTGTCAGAGCAAGGGCAAACCGTTGAAGAAGTTGTGTGTATTTGATGGGGTAGGATGGGCTCTGTGGAGCGAATAGGGGAATTGATCTTATAAAAGAATAACATTGACTTGGTTGAAAGTTAATAGCTTAGCTTTCTGGATCAAGATAGAGGCCGCGGCCAGCTCAACAGTTGTCAAACTCCTGAAGATCTTGAAGCGTTTCAGTATTCGTTTGCCTGATCCAGCTCGATCCTGGTTTTATTCCTAAACTGGATCACGCGTATTGTCTTCCTTGAGAAGAGCAGAAATCATATAACTGGGGATAGCACAGGTATAACGCTATAACCTTGAATTGGGTCAACCGTTGGAGCTACACTGTTTGTTGCATCAAGATGACCAGTATAAACTTTTCAAGACTTTATTCATTCAGTTCCATCATGCACCAATAAAATGAAGGGCTTGAAGTAATCCCATTTGTTCTCAAATCAAGATCACTTCTTCAATAGAAAGACATCGTCTTTACTTTGAACTGTTCACTTTCCCTAAACGTATCAAAATGCTATCAGCTTCCAGTTTGAAGTTAAACATTCTAAGGACATTTGGCCATAAAACAATTGTTCGGACGTTATAATTCTTTGCTGAGCTTTAGAGCTCAAGTCAAGAGTCAAGAGTCAAGGCCCAAGGAGCCGATTGTTCTATTCTCATATCATCCAAACCAACCTTAAAACACCAAGATGAGAAAATCCAGCCAATGGAAGATTCATAATATCTGAATCATAGTTTAGAAAGCCTTAAAGAAACAGTTTTTGGTAGCTTTAGGAAATTAGCCCCAACAGGTATGTAGCACTTGTCAATACAGTATCAAACTCATCCAGAAACGATTGAAACTAAGCCGAAAAGAGAGCGCATCTGGTACCTAGTTGTTTAATTGTACCCTACCACTGTAAGGTCCCTGGATGCTGTAACGATTCAAACCCCCATATGAGCTAGTTCCTAGATCTTGAAAACGTTAGAACAATCTGAGATCTGGTAACTTCAACTAATACCTAAGATTATCTGTTCTTCCGTTGAAGATCCTTTAACTTCTGTGATCTTTTTCTACCCAACTTATAGCTTGTTTCCATTGGCGAACCGTTCATTACAGCCTTTTTTTCCTTCAATCTGAGTTGGTGATCCACCAGATCTCATCTTAAACGACCCATTCGTAACTATATTCAACCCACATGAGCTAGCTTTGGAGCTTCGTAAACTGGTCAACGTAGTCAATGTTCTAGTTCCTAGATCTTAAAGTTTTCGAAAAGCTTAAAACAAAAACCCGTTCATGTGTAAACGGCCGGCGATTCAACATCGGTGAAACCTGTTTCGACTAATTCTCCTTTATCAACGTTTGAATTGTATTCTGTAGGCTCAAATAATCGCCATAGATTCAAGGTGAGCAAGATTGAACGGCTGATGAGAAGATACCTTGTTTGCGTTTTTGGCACTCAAAAATGTCTACGCTAGAAGCTCGACGCGATGGTGTTTTTTTTTCAAAACATCAACAAAAAAATGTTTGGTCCATCGAATTAACACAACTAACCTACACTCGAATCAACAAACATCATGGGTACACTTGAGGTCTATACGCTCAATGCGAGTGTGGTATCATAAACAAGTTGCCATGGCTTAACAGAAGGTTGAACTGTACCGGTTGAGGTGGTCAAACGTTGTTGTTAGTTGGAATGTTGAAACTTGATGGAACAAGAATTGGGTATAAATATTGAGAAGAAGGCCTCTATTTCGAGCTCAAACGTAATTTGTTTCATTCAATATCAATATAGATAAAAATGATTTTTTCGAAAGCTTTACTTTCATCAATAGCCCTAGCTTCAACATTAGTGACATCTGTTGCTGCTTCTTTTGACGCGGCCTCTAACAAAAACGTCGTTGTCTACTGGGGTCAAGCTTCTGCCCAATCTCAAGAAGATTTATCATATTATTGTGATTCAGATGATGTTGATATTATTGTTGCTTCATTCATGATTTCATTCCCTGGTACAGATAACATCCCTGGTTTGAACTTTGCTGGTAATTGTAATGATCAATTCTCAAACGGATTATTGAACTGTCCAAAGATTGGTCAAGATATTAAATACTGCCAATCTAAGGGTAAAAAAGTTTTGTTATCATTAGGTGGTGCTGTTGGTACTTATGGTTTTACTAATGATCAAGAAGCAGAAAGCTTTGCTGACGTTTTATGGAATATGTTCCTTGAAGGTACCAGTGACACAAGACCATTTGGTGATGCTGTTATTGATGGTATTGACTTTGATATTGAAAATGCTAACCCAACAGGTTATGCTGCACTTGGTAAGAAATTAAGAGAATATTTCGCAAAAGGTTCAAAAGACTATTACTTATCAGCTGCACCACAATGTGTTTATCCAGATGCTGGTGTTTATGAATTACTTGAACAAGTTGATATGGATTTCATCTTCATTCAATTCTACAACAATTATTGTAATGTTGATAAAAGCTTCAACTGGGATACATGGACTAATTATGCTGCCACTATTTCACCAAATAAAAATGTCAAATTATACGTGGGAATTCCAGGTGCTCCAAGCGCTGCTGGAAGTGGTTATTTGGATATTTCAGTTGTCCAATCAACTATCGACTCCATTGGAAATGATGATGCATTTGGTGGTATTATGATGTGGGATGCTTCTCAATGTTTCTTGAATGTTTTGAGTGATGGAAGAACTTATGTTCAAGCCATCAAAGATGTTCTTGAATCGATTGATGTGACTGGAACCACAACTACCAGCTCATCTACTACAACGCTATCACGCGCTTCTTCAACCACTACAGCTTCATCATCAACCACTACAGTGTCACCAAGCACAACATCTATAGTTCAAAGCAGTTCCACTTCAAAGGAAATTCCAGCTGAATCAACTGAATCAACTACCACCACTTCTTCCCTCCCAGCAACCACATTATCGAGTGTTTTAACTTCAACCGTTAAGGCTACAACTTCTTCAACTTCGTCAAATCCGTCAGCAACAACCTCTGCTTCACAAGATTGTTCTTCATTATCAGGCTCAGCTAAAGTTGAATGTCTAAACAACAACTATTCAAATGGTAAATATGATGGTAATACGGGCTCTTGTACTACAGGTGATGTTGCATGTGACAAGAATGGTGGATATGCCTTGTGTAACTTTGGCTCTTGGGTTTCTTTAGGATGTGGTGCTGGTACAACTTGTTATGCTTATTTACAAGGTGATAACGTTGTTACTGGTTGTAATTGGCCTCTCAAATGAAATACCTTCTTGAAAGAACTATTAATAGTTCATTAATAAATGTGATACCCTTTATAAATTTTTGTAATTCCATGTAGTTGTTGTGATGTAAATGTAGCTAGTTCATCTGCCATATGCACTCTATATTTGACACATAACTCTCGGTTAGAATGTGCAGATCTGGGGACAGCCAGCTGAAGGCCAACGTCCAATCAAACACAAGCTCGTGGTGAGAGAAGATTCAATCATAGTTTCGAATTTAATCAATTGAATGAACTTAACTCCTGAGTTTCATCCCAACTTCTGAAAAAGGGTTTTCATAGTTCTTAAAACCAGAATTTAAATACCGAAAGTGACACGTCCTGATTTGGCAGCCTCGTATGACAATATCCAAATTGTTCATTTTTGAAAGAGGAATTGGATTAAAACATAGAAACTTTTCAATATAAAAGGGTCAATTGATCAATTCTATTGTGATTCTCAGCTTAAGTCTATGGATTTTGTAGAAATTTGTGTGTGATTTCCAACTATTGACATATTCTTTATACTCGGCTAAGTTACCGTATATACCGCGTCTGTCCCATATATAAACAGCAATCGATCCTTAAAATTTCAAAACCTTTTCCAGGATTCTTTGAAACTAAATCTATTCTTTGTCAATTGATCACATTTTAATATTCAAGCTATAAACAATAGAAGACAATGGTCAACGGTTCCATCTTAGACTACTTCAACCCTGCAAAGAATTCAACAGTCGTTTCTCAATTTGCAGAAGCCGATAAAGAATCAAAATACTATCAGGATTATAAGGCAAACTATAATCAAAGATTAGCAAATCCTTCTTTCAGTTCACAATTCTTTGTCAATTCCAAAATTGAAGATGCTATTGAAAATGAGGCCCATAAGATTAATCAAGGTATAAAAGATGAATTCAAAGGGATTGAACTTTATAGTGCTGAATATTATTATACTTGTACACTTGGTGGTATTTTAGCTTGTGGTCCAACTCATAGTGCTGTTACTCCATTAGATCTTGTCAAATGTCGTAGACAAGTTGATGCTTCTTTATATACTTCAAATTTACAAGGTTGGAAAACAATTATCAAGACTGAAGGTTTTGGGGGTATTTTCACTGGTTTAGGTGCAACTGCTATTGGTTATTCTTTTCAAGGTGCTGGTAAATATGGTTTCTATGAATTCTTTAAAGAACAATACGCTAAAGCTGTTGGTCCTGATCTTGCTCATAACTATAGAACTACTTTATACTTAGCTGCTTCTGCCACTGCTGAATTTTTAGCTGATATTGCATTATGTCCACTTGAAGCTATCAAAGTTAAGACACAAACTACTATTCCACCTTATGCTACTGGTGTTGTTGATGGTTGGAAGAAAATCACAGCCACTGAAGGTATTGGAGGTTTATATAAAGGTTTGGTTCCATTATGGTTTAGACAAATTCCATACACCATGTGTAAATTTGCATCTTTTGAAAGAATTGTGGAATCTATTTATAAATCATTACCAAAACCAAAACACGAATACTCTAAAGTTCAACAAACTGGTGTTTCATTTGTTGGTGGTTACATTGCTGGTATCTTTTGTGCTGCTGTTTCTCATCCTGCCGATGTTATGGTTTCTAAAGTTAATAACGAAAAGAAACCAACTGAGTCTACTGGTGCCTGTGCAAAGAGAATTTATAGTAAGATTGGATTTGCTGGTCTATGGAATGGGTTACCTGTTCGTATTGTGATGATTGGTACTTTAACCGGTCTACAATGGTTGATTTATGATTCTTTCAAAGCCTATGTTGGTTTACCAACTACTGGTGGTGGTGAAGAGAAGAAATAATGAAGTATTGAAATTATCATCAAAGCTATCTTTGATTTGTGTTAAATTATGTAGAAGTGTTCAAGTTTTATCAATATGTCTTTATATTTTTAGATCAGGTAACTTTTCGTAAACAAATTTATTTCTTTGAAGAATTATACACATTCTATAATTTTTGTTCAATTCCAAACATTTTTAAACAAATCATCATCTAACGGATTTGAAGTATTTGAAAAATTACTGGTGGTATTGTAGTTGTTTGTTGGGGTTGCAGATGTAGAAGTTGCCCATTGGTTTTGAGTATTATTGTTATTATTCCATGAATTGGCAGAGCTTCCAGTATTGTTGAAATTCAACCCATTCAAACTAGCAGTAGATTGATTCTGTAATGAACTGTGTGCTGGGAAGTTTGGTGTAGAATTTGATGCAATTGGGGTAGAGTATAATGACAAAATAGATTTTTTCAAATCTGGTCTATTATTGAGAGGTCGTTGTTGAGGGTGTTGTTGTTGATTTGATCTTTGTTGTGGTGGAGGTTGGTTGAAAGTACTTGTTAATGATTCTAAAGTTGATGATGGTCTTGGTTGTGCTTGGACATATTGTGATTGTTGAGGTTGGGTTTGTTGTTGTTGTTGTTGAGCTGCTCTTGGTGCTGCAACAGGTGAGCCAAACTCCAAATCTAGTAAGTTGGAATTCAATGATCTTCTATTACTCGTGGTGTCAGATTTTGAGGTTGATTGTCTTGCAATTGGTGAAGTTTGTTGTTGAACATCATTTGAACTTGGATCAACCTTTAAAGTTGAAGGATCTGGAACTTTAGAGGAAGCAGCCCATTTCTTCATATCGTACTTTGTTCTTATGAAATTTTCAATCTTGGAATCATCAGGAACATGATTGTTATTTGGTAATTTAGCTTCCCAGAATTTGTTAGCCTTCTCATTCCCCCATTTCACAATGGATTGAATCTGTTCATCGGTCCAGGTATCCAAGTCAACAGATTTCACTCTAGAAATATGGGTACCCATGCTTCTATGGATCCCTGAGCAACGAATACATATAAAGATCCCTAAATTCCAGCTGGCCCATCTAGGGTGACTTGCAGTTTTACAATCAGCACAGTGTGAGTTACCAGGCTCTTTCAATAGCACTTTGAGGATCTGTTGGTTCTTGTCATTGGTCTTTTTTACTCTGGAGCTCATCTTAGCCACTTGGATCTCTTTTGCTCTGCAGTGGCTAGCTTTCGAGAATGCTCTTCATGTTGATGTTTTGATCAATTCGACTCTGAACTTTCGAGATCGGTGATTTCGCGAAAATGGCACTTCCGGGTAAACTGGTCGGTTGGCGCAAACCAAAGATGATGAGTTTTGAACAGGCATTTTGCAAACAACTGACTTCATAACGGGAAAGGGATAGGTAGACGGTGCTTTGGAAGGTACAAGTGGGAATATTGGTTGCTGGTTTACTATACTACCGTGTTAATTTTATTTTCAAGTGTCTTTGCGGCCTTTGTTGAATCGTTGTTTTGGAAGATCAAAGAGATTATAATTATCAAACTTCTATGTTCATATAACATTTCAAATCAAATTATAGAGCATACTATTTAAAAGAGTACATTTATGACATATTAACAAATTTGGCATATTGTTTCCTTATATTTTTTTAAAAAAACTTATCAACACTAGCATAAAATCAAACCCCATTTCATACAATATATCAACAAATATTATAACTATTCCATATGCATACAAGACGACCACATTTGGCCAGAAAAGAGAGTTCTAAGGGTGTGAGGCATTATACATTGAGTGAAATTGCCACACATGACAGAAATGATGATCTTTGGATGATTATTCACGATAAAGTTTATGATGTTACGAGCATGATTGATGAGCATCCTGGTGGAGCTGAAGTCTTATTTGAGTGTGCTGGTATGGATGCAACTGAACCATTTGATGATGTGGGCCATTCACAGGACTCTGTTAATATGTTGAAACCTTTGTTTGTTGGACTGGTTAAACAAGACAAGATTGATATTGATGTATCAGATGATGAATATGTGGATGAGTACAATAAGAAATCCCAAAATTTAAGTCTTGGTGAAAGCTTGTATTTAAAGAATTATAATAAGAACAAGAGGAGGAGAAAACAATTGACTGATAAATATTTCACGCATCTCTTGATGCTTATTGCTCTTATTGCAGGCTCGTTGTACATATACATTGAAAGAAGAAAATGGAAAGATGAATATATATAATATTAATAGTAAGATGGGATTCAATGATGATATCAGCATCATTTTCACTAGAAGTCTCATAGTATTCTATCAATGAAAGCACGATCGGGTTGGTTAATTAAATGAACATTGAGCATTAATGATAGAAAGAGTTCACATCGTACTGTAGCTAGTATCGCCTACTGACCGTAGCAGGTTCCTACGTCTAAACGCTCCCCTAGCTGCAGTTAATAAATATATTTTTTTTTCTTAGTAATTGATGTATTTGATGAACTTGGATGAGGAATGCAATTACGCACGAACCGCTTGGATTGTAGGCTTCTCGCTATGTTGGAATTCAGGCTTCCTTATAATTACTAGTGATATTATTATTTTTTTTTTTTAATGTATATCTGATGTGTATTTATAAAATGCTATATATTTGTCAATAATTATATGAATATATTGTATAATTTATAAAATGCCGGCGCTTAATAATTATATTTAAAAATATAATTATATAAATTAAATATAATATAATGCAGTAGTACAATATTTATTAATTATATTTAAAAAAAATATATATATATTATCTAATTTTAAAGACGTAATTAAGCTGGTACTACATGAGCTAGCTGCTCATGTACTATATTTAATATTATTAATATTAAAATATCATAATATTCAACGTCGGTGCTGCGTACGTGAATAATTACTTCATTCGATCATGAATATCATATTTAACATCATTAATATAAATAGTCTTATATATAATATTTAAGTACACCATGATGACGTACTGATCAATTAAGCTCCAACCTCCAGATATACTGCTAAACCATATTCAGCATCACACTCTCAACCTACCACAATCAATATTCATCCAATCCAGCCACAAACCATTGCGAAAGTTGTAGCAGCATAATAGAAACCTAGTGCAATCAAAATTTCCTCAAAATCTTCTAAACTGATTGAACAGTAACAATTCTCCATAATCAGCTTAACAAAATAACAAAATATACCATCTACAAGGCTTAATATCACCACCACTATTGTTTAACCATATGCAGCACCACACTCTCAGCCTATAACAACCAAAACCAACTCAAAATCTTCAAAACCCAACGTTTTATTCCAATTTCCAATCCTCACCATACTTAACAGAATTTAGTCACGTGAAAATGTGGCCCGTAACACCAAAAATCCACTATACAAACCTTCAATAAAACCACCATAATCAATGATATTCACCTATTTCAACACTCCAAATAACATAATTCCATCTTCTACAAATAATTGGCTTCAAAAACACATGTATTTTGGCCTCAAAATACCTATATTAACCAACTACCTTCCCCAGTAGTACTACTACCGCCAGCTGTGATCCAATCAACCAACAACAACAACAACCATGGTCCTAATAACCTGCCGCCCCCAAATAGAATACAATATTAATATTAATCATATGAAGTGGCCCCAATGATTAACTGAAGTCTTAGAGGTCTGTTAAAACATTGTGTAAAAAAATCGAAAAACATACACTTCTTCCCTGAAATTTTCAAAAAAGTTTCGCGATTGGCGTGGCTTTAACAGTGTTATTTATGTACCAATCTTTTGATTTCTGGGTCATAAAACAACGTTGAACAACAATTAGAAGGTATAAATAGTATCAAAATGACCTCAGGAGTGCGTAGAGAGCACATAGGAAGGCGCGAATTTAGGGGTTTTCTAAAAGCGGCTAAAATGACGTTAAAATGGTAGTCGTGAGAGGATTGATGTTGGACTGGATGAACTAGAATTGTGTGGAATTTTGAATGCCCTCTTCTTAACGAATTGCCAAAATTCATAAGAGATTGTAAAGTGATACAGTTGCCTGCCTCCTGTGCTTCAATCCTTAACGTTTCGATTATTGTTACGCTGTACATGCATCGGATTCGTATCTTCTCAAACTACTCAGTTTTCGCGATTCTTTCTTCATATATAGTTCAAGTGAACCGTGTAGAAATGACAGTCTGAGATCTGATAAGATCTGGGGGTGAGAAGTTATAACATATAGCCTATAGCTTCTACAAGTAAGAAATACTTTACTTCATGTGGAATTTCTCTACTTTAACCCTTTGAATACCCTAATCGATTGATTCTGTACCATTTCAACGTCCTCAACGTCCTCCTCGAGCTCATTACGTATCAGCCTTGCGATTCCTACACTTTCAAGGTCACCATGCCTGTACCGGAGACAGCACTGGTGATGGACTAAAACAAGCTGCAAACACTAGCTCAAAGCACATTCAAAGCTCACAATCAAACTCAAATAAACCATAGAAACTACACTATAACACTCCTAATAAACAAATTAAAACTGAACTAAATCTCCCTTTCTCATAACCCATCTCTTCCATAAGCTCTTACCTAATCTTATGACTCACTAAAATAAAACAAAACCCGGTACGCCCACTTCCCCAGCCTAATCTCGGCCAATCAGAGCAAACCGCCGCCAAAGGAAAAAATTTTCATTCCAAGTGACCCATACGAAATTATAAATACATTCATCTATCCTAGAACCTTTTCAACTACTTTTTCATACTATTCTCATCAAACACACACATATATTGAACACATTACTACTACTACCATACTACTTCTAAAGTTATTATCATTACCGTATTATTGTCAAGCAAGAGAGAGTCTGCTATTATCATCATTCAAAATGTGTTTATAAATTAATCCCCTTATAAAAGAGAGAGAAAGAATAAGTTTATTTTAAATTAAAAAGAGAATTAAAATAAAGAGTAAAGTTTTTATTTATTAAAAAAAAGAATTAGAAAAAAAAGCTATTAAAGTGTTTTTTTAAAAGAATATATCCCCCATCAATATGTGTCCGTGAAAAGAATTAAGAGTCCCGTCCAAAATGACGTTGTTCAACCCCCAATCAAATTATTAAGTTATTATATCAAGTTTATTATTATTATTATCATTAGATTATCATTATCCAAGTGTGTTTTTTATTAGAAAAGAAAGAAAAAGTTTAATCAAGTTATTATTATCAATATTATTACTGCCGCTATGTCATCATCAATTACTACTGCTACTACTACTTCAAGATCAACAATCGATTCAGCAAGTGCTTTATTTGAATTATTTGAAAGTTCATTAGATTCTTCTGCTCCAATGTATCAATCATTTAACCAATCCGGTGCTGGTGCCTCAGGCCCAATCACTCAAGATTTTGAATTGGCTTCAAAACCAAGACAAGTTTTGGGTGAATCTGTTTTCAACCATTTTGTTAAATCTCAAGAATTGAATTCAGAATTCCCATTAGGTTTGGATAAAATTGAAGTTCCAGAATTATCTCCATCAATTGGTACTGTTACTCCATTACAATTACATTCTTCAATTGTGGAGTCTGTTTTTTCACCTTCAATTGAAAATTCTTCTCCAATGTTTGATGATGTTGAATTGGATACAGAAAACTGGACTTCTTTATTTGAACCAAATGAATTGGAAATCCCACCTGTTGTTGCTGCTGCTACTACTGAAATCGAACAAGAATCAACTCCTATCCCAGAAGTTGAATCATCATCATCAACTCCAGCTCCTCCACAATTCAAACGTTCTTCAAGTGAAGCTGAATTAGATTTCACTTCATCCAAAAGACAATGCTCTTCATCCCCTTCTATAGAGACTGATCATTTAGGTGTTGTTGCTTACAACCGTAAACAACGTTCTGCTCCATTATCACCAATTGTTGTTGAATCTGATGATCCAGTTGCTCAAAAAAGAGCTAGAAACACTGAAGCTGCTCGTCGTTCTCGTGCTAGAAAAATGGAGCGTATGAATCAATTGGAGGATAAAGTTGAAGGTTTGGTTAACAGAAACCAAGAATTGGAGAATGAAGTTGCAAGATTACGTGCTTTATTGGCTCAACGTTGAATTGTTATTGTTATCTTATTTTAGTTGTTTTTTAATTGGTTATAAAGAAAAAAAGAAGAAAAAAAGTCATGGTTTATATTTTAGTTCGTTTTAATGTTATTGATAACAATATTTTTATTTACATTGATTTGTTTTTTATTAGAAAATATATATTATAATTTATTAACTAGTAGTTTCATTCATTCATGTTTCATTTTCTTTGTCTTCGTAACTTCATTATCTTCATGTTCTCTTTTCAATGTTGTACTCCTCTGGGCCTCAATAAAATTTTGAAATTTTTGTAAAAACTCCAAAGGTTTCCCAACATATTTATACGGTACACTATCTTTAATAATCCTTTCCATTTTAGAACCCTGCTTCATTAAATCACATTGTTTTTGTAAATATCTCTGTAATTCTTTTAGATTTTCATCATCCAATTCTAATTCACCATCTAAAACTGCCCGACTTGTAAACCACATTAATTTACCAAATTGAGGAAATTTAAACTTCTTATCAACTTTTGTTTCAATTTCAATATCAATAATCTTGAATTGTTCTTTTAAATTAAAACTTGTTAGGAAATTCCCACCAATAACTAGAGTATCAACAGGTGTATAAACAGCATGAATCCAACCAGATGGTATAATCAAAACATCACCTTTTGTTAATGAAATTTTCAAACCGTGTTCTAATCCTAGATTCCCCAAAAATTGTTTAGTTTGTGAACGTATCCATGTTTTATATTTCTTCAAATTTAATTCAGTTGGTGGGAAAAATATAAATGTCTTGAAACCTGATAAAACAGTATAATAAACCGAAGTACCTGCAAAATCTAAATGGAAATCTGTAAAACTCTTCTCAACACCCATCAAACAATATTTTTGCACCATTGGTTTCTCCATCCCCAATTCTTGCGGCCATACTTTATCCACTAAATCAACATCTTCAACATATTTAGGTCTTTTAATAGATTGACCCAATTCTGATTTACTAATCTCCAAACTTAGCACATTTAAAATCCTTTCCCTTTCTGTCTTATTACTCTTAAAATAATCTCTCCATGAACCTAAACTCCATGAACCTTTTATACCATTCTGTGTCAAGACATCCATAATTTCAATAGGATGATCAATCCCTAAACTCTCCACAACATCATCCACGGTAATACCATCAGGGATAACCATTCCTAACCCCTTCGTATCCCTCGAGTTAATCTTTGTAGGCCTTGTCAATTTCCCCTGTAGTTCAACACCTTTAATCTCATTGATCTCCTGTTTTGGATTCTCCCATTGAAGAAAATCCGCAACATGTGGATGTCGATCAAGTATAACACTTTCCAAATCACCATCGTTTAGGGCAACGTAATCTATGGTGTGTCTTGGGCGAGAGCTAACCCTTCTGAGGATAGAGGGTCCTTTGAGCTTTGTACAATTGGGACAATGGAATGATGAAATTTTTTTGGAATCTGATAATGATAATTGTAAACATGAGTTATGGAACCATGATTCACAGATTGTGCATTGGATCCAGTTTATCGTTTGCGTGGTGGCGGTGAATTGGCCATTGGGGCATAGTGGACATGTTTCCTCGGACATTATAAGGAGCTTTTGAAGCCTGTTGATTTGATTTGTTTGATGTTTTTGGTTTCGAGTTGATTTGTTTATGGGCCGTTTTTTTACTTTTGGCTGAGGCTTTCGCGAATTCGATCTGTGATTTGTTTTTTTTTGATTTTTTTTTTGATGAAGAGAAAAATTGTCGAAAGAAAAAGTGAATGGACATAATGAAAAACACCAGTAACTAGAAGTATTGGGATATTGACATCATGCTTTCAAAGACTACTCTCCAGATAATAGGGAAACGCTCCTTCTCTACAATAACGCCTCTTTTCAACGAGGCTAAATCCCCAAGTTCCTTTTTATTAGATAAAACTATAGATGGTTTCGCAGATACAACAAAAACATCAGAAAATACCAATATTGCTAGACAATTCCAAACAAATTTCCCAATAGGTACAACTTATGATCCTTTTGATTTCTCTATGGCCAAGATCCATTTAGAGAAGAAAAAATTGAGAGAGAAAAGACTTCAAACTAATGGATTTGATCGTAAAAATTTAAATCCTTTAGATTTTTATACAACTCCAAGATATTTATCAGCTTATTTATCAAATACTGGTAAAATCTTGAATAGAGAAGTTACTGGATTATCAAACAAGAACCAAAAAAGATTAACAGTTGCCATTAAAAGAGCTATTAATGCTGGCTTATTATCACCTGTTCATAAAGATGTTGGATTATTACCTCATCGTTATGGAAATTAAAGAAGCAAACATGTAAATATATATTATAATAAAGAAGTATCAGGACCTATTAACTCAATGTAAACATCAGTACCTAATCCATAAATCGATTGTAATTCTAAATTCCCTCCAAATAATTCAACATAAGCTTTTGTCAATGGTAATCCATACCCCATACCTGCAATATTTTCCACACTTTCACCAGGCATTGAATTTGTATTCATACCAATTTTATCCTCTTCATGTTTCTCCACAGTGGTGAAACTATAATCAAATACATTTTTTTCCACTTCTGGTGGTATACCACCTCCATCATCTCTAAATCTTATAGATAAATTTTTCCTATTTGATGAAATTGAATTTGAAACAATTGTAATCTTTATTGGTTTATCTCCATTACCTGATTCAATATTTGCCCTTATGGAATTTTTCAAAATTTCTGTAAAGATATATTCTAAATGGATTCCAATATATGGGAATTCAACATCTTGACCAAAATCTATTTGTATTGGCACTTGTTTATAATATTTTATAAAAGCCATATCATTAACCAAACCTGCCCAAGTTTGCAACATTTCTGAAACGTTTAATTTTGTATTCAACACACCAATATGATTTTCAGGTTTATTAATCAAATTGATATAATTATTTGTTATAGTTTCCATATTAATCTTGTCATAAAAATGTAAATTTAAAAAATCTACAATCTTGCCCTTGGGGAAAAATTTTGAAACTTCTTGGAAACCTTTTGATAATGATGGAATTGCATCTTTATGAATTTCTGAATAATATAATAATGAATTATGTATCTTGTCAAAATTTTTATATTCTGATTGATCTATTGATAATAAAATTTCTAAAGATTTTAAATATAATTGATAAGTTTCTGAAATATGAGGGTTTAAAACAACAAGATATGGTAATGCTCTAAACGCTGCTAATCTTTTCGTATTGAAAATTGTAAGATAGTTTATAGTGGCTATTGCATTTGTGGAAATATCCTTTTTGGAGATGTTTATTAATGAATCAAGTGTTATTTGAGGAATTGTCTTGCCAGAATAATCTGTTATTAAATGTTCTAAAGATGATCGTATGTTGTATTCTTTTTCAAATGAAAGTGAAGGGCGAGGAGAAGAAGGTTTGTGTGATGTTTTGAGAGGTGATGTGGTGGAGAGTGTTCTTATTATAGATCTGTACTTGAGCATGTTACTGTGTGGGCTTTGGAATAGCTGGTTGTTGTATGATTCATCCTTGAATTAGTTGATGTTTTTTTTTCATGACAATTGTCGCGATAAGAATTGAATTGGATAGAAAGTGAGAAATTGATAATTAAGGACTAGAAAGTGAAAGTAATGGGATAATATAATTAACATGAATAGATTAAGCCAGTTCCAAGGATTCCAATGGTAGTGATTACATCAAATTTGGATGGAAACTGATGAAACTACACTTAATCATCAAAAAAAACACATTAACGTAAAAGATTGAATTCATATAAATACAAGTAAATTAATAATAATAGCATCTAGCTCTTCTCTAACGACCGATATATTTCAATTCAAATGGACGGACAATGTTGAAACCAACAAATGAAAAGGCAAAAGCCAATTCAAACCCAATATCAGCACCTGGATGAGCACTTCCAGCATTAATCAACTTAGCAATTGGACCCAACCCCCAATTCTGATCAATACCACAATAAGTTGCAACAACACCACATAAGAAACCAACTAAAGCTGCAATACCAATTGGATATCTTTTTTTATCATTCCATCCTTCAACATCATAACCTTTGAAACCTCTTCTATAAATGAAATGTTCAGATAAAAATGGCTAAATAATAACCAATCATATTCATGAAATTATCCATAACACTTTCAAAATGGTAAAACCCTGGAATACAAATAGCTAAAACTAAGAAATTACCAATTAATGACCAAACAATTCTTGGAACTTTAGCTAATGGTGACCAGAAAGCTTGAGTACACAAGGCAATTGTATACATATTTGGAATATTGTTGGCAACAGTGGATAAAGCTAATAAAACTGAACAGAATTGACCAAATCCACCTAATGAATTAACAGACAAGATAGCAAACATTAATCCACCATTTTGATGTTTTGTATAATATTCTAACCAAACTGGATCTTTATTAATACCAGTAATTGCAGCAGCACCGATAATCATAGTAAAGATTAATGGGACAGCTAAACCAAGACATAACCCCCAAAAGATTTTCCATTTTGGATATTCTTTTCTAATGAAAACGGTATAATCAGCAGCATAAGTTGTCCAACCAGTGGCAAACCCGAAAATAGCACCACCAAATGATAAGACACCAGCAGCTGTAGCTTCACCTGAACCAAATTCACCAGCATCAAAATTTCCAGAAATTTTAATTCTTGCAATGAAAACAAAGAAAACCATAACATTTGGAACCCATGACCATTTTTCATAGAAATGGATAACATTATAACCAAACATTGAAACAACAATTGTCATTATAACCAAGATTAAACAACCAGCCCATGGAGGTAATTGATGAGGATGATTAATCATGTTTAATAATTGAGCAGAAACCATGATATTAACAGCACCCCAACCAACACAAGCGACAGCAGTAATGAAAGAGAAAATTCTAACACCAATATCACCAACTAAAAATCTTGACAACACCATTTGTCTTAAACCAAATTCTGGACCAAAAGTGGAAAAAAACGCAACAGGTAATAAACCTAATAAATTGAAAAAAATAATTGTCAAAACAGCTTCCCAAAATGATAACCCAAAAATTGAACCACCAAGCATACCTAAAGCCATAGCAGCAATAACCATATTTGCACTAAACCACATACTTGCTGAATTTAAAACACCTTCATTCATATTTCTTTCATCTTCCTCCACTCTTTCAATACCTTTAGTTTCAGCTCTTAATGAAGCTGCAATTCTATTAACAAAATTTAATTTTGTGGAAGTATACTTAAAAGCTTTGAATAGTGTCGTATCGCACCGAGACCAGCAATTAACAATACAATACAATACAATACAATACAATACAATACAATACAATACAATACAATACAATACAATACAATACAATACAATACAATACAATACATTTAATTAACAATATCCTTATCAATCTAATTAATCCAACATGTCCACTCTAATCTCATTAAAATTAAATCATCCTCATCAATTTCCCTTTCACGGCATTAAATTCACAAAAAACTGATCGATAAACTGAAAAATATGCCATTTCCCTAAAAAAAGAAACGCAAAAAAAAGCGACGCTTATACAAAAAAAAAAAAAAAAAAATTACATCACCAGAGAGAAGAAATTTTTTACATGATAAGCTTTTTAAAACAGACATATAAAACCATATACAAATTCCCAGTTTTTGCATCTACCCTTTCACGTATTTCCTTCTTTAGCTGAAATTGCTCTACACACAAGACACAAAAATGGCTGCTTATAAAGAAGAGAACGATATAAAACTTCATGATTTGGAGAAAGGTTCTTCAAGTCCAGAAGATGAAGAATTATATCTTGGTGAATCAAGTCAAGGTACTCAAAGAGCACTCGCCGGTTAAAGTTGTAGACGAGATGTTCTCTGGTCCTGGGACCGTAGGTTAGATGCCGGTGAGTGAACTAGATCTTGCGTTTGATTGTTGGTGGCCGTTATGTTGAAGTATGTGCTTTGTTAATTAACGTGTCCGTTCATTTCAATTACTACATTTGACTCGGTGAATGGGAGAAGGGCCACGGTCCTAGGAGCTAGGAACGCGTTGGATTGGTGTTGAATAAGAATGGCTATGTTGTAATGGATTATGTATAGGAAATCCCCAGAGAAGGGTCTTTTCTATGTCTTGTGCTTCTTGTTTGAGTTAAATTGTGTATCTTTTATGATCTTGATCTTGACTCCCCCGAGGACCGTAGGCATTGACAATCAGATTCAATCTATTGGCCTGTAACATCAATCTCGTATATTACGACATGAGGAGTAGATAAGAGAAAGAAGCAGCAAAGCAGTCACAGAAGGATACAAGTTATTCGTGTATGGATTAATAGTTTAAAGTGTGCTGCTTCTTATTCTTCTGATGTTGCCTATCTGGAACCAAATGATTGGATAAAGACAAACTCGGAAAAACAAAGGAAGAAAAAAACTATTGCACATGACTGGTCACATGACACTATCAATTACCTAATACATTACTAATCAGAGGCGTGTCACTCTTGATAACAAGCTACAACAATTCCTTTGCCTTTAACAACAACAACCAGAAGAATCACAGCGCTACGCTATTAAAGAGAAGCTAGAGATACAGTCAATCTCATTACTGCTATCTTCAAGTCCTGGCTACCAATCGTCCTGCCAATTACCATGCCAACAGGTCATGATCCAACGCGTATCTACAAAAAGTGAGTATACAGTGTATTCCAATCAATACAAGCTAACTAATCTGTCAGTCCAATCTCTCCTAAATCTGCTCATAAATTAGGTGCTTCGGCTACTTGGTCGAAAGTTAAATATCAATCCCATCAATACACTTCAAAGTTATCTTCAAATAAACAATCTTCAATCCAATCAAATAACAAATCAAATGAATCAAGAATAGTGGAATTTGGTGTTAATGGTGAAATCTTTATTGCTTATAACAATACAATTGAAGTTTGGGATTGGATCCCATCTGCTTTAGAATTACATGGATTGGAGAATTCAAACCCTAATTATCTTTATGACGATGATTCAAATGATACACTTTTCCTTGTTGCTTCATTATTTGATATAAAAGGTTCAATCTTAAATATAACACCTATAAATTGTGATCAATTAACAAACACTTATACGATTTTAATCACTTCATTATTACAATCTGAAACCATATTCACATTGAAAACTTTTGGTCAATTATTTGAAGAACAAGAATCAATTTCAAATATTTCACTGATTTTACCACCTTGTGTTCATGGATTATATCCATTCACTATTAAAAATTCTTCAAGATTTATTGGAATTGCCACTAATGAAGGTTCGCTAACTATATTTGATACTGTTAAAAATCATCCTTTATCTTTATCTTTAGATGCTGCAATTATTGAAGATCAAGTTATATTTGATATTTCTGGTCGTTATTTAGCATATGTACCAAATCAATCACCAATTGATATTGAAGATCAAACTTTATTGATTGTTCCAAATTCTCCTAAAAATGCTGATTCAATTTATTCAAAATTTTTAAATAATTTATCAATAACTGCAATCGATGGTGTAACAAAGTTATCTGATTTAAATTATTCAATGATTTCTAAAAATTTACACGATATTTCATCAAATGATCTCAAAACAAATTTAAAAAATTATTTATCATGTTTAATTAATGGATTTAAACAATTGAATCAATTTGTTATCATATATGATTTAGTTGAGGAAACTAAAATTGGTTGTTTCCAACCACCAAATGGTTGTTCAAATTTATCATTATCTTTATTCAATTCACAATTAATTACAATAAATCAAAGAGGTGATCAATTGTATAATTGGGATATATCAAGATTACCTATTGAAATTTCATTAATTGATATTCAAACAAGAGGTAAAACAAGTTCAATAGTTGATGAAATTCATTGGTCTTCACAAAATTCAATTGAAATTATAACAAGATCATCAGGTTCCATTCATTGTTTCCAAAACGAAACAAATAATTGGGTTTTATCAAATATGAAATGTTTAAAATTAAGTAATCTTCAAAATGGCCGTGGATTAATCGGTTATTGTCAAGATGATGCCATATATTTAATCAACCCACAAAATGGGTCATGTTCAATTAATTTCCAATTACCTAAACAACCAATCCCAAAATCATTATTACCAAATCATATCAAATTATCATCAGTTGATGAATTAATCATAAGAGATGATGATCAAGATCAATTAGCTGTGGATGATACTCCATTATCACAAATTGAAATTGAAACTTGTTTAATGACATCACCATTATATACAAATAATAAAATTCAATTTGGGTTTTATGATTTTCCAAAAAAATTTAAAGATTCAAATCCATTTGATGATTGTTTTGATGGGGTTGAGAAGGGGTGTAATAAAGATGATGATGATTGTACTTTATTTAAACAAGTTTATTCAAGTCCTGGGAATTATTTAAATTTTAAAAGCATTAATTTTGGTAAAGGTTCTGGATTCCCCGTGTTTATGAATACAAATACTATGAATGAAGGTGAATCACATAATGGTGGGAATGATTTGATTGAGGCTATTAATGATGTATTGATTGTTGATGAGAAGTAGGGTTTTTGGGCTAGAGTTTTTTATTTCTTCTATTTATTTGGATGTTGCGGGTTTTGATTTTATGGGTTACAAGGGATTATGTGTTGATGGAATCATGAAATTATAAATTATATATAAAAAAAAAGGATTATTTAAACTACATTTTATTTAGAATTTTAATGATATTTATGCTTAATGGATTGATATGTACGGATAAATATTATGTAATCGTAGGGTAACCATGAACTTTTCGCGAATTTATTTTGTACTTTCGAGGAATTTTGACATGGATCAAGAAATATCGCGTCAACAACATTAACAACAAATTAATTAAATCAATACAATTATATTACAGATAAAGAAATGGCATACTCCAGTTTGAAAGTCGCTGAACTTAAAGAAGAATTGACAAAGAGAAACTTACCAACAGATGGTACAAAGCCTCAATTGATTGCTAAACTTGAAGAAGACGATTCCAAGAAATCTTCAGAAGGTGCAGCTACTGAAGAGCCAATTGCTGGAGAAGAAGAACCAAAACAAGAGGAACTATTAGAAGAAGAAGGAGGAGATGCTGAACAAAAGCAAGAAGAAACAGAAACCCCAGCTACAGAATCTAAAAAGGAAGATGGTGAACCTGAAGAACCAAAACCTAAAACTATTAAAGAATTAACACCTGAAGAACGTAAGGCCACTGCAATTGAATTTTTAAATAAGAAAATCCAAAGAGCCAAGAAATTCGGTACTGAAGAAGATGTTGAAGAGATTAAAAAATCTTTACAACGTGTTGAGAAATTTGGAGTTGAATTGGGGACTTCATTAGCTAGAGAAATCGGATTAACTAGTAAAGAAAACTTGGATGGTAGAAGAAGACACCATAACAACCATAGGGGAAACAGAAAGTTCAGAGGCCGTGGCCGTAGATAGAACTATCGGTGTATAATATTGGAATTCTTGATGAAAAAAAAAGTGTATAATAAATAAATGAATAAAATGTCGCGAATGCGTTTTGTTTATTTTTTGTTTTAATCTGCGGATCAAATCGATTTGACTCCTTAAAAAAAAAATTACCAATGTGCCTTAAAATCCTTTGTTCTGATTGATTTTGGATCCATTGAGTTCACAGATTCCCTTTCCCATTACTGCTGGCACAGTAAAAATCACCTCGTCAATTATCCATCTTTCCTCTTCTTTCCTTGTCCTGTCATTGCATATTCGGTTAAATACCCTTATCTTTGGTTCTATATTTAACTTCTGGGCCCCCTTGGAATTGGTGTTTCCAATTGTTTCATCAATTGTTGTTTGAAATTTTGTGTTTTGGTTTGGTTTGATTTGGTTTGTGAGTGTACTCATCAGCTAGCTGTTAAAAGAGTTAATTGGCATATAATATATTAAAATAGAGTTATAGATCTCGTTAGATCTTGGGTAATAATAATACTGGGAAACAAAAAATAAAGGCATAATTCTACTTCAATTTATCAATTTTATGAAGGATAATTCAAACAAAATTTGCATATTATTAATAATTTATATGGTGATCAAATGAATCTTCAACCATATGATCAAAAATATCAACCAAATATAGGTGTTGATGCTGCTGCTGATGATAATAACAAAGAAGAACATAAAAGTCCAAAAGAGGAAAAAGAATTGATTTTGGTTTACATTTATAATATACCACCATGGATTAAATGGAGAGAATTGAAATCATTCTTGTGTAATTTCATTAAAGAATCCACAATATTACATATCCAAATTTGGCCAATTTTACAAGAAAATTTAACAAATGCAATAATTTCAATAAATTCATATGATTCTTCAATTGAAATTTTTGAAAATTTAAACAATTATGAATGGAATGGGTTCTTATTATCAGTTAGAATTGAATATGAAAATGAAATAAATCCAATAATGATGCCAAATAATGGATTTATACCTCCTGCACCAATCCCACATCCTGGTTTCCAATCAATGCCACCTCCTCCACCTCAATTCATGCCTGCTCAACAAGTACTTCCATACCCAAATGGTCCTCCTCCTCCTCCTCCTCCATCTCAAGGCCCACATTCAAGTGGACTATCACATCCATCATCGCCAACACCATATTATAATTTCATACCTACATTTTTCCCATATAATCAACAACAACAGATGCCACCACCTGGAATCCAGTTATTATCACCACCACCTTCATTGCCACCACATTTACAACCACAACAAATCCATCCAATGGCTTCAAATGCATATAATTACTCACCAATTACTTCAACCCCATCAAACCCACTTTCAAGAACTTCATCATCATCAATGATTTATAGAAACAACAACAATCCATCCTCATCATCATCACCAAGGCTATATCAACAACCATCAAGACAAATAACATTACGTCAATTGAATTATCATGATATAACAGACATTTCAGAGGTGAAACCTCCAGACAAGACAAGGTTATTCATTGGGAACATCCCATTTGAAAGTGATTGGAGAGACCTCAAGGATTTATTAAGAAGCGTAGGGAATATACAAAGAGTGGAAATACCTAAATTGGATAATAAGAGTAAAGGATTTGGTATTGCAATTTTTGAAAATGAGATTGATGCGAAAAGGGCAATTGAATTATTGGATGGTGTTAATTTCCAAGGAAGGTCATTGACTGTTCGATATGATAAGTTCCCAAGGATGAATAGATATATGGATCAACAGGTTGAAAGGGATAGTTTTGGGTTGAAATCTGTTCGGGAGGTTAGTCCTACAAAAGATGTTCAAGTACAAGATGATGGAGAGAATAATGCACAAGAGATCAGTTTTGATGATGGTGAGTTTGCTAAAGAGGCTCGTAGTTTAGTTGAGTCTTTGAATATTAATAAATGAGAGATGATGTTGGGTTTTGCTCTCGATTAATACTTTAATAATAATAATTTATGTGTTTTCTATATGTTAACTTTACTCTTTGTACAGCCTCTCTGTCAAACTTGACGTGTATGTTTTTCAACTTGAAAAAAAAAAATTCAAGGTTGAGTACTAAAGTCTAACACTATTGTAGATTAATTCAAATCATTTCCATCATTAATGAAGTTCAATTCATTAATGAAGTTCAATTCAATAATCAACCCAAGGACCCAGGTTCTCTCGGATTAGCCCGTGTACGTCTCAATCGATCACTGGCACATGTTGACGTTTTTCAACGAGAAATAGGTGATGGATTACTGCTTATTTCCATCGAGTCTTGAAATTCATTTCCATATAGCGCTGTGTTCCTGATAACCTATGAACGCGGTGGATCTTACATGGTGATTTGATAGCAAAAATATCATAATGTTTGTTGGACGCAGAGTCTAAAATTAGTTTGTTCAGCTTAGATATTAAGTGGGAACTATTATTGTGATTCTAGTGTCTTGGATTGCATGAGTATGATTGTTGAAAAATTACAATCTCTCATGATTATTTGAGCACTAGAAGAATTGTGTATTAGAGTACAATACCATGACATTGGCATGAAGATTAGTTGTCTGGGTTGCTTTAAATACACTTGATATTTCTGCATTAAATCTGTTTTAATGAATTGTAGATTTACTAGCTGACTGTTCAATATCTGATCAATAAAGAAATATATGACCAAGTACTGTATAATTACATAGCCAAATACCCGATTCAACTGGATTAGCAACCGCTATATAAAAGATGATAATCTAATGCAACTAGAGTCCAGTGTCTTACGCTTCAAGAAGTTTCATCATTGTTGTGAGAATATTTCTCTTTTAAATAGTCTCATCCACATCCATAAACAACATAACAAAACGCCACCTACAACAGAACTAGCCATATTTGGGAATCTTTTATTTATCAAAAAATGATATTGGAAACTCTAGCTACCTGATGATACTATTTTCAAATAATCTTCAAATGATTTAAACAATTCGCAGGCGAGATGATTAAATCAAGAAAAGTTCTTGAGTTAAATATTAATATATTCAATACAAGCGGGTGAGTTAGGCCTTCCACCTGTGTAGACTTAGGCGACATTTGGAGGAAAAACATACAGCTATATACAACTTTTCAGATCACAACCTAAAAAGCTAGCTTTACTCCTGGTTGACATTAATGATATTCGACATCTTTACTCAGTAGCTTGAAAATCTTGAGTACATAATAAATTTCCAAGTATATTTGCATTAAAAATATCACATTTATTTGATAGCTCTGAAACATTGAAATATGAGCTTTTGAGTTGTATGAAGTACCCAGCACCATAGTCAGCACTTTTTTATCAGCGTTCTCAATTCACCTGTACGCCCTTCACCACTAGCAGAAGCTTCATCTAAAAAAGCATCCATTTGAAGCATGGATGTGAAATTTCCTCTGAAGACTCTCTTCATTTATCGACATTTCCCAAACCTCTGCGTATGAAACTCTGAATCAATGACCCAACACCATAGACACTTCTTTAGCATTTTCAATTCCAGAATCCAGCGCCTGTAAAATTCTGCTACAGTGAGGAAATGTGTTTTGTATGTAGCTTGACACTTCGATTGAGTAGTAATGAGAGTAAGTGGTGAGTCACCTTGAAGACATCGAGTTTGTTAACATTTCAAAACATTAAATCACAACAGCTTTTGGTTCATGAATAAGCATCCAGCTGTCCCCATAGATTCAATTCAAAGGACTCACTGTAAAGACAAGCTCAATTGACGTATTGAGGGCATCTCAGTTTGTTGAGCTTGTTTTGAATTGTTTTTGATAGACGTTGATGTAGGAAAAGGTCAATGAACCTCATCTTCGAACGGAGGTGGGAAGCATTAAAACAACAACGCAATATCTCGAAAGCTAAAGTGACAAAAGGGTCTCATACTGACGTTGAACCAATTCGCTCTATATAGTTCTGATATTCCAAATAAGTTTTTTACAGGCCCTTTAAGAATTTCAATATCAAGATTTACACCTGTTTTAATTTATGTTTATGCCAGCCTCTCTGTCAAACTTGCCGTGTAAGTTTTTCAATTGGTTGCCAAAAAAAATCAAAATAAGTTGAGCACTTACATGACTTCATTTTATATAATCAGCCAAATCTTTTTAAGATGTCACAGCTCGTGTTGTTCTTTTTTTGATAATGTGTAAAACCACGCTATAGATACTGTGATGATTTCAAAAACTAAAAATATAGAGCAATTTTGTTGCTTCTGATGTTAAATAGATATAGACGGCACAAACATTGACCGTTGAAGAAACCCATCTTATATGGGGCCAACATTCGACATTCATTGATTTTATTACTTTGGCAATTGTGATGACCAAGTGTCATTATTTTGATTCTAATGTTTGGATTGCATGAGTATGATTGTTGGAAAATTACAATCTCTCATGATTATTTGAGCACTAGAAGAATTGTGTATTAGAGTACAATATCTTGACACTGACATGAAGATTAGTTGTCTGTGTTGTTTTGAATACATTTATTGTTTTTGCATTAAACCTTTTTAATGAGTTGTAGTTGTACTAGGCTATTTAAAATTTGATCAAATAAGAACCGTATGACCAAGTAGTTACAAACCCAGGTACTCTATTCAATATCGCTAGTAGCAACAAGGTGATAATATAATTCAACTAGCTAGCTGCTTCTTACGCTTCATGAAATTTCGTTACTGTTTTGAGAATATTTCTCTTAAATAGTCTCATTTTCACCAATAATCAACAGAACAAAACGCCACCTGCAACAGAACTACCCCCGTTAAAAAACCTTTTACTTATCAAATAATGATATTGGAAACTCTAGCTTTCCAGTGATACTATTCTTAAATAATCTTCACTTGATTTAAACAATTGAATGTTGAGATGATTAAATCAAGAAAAGTTCTTGCGATAAAATATTATAACCTGAAATTGCCACTACAATCAACAAATATGATCAATAAATGTACATTTATCAATAAAACATCATTATAAGCAAGAAACCTAAATCTCTTTCTATTAAAATTGGATCAAAAACACCGTTTAATCCTCTATAAAATCTATAATCATCACAATCATCATTTCCCATTATAATAATGAACTTATACCAACCCTTGTACTATTACTCTCATCATTATTACTTTGATAACTCCCAATAACAAAGATTTCTAATTCTAAATCCTCATCAATCTTAAATAATTTTTCCAATTCCTCATCATTATTCAATAAAACCCCATTTTTTAGTTTCAATTTAATTAAATTTAAATTTTTTTGTATACCAAATGCAACTTTACCATTTTCAATAATTTCCAAAATTGAAGGAGGTGCTGTACTTATAGGTTTATAAATAAAATTTAAAACTCTTTCCCCATATTTTAATTGAACATTTTTAATCCATTCTTTATCAGCTTCACTAGGTATAACGTTTAAAGTTGGGGTTAATAGCGATTCTGAAGTTATTTTGGAAACTTGTGTAGCGATTAATGGATATTGATTTAATATAATCTCATGGAAAATTTCAGATAAATCATAAATTATTGATTCAAATCCAAAATCTTTAACAACTCCACCTAATAATTTTGCTAATAATTGTGAAGATTGGAAATCTGAAAGGATTAATAATTCAGTTGTGATGACCCCAAGGGTTTTCAAGATTCTGGATAAGGTTTTAGAGGATGAAATTTGGGAATATAAATAATTTATTGAATCATTTGATAAATCTTGGAAAAATCTTTCAAGGACAAATGATGCACTTGATGAAATTATTGAATTTCCTAAATTTGTTAGGTTTTCTAAATGTAAAATTGATGAATTATTTGATATCATTGCACAAGTTTTAGATTTTTCAATTGATTGTAAGATTTTTTGTTTATTAAATTGTGATATGGATAAATTTGTTATATTTTTAATTGGAGGTAATTGTAATGATTGAGAATTGGGGGAAGTTGGATGTGAAGTTGATGGAGTTGTATCAGTCGTGGTTGTATTTGATAATAATGTAGAAACACCCATCTTATTATGGATTGATTGTTGTTGTTGTTCTAATAATTTTTCATTCAAGATGAATCGATCATTTGTTAATCTTGATCTTGAAGATCTTTTCCTATTTCTTCGAACAGATTGAATTGCAGCACGAACTAATTTATCAAAATCCATTAGTGTATCTTGTGGGAACCCAAATTCAGTTCTTAATAAATTTGCAATTTGCTTGATTGAATCATCTTGTTCACTTGCTTTTTTAAAACTAAGATTAAATTTATCAATTAATTCTAATCTTCTTGTACTAAATTCTTTCCATTTTTTATCATCATTGAAGCCTAGATGGTTTCTTATGGCTTGAGTGATACCACCATGACCACCTGAACTATCACTAGTTGAAGCCATGGTTTGTTGTTGTTGTTGATGTTGTTGTTGTATGGAGAATGGATGAATCATTTGATGATTCTTTTCTTTTCTTATTGTTTAAAACCGGTGGGATGATGGTTAAACACCCAGACACCAGGGGTGGGAGAGATAGGGGATAGGAGATATAGATATTGTGGTTATGTTGTTGATATGGTGGTGTTGTTGATATGGTGGTGTTGTTGATAATTGTATTGGTGTAGTTGATGATGTTAATCTAGTTAATCTAGTTAATCATGTTCTATCTTGATGTTCCAGTTGTGTTGCTCTGTTCACCTGTCAAGTTTATTCTTAATGTTCTGGGTGGAGCAGTATGGCATATTAACATGAGCCAATGGCCTAAGGTGGAAAGTCATGAGTCATGTGTCTTCTGTGTCTTCTAATGAGATTGTTAATAGTAGGTTATGGGATGTAATTGTGAATTGTAATGGTTAATGGATTATAGAGTATATAATAAAGAGGGACAGCGTTGACTGTTGGTGGAGGGGCAGGCATGGGATCATCAATTTCAAGTTTAGATCATTATCATTATAATCATATTGGTATTTGGTATAGATCATGAATATGATCCTGTATATGATGAAATGATGTAATCTATTGCACTAAATACTCTATTATCTATTCCACTATAACCCATACTATATAGTCTATGACTCTACGATAACTACAGTACAACCATATTTAATACCACAACCACCAATCCATTAATACCACTCCATCCATCACATCCACTACAATCTGGGGTAAAAGGACTCTCTCTTCTTAACTATATTTACAACTGACATGATCTTTATTCCAATCCCATTCTCGGTGATTATGTTATGGCTTCGGCTGTTTGGATAGTACATGTCATCTCTTACGTAACACATATATATAATATAATCTGGGGTAAAGCCATCAATCTATCGACACCATGAGAATAATTGATGAGAGTATTAGCTGAACTAAGGGTAAACCAATGGCTCTGAGTCCATTAAACATACTCTTATAGCCATATCTCTTATCCCTATTCCAGTATAGCTACACCCTCCTACTCTTAATCCCTTCTCTCGCCAATGCCCACCTCCCCGGACCACTCTATCGGGCAAAGGGCCTGAGCTCATCTCTTGCAATTCATCATCATCTTCAAATTCATCACCAAAATAAAACCATCACCAACCCGGGTATCCGTCAATCGCTGAGAATATTCACAATTATAAATACTCTCGACTTTCCTCAATTATATTCTCTTTCTCATTCTCATCCTCATCATCCATCACTCATCATGGCTTACTCCAAAATAAACATCCAACAAGAAGACGCTGACTTCAAAAAAGAAGTTCAAGAAATTAAAAAATGGTGGTCTCAACCTCGTTGGGCTAAAACTAAAAGAATCTATCAACCTGAAGATATCGCCACAAAGAGATCATCTTTAAAAATTGAATACCCATCTTCAGTACAAGCTAAGAAATTATACAAGTTGTTGCAAGAACATGACCAAAACAAGACAACTTCATTCACTTTTGGTGCATTGGATCCAATCCATGTTGCCCAAATGGCTAAATACTTAGATACCGTTTACGTTTCAGGTTGGCAATCATCTTCAACTGCTTCCACTTCAAATGAACCTTCACCTGATTTAGCTGATTATCCTTATGATACCGTTCCAAATAAAGTTGAACATTTATGGTTTGCTCAATTGTTTCATGATAGAAAACAACGTGAAGAACGTTTGAATTTACCTGTTGAAGAACGTGCCAAGTTACCATATATTGATTTCTTGAGACCTATTATCGCGGATGCTGATACTGGTCATGGTGGTATTACTGCAATTATCAAATTGACTAAATTATTTGTTGAGAGAGGTGCTGCAGGTATTCATATCGAAGATCAAGCACCAGGTACCAAGAAATGTGGTCATATGGCTGGGAAAGTTTTAGTTCCTATTCAAGAACATATTAATCGTTTAGTGGCTATTAGAGCTTCTGCTGATATCTTGGGTTCGGATTTAGTTGTTGTGGCTAGAACTGATTCTGAAGCTGCCACTTTAATCACTTCTACAATTGATCATCGTGATCATTATTTCATTGTCGGTGCAACTAATCCTGATGTTGGTGATTTATCTCAATTACAATTTGAAGCGGAATCAAAGGGGATTTATGGTGCTGAATTACAAAAAATTGAAGATGAATGGACTGAAAAAGCTGGTTTGAAATTGTTTCATGAAGCTGTTATTGATGAAATTAATGCAGGTTTTTATCCAAATAAACAAGCTCTAATTAAAGAATTTATTTCAAAAGTTAATCCATTATCTCAAACTTCAAATAAAGAGGCTAGAGTCTTGGCCAAGAAGCTTTTAGGTAAAGATATTTATTTCAATTGGGAAGCTCCAAAAGTTCGTGAAGGTTATTATCGTTATTTAGGTGGTACCCAATGTGCTATCAACCGTGGTCGTTCTTATGCTCCATATGCTGATATGATTTGGATGGAGTCAAAATTACCTGATTATGATCAAGCTGTTGAATTTGCTCAAGGTGTTAAAGCCAAATATCCTGATCAATGGTTGGCTTATAATTTATCCCCATCTTTTAATTGGAATAAAGCAATGTCTCCAGAAGATCAAGAAACTTATATTCAAAAATTGGCTAAATTGGGGTATGTTTGGCAATTTATCACATTGGCTGGGTTACATACTACTGCATTGGCTGTTGATACATTTGCAAGAGATTATGCCAAGATTGGTATGAGAGCTTATGGTCAAAATGTTCAACAACCTGAAATTGTTAATGGTGTTGAAGTTGTTAAACATCAAAAATGGTCAGGTGCTGAATATATTGATAATTTATTGAAGACTGTCACTGGTGGTATTAGTTCCACTGCTGCTATGGGTGCTGGTGTTACTGAAGATCAATTTAAAGATAAAGAAAAGTTGTAGAAGCTGCCTAGTCATTCTGGTTAATGATTTGTTTGGTTTTTATAGGTCATATAATTTTCAATTTGTTTTTGTTTGAATGGGATTGTAGGAAATTAAATCTGGTAACTCTTCTCTTTATGATTCTTTAGTTATTCATTTTCATTTTGATTCGAATAAGTGCCCAATAACTTGTACATTGATTGTTAAAAGATGGAAATTTTCACTCTCGGAGATTTTCAAAATTTACATACACTTCAAACTTCAAACACAACCAACCGACAAAATACCACAGCTAATCACCCCTATAACCCCAAAAAAAGATACCCACCTATCCAAAAAACCTCCAAACAACCCAAAACCATCAAAAAAAGAGCTTTAAACCGGGGATTTCCCCCGAAAGCAAAAAAAATTATCGACACCTGCAGGACTCGAACCTGCGCGGGAAAATCCCAAAAGATAACCTTGTTTTTCACACTTTAATGTATGATTTCATTCAAGTCTTTCGCCTTAACCACTCGGCCAAAGTGCCTTTTTCAAAATTTGTAAAAATAGGGGGTTTACTGGTGATGTGGGTGAAAAATTTGGAAATTGGCCCTGAAATTTGGGAATTTAGGGATGGGAATATAAGGGGGTTGTTAAGGGTGGGTTTCTGAGTGGTTTGGTGGTTTTTTAGGGTAGGAAGTGGGGTGGTTGTGGTGTAAAAGGACTTTTCGTTCATGGTGATTTGGAAATTTTTGAAATTAATTTATAAAAGGTGATGTACAATTGATGAAAATTAATTTAAAATGTTATAAAATTTAAAAAGTTGGTGTGGCGCAGTAATTAATTAATCAATTTATAATATATATATAGAAATGCGCTAGTATAATATACTTGATTAGACTGTGAGTTTATTAACATAAAAGCTCCAGGGTTACTATTGATATTATTGTAAATTTTGACATATTGTTCATCATGATCAACGTCTGCCACGAATTGAACAATATTATATTCGTGAATTTGAGGCGAATGATTGTGGCTGGAAAACAATACTTATCCTTCTAGAGTACTACTGGACGGCTTTTAAAACACCAAAATATTCTACATGCCTCAATATATAAAAGTCATTAAAATTAAAACTATGTATATAATAATAATTAACAAGATTTGAAACTAAACAAAAACACAAGCAAATGATTCATTAATAATACAGACTTCTTTTAAAAAGGTTATTGATCACCTCTTAAAGCACGTATCACTGCAGGTCTTCTCATCATATGTTTTGTCCATTTATAAACTTCTGGGAACTCAACTTTAATATCAATTCCAATTCTATCAACAACATTATTCCAAGGAACAAATGCTAAATCAGCTATAGTGATTCTTTCACCAACTAACCATACAGGATAATCGAAAAATCTTGATTGTGATAAAGGTGTAGTACCAGCAGAATATGCAGCAGCATTTTCAGTATCTAGCTCCATAATTAAAGCTTCTCTTCTTTCAGCCAAGGCCATTTCCACAACACCATAAACTCTTCTAACTTCATCAGTATATCTTTCCACTGCACTTGGAACTTGTTGAGAATGGAAATATCTAAAATGTAAAGCTTGACCAATCATTGGTGCATGTCCCGAAGTTTGGAAGAAAACCCAACTTGTAATTTGAGATTGATCACTTAGGTTATCACTCCATAATGAACATTCACCAAATTCTTTCAACATTTTATTAACAAGATATAATATAATTGAACCAGATTCCCAAATTGATAAATTATCAACATTATGATCAATTAAAGCAGGTACTCTTGCATTTGGATTTATCGATACAAATTCTGGTGCTCTTTGTTCTCCATTATTAAAATCTAGGAAAATTGTATTATAATCTAAATTTAATTCACTCAATACAATGGCAACTTTAAACCCATTTGGTGCAGATCTATGAGAAAATAATGTGAAACCTTCTAAAGGTTGATTTTTGAAAAATTTTGTAATTCTTGATTCTGAATTACTTGTTAAATTTGAATTATTATTTAATAATGAAGATTGTAAATTATTTGAAGCATTTGGTAAATTTGGATTTCTTAAATCTTGATTTATATTTACATTTTTCAATGCACTTGATAGATTTGAAATTGCTGGTTCCCTTTGACTCATGATTCAACTGTTTTGTATTGTATTCTATTGATATATCTGTGTTGATTGTTATTTATTGTCTTTTGATGGTTATATCTTGAAATAGCAGCAAATGGCACACAGACACAGGGCGGGATGGATATAGTTGGCTTTTATGGGATGAGCAAGCTATTACTTCTTTCTCTCTAAGGTTCTCTGAGTGTATTTGGCCTATGATTGTTGTATCTCTTGTGTTGATAATTTGAGTATCGAGTCTTTTGATGTCGTTCAAAAGTGTGTGTAAATTTGAATAACCAGCGTTTTTTTTTCTTTAAACTCTTTGAAACATTTTCCGCCGGTGTGTTCACGTGCTTCTCCGCCTAGGTTTTGGCTGGTTCTGCCTAGCTCTGGGCATGGGCTCTGTCTGGGATTGCTGAGAGCGTAAACGGAGCTCTGCCTAAAAGACTCCACAGTTGTGAAAATTTGATGACTTCTACGGCGATTGTGTTTTTTTTTTTTTTCTGAAGAAAGGGCAGCCAAAAATTCAAGAAAACAACAATAAAATGGTTTTAAAGGGAGAAACAAGCGATTAAAAAGATTAGGAAAATGGACAATGGGTTAAAGAAATAATATAACATATAGAATATCTAAAAAAAATCAACAAAATAGCTCATTTGGGCAGTGAAAAACAGGCAAAAAAAGTATCGACACCTGCAGGACTCGAACCTGCGCGGGAAAATCCCAAAAGATGGCCTTGATTCCACTCACAAAGTGAGATTTCATTCAAGTCTTTCGCCTTAACCACTCGGCCAAAGTGCCTTTAACGAAAATTTTAATTTTTGCGGGTCTCTTTCAGATAAGGGCTTCTAAATCCGGGCAACACCCCAAATTTTGCGGTTCAGACACGTTTTTGATCTCTCTTCGCGAATTTGTATTTTTTTTCTGGTTCGATCCGCGAATTTATTTTAAAATTTAAAAGGGACTTGGAAGTTCAATTGAATACGAGACGAAATTAAAATTGAACAACAACGTTGTCACTCAAATCCACACTGACAATGGCTCATAATTCTACAATAGCTAAACCTGAATATTTCACTCCAGGTATCATATCTTGTTTGATAGTGACTTTTCTCCTATTAGCCATATTGGTTTGTGCTCTTCAATGGATGTTATCTTTAGATATCAGTTATGGATCATTTGAAAAGAAAGTTGATAATAAAAAGACTCAATGAGAGTGTGAAGGTGTAGGTGTTTGGTCGGTTGGTTGTTTGGTGCTGTAATAATATTACCATATTTTGTTGATCAAAATTAAAAAAAAACTATACTATTTTAGTATACATAAGGTATGATTTTATATGGAACTTGTTTTTCATATTGTTTCCATGCTTCACCATATTTCTCTCTACATTTGATTTCATCCCTTCTTTGTCTATGCAATAATAATGATGCAAAATAGAGGACATAATAATAAGTTAATGGAGTTTTGAAACCTGTAGCTAAACACCAACTTAGGGCATGTAACCAATCTCCAAAGTAATTTATATGTTGACTTAACCCCCACCAACCATCACATAATAATTTAGTTGATCTTTCGGTTTGAATTGATTTTAAATGATTCAATTTACCTTGACGGAAATTTGATTTTTCATTATTTGAAGCTTTAAAAATGTAAAATCCTGTAAAACTTATCAATAACACAATTGTTGTATAAATTTCACCTAAATGTATTGGTTCCACAGCTAAATATCTAGCTTGTAAGGAATAAGAGAATGGAACCAATGCTAAATCACCAAATGAAAGCATGAATCCAAATCCATCAGTTGTTATATCCATCATTGTTAAAACACCTTCTTCATTTAATACACCATCAAATACATAGATAGCTTGTAAAATATTAACCAAGACCAATGAATCTGTAACATAACCCAATTTTAGCCATTGATGATGCAGAGCACTTAGGTTTAAGATTAACCATAATAACATTCCAGGTCTTAATTCACAAAATAATTTTATATCCCATGAACCAATTCTTGGATTTAATTCACGACCAATAAACCAATCATAAATTATATTACCAGTATTACCACCTAATGCCAATATTCTTTCATTGTTCCCCTGTGCATTTTGTCTAAACAATGGAATAAATGATGATAGGTAAACAAAATTTGCTAAAATTGCAGAAAATGCAGTAGATACAATTGTCAATTCCAAAATATGATTATAAACAAATTGTAACTCGGGCATTGATCCAGAAGTCAACCACCATCTTGTAATCAACACAATGATTAATAACAAACTTAATGAAATCCCATTAATTTTATAATTCAATCTTGAACCATCTCTAAGCACAACACCTTGTTTATTCACACCTGGTAAAATTAGATCGAAAACCATTAATCCGAAAAACCACAAGATGTAATAACTCCAGACTTGAGAATTTGTTAAAATTGAATAAAAATCTGGGATGTATAACTTGGAAAGATCAAGAGTTAATCCAATTTGATGATAGTCTTCATTCGATAATTCATATAAAATTATCAACAAGATTGGCAACCCAATTGAAATGGCAATTGAGCCAATGACTCCGTTGAATTCTTTATGTTTAGTGATGGGGTTTAATGTGGTCATCTTTGAAGAGATGGGTTCAAAGAGAAGATGAAGTTGTTTTGGTTCAAGAGTTTTTATAGTTGTTTGTTCGTTTATGGCAAGTTCGTTTAAGTATAGTTTTTCTCGAGGCAAGGTCGCGTTTTTTTTTCAGCGATGAGCTGAGATTTTAATGATTGGTGATGATGGAGGTGATGGAGATGAAGTTGGAGTTGCTGGAGTTGAAGTTAATGATGCTGATGCTGGATTATACCTTTCAACTCATCCTCATCATCTTTCCAGTGCCAATGTGTTTCCCAATTGCAATTCAAAATTCATTAATTCTGTCCCAGAAAAGATCTCGATTTTTGTAAAAAACCAAATCAAAAATCAGAAAAAACCATAACAAATTGAATTGTAATTCAAATACATCTCAACCCACTAAGACCATATTAAAACAATAATAAATAACCATGGCTGTTGATATTCCAAAGTGAGTGACATCTTATCCAGTTATCAAAGACATCCTCTCTAACAATGGCTAGATCCGTTTTAAATAAACTTATATTCTTCACTGGGGCAATCATATTCTTCCCATTGATCACATTCTTTCTTTTGCAATACCTTTTCGGTGAGTTATATATTCTTTGAATCAGTAGCACCAATACTAACCTAGTGGAAAGGTAACTCAATAGTCTCTGGAGGAATGAGTGCGGTTGTTGTCAATATCTTGATGGTTTTATTCATTATTGTTGCATTCAATGAGAAAGTTGAACTTGAGCCAATAAGTGAAAAACAAGAAAATGATAAATTGGATTGAAATAATCAAATCAATACCCTCCACCATAATTTGTATATTAGTTTACTCTTTGAATTATAAGTTATTCCAGTATAATGCCAGTGATTACGTAAGAAATACACTTTATAAGAATTTCTCAATTAAACTTGAGTCTTTCTTATAATCCAAAACCCATCAAAAATCATGGTTCAACAACTCAGTCTATTCGCTTCAATACCTAAATCCCAATACAATCTAACAATTGCCTCGTTGGCCACATTAACAGGCTTCCAACCCTCACAATTCCAAAGTTATAATCTAATATGTTCTCCAAAGACAATAGTGAAATATGAACCAAATAGTAAAAATGCCCAATATGAACAATATAAAATAATAATGAAGTCTCCATTCAATGAAGATGAAGATGATCCCAAGGGTTCTAAAGAATGGATAATGCAAGTTAATGATATACCATCTGCTGGTAAAAGGAAAATAAATATACAAAGTTTATTAGAATCAAATATTCAATTGAATTCAAATCAAACAATTGAAGAATCTTTAGGTGATTTAGGTTATAAAATTGAATCAGATTATGTTTTAAAAGGTGAAAGATTCTTCCATCAGAATAATATAACTATTGAAATATTCCAAATATTGTTAAAGAAAGAGGATGGTCAATGGAGTGTTTTAAATGATGATGGATTTGTTATTAAAACTTTTATAAATGTGGAAAAATCAACAGATATTGAAAATTTACAGAAATCTAGTCAAATTTTATTGAATTTGAAAAATGAATTACAAGGTTTGATTGAATTGGATATACCTGATAGAAATTCAATGGATTCAAGAATCGGATTAAGAAAGTGAGAGGCTACAGTCATAATCAAGTTATAAAAAATATATTAATATACAGAAGAAAAAGAGTGCTTCACTCATTTCTTTTCATTTAATTTATCTAATTTAGATTTAGCCTTTTCAATCTTTCTTCTTTTTTGACGTAATTCTTCTTGTCTTGATTCTTTTTGTTCATTTGAATACTTCATCTTTTTATACAACTTACGTTGTTTATTTGACATCATGATTAATTTCAATTCTTTTTCTTCATCTTCTTTAGTCTTTGTTGATGATTGTTTTCTCTTTTTCTTATCTGAATCTTGTAAATCTTGTTTAACATCACTATATTTAACACCTTGAGCTTCTAATTCCAATTCTTTTTGTGCCTTCAAATCTTCATCTTCCTCTTCTTCATCTTCTTCAATATCTTCAACATCTTCATCACCTTCTTCAATCTCTTCATCCTCTTCTTCACTTTCTTCTTCATCTTCAACTTCTTCCAATTTCTCTTCTGGGTTATAACCACCAGCATCACCCCATGGTGATAAATGAGGTGGTAAAGTTTCACCAGGTAAATAAGTATTAACAGGCAATAAGTTTGATTTATTAATTGAATCAAAAACCCATTGAGGTTGAACATAAGTTCTACCTTGCACCTTACCATTGATTTTTGGTCTATCCACAATTTGATGTGTGATTTTATCTAATGGCAATTTACTTATATCTTCACCATTCATTTTCAATTCATCCAAGGATAAATCACTTATGATTGAACCACCACATGATAATATAATAAATTCTAAAATATCTAATGGAACTTCACGACTAATGAAAAAAACAAAATTATTAAATAAATTTGATGTTTCATTTTCAAATTTTGATGGTTGTTTTAATAAATCACCTGAATTTTTGTTTGTATCTAAAAATTCATCCAATTCAATCAATTCAACATCTTGATTAGATTCTTCTTGTGCTTCCTCTTGTTCAGGATCAGCTTTTGAATCAGCTTTTAATGCAGCTTTGATTGATTCATTGGAAATTTGTTGACCTTCAACATCTTTACCACTTTCTTCATCAATCTCTGGCAAGATTGAACCAGTTGATTTTGATTCTAAAATATATGCACTTAATCCACCAACACCTTTAATTTTTTTATCATCTAATTTTGGAGGATAAATCAATCCAGCATCTGTATATAATTTGTATAAAACAAAATGTAATAAAGTTGAATAAAATTCTAAAAATGTCAACATGATTCTAAAATCAATATCTGATGGAATATTTTGTGGGAATTTAAATGGAACTAACCATCTGATTTCAACACCTTTCACAACAGCTTCATAATAAACACCTTTTATAGAAACAAACACTTTACGCAATGCACGTTCTCTTGAAACGTAAGCTAACCATTGATTACAAATTGTGGTAGCATCTTTAGTAACTCTAGTGGAAATTTTATCAGTTGCTGGCATGATTGAAAATAAAAACAACATGTTCAAAGCATCATCAATATCTCTCAAGGCATCTGGGAATGTTGGATATCTCTCTTTGATAACATTATCTAATTTATATTTTGGTCTATTCTCTTCCAATTTTTTAGCATCACCAACTTCACCTCTACCTAAAGCTCTATTTAATTTTTTAGAAAAAGCTTTATGATCTCTAAATTTTTGTAAAACTGGTTCATGTAATAAATATTGAATATCTTTATAATAATAAAATGTAACAGGGGCTGTGGAACCTTTGTTTGCCTTCTTTTTATTTCTTGGTTCTCTTGGGAAGATACCTTTAAAAATACATAAACGACGGAAATCAGCTAATGAAACTTGTAGTTTTTTCACAGCTTGGGTTCTGGTGATGAAGTTCTTAGCATTACCTCTTGTATTCTTCTTCTTGACTCTCATTGTGGATAAAGGATGTTGAAGAAGTTGAAAGGATCTTGAAAGTAGTTGTAATTTTAAAATTTTTTTGAGATGAGCTTTAAAATTTTTTTTTTTTTTTTCATAGATTTCTTTTCGGTTGGCGACACATTGGTCGTTTTTTAGGTGGGTATTAAATAGGAAATGGTGGGTTTTATAGAGAAAATTGTTTATAAAATGGCTGAAAAGTTGCTAGGATAGTAAAGTATAAAAGGAATGAAGTTATGTCAAATTCATAGATTTGTTCAAAAAGAATTGATGACGTTATTGTGCTTTTCTTCAAAATCGGATTACATAATAGCTTATTAATATCTGGCATATTTTCCAATCAACTCCATCAAGTTTTTAACCTTTTGATCAAACTAAAATCAACCAAAAATTGAAATTAAAAGAGAATAATGATCAGAACAACTATAAAGAATATAAGGGGAATACGGTTCCAGAGCACCAGTGTCAAGATTGGCGAAAAATTCAAATCAAAACAAGAATTAAACCAATATTTATCAACTCCATCATGGAGTATAAATGAACTTCTAACCCCATCAAAACAATCTAAAAGAGCAGATTCCATAGATTCTAAAACTGTGGAAAGATTATTAGAACTTTCAGGTCTAGAGGCCAAACCTGAGAAATATGATGAATTAATTTCAATTTTAAAATCACAAGTTGTATTCATTGATCAATTACATTCAATACCTGATTCTGATATTGAATTTACAACAACTCAATCATCATTAAATAAATTAACATTACAAGATATTGAACAAAGTATAGAGAACCAGAAACCAGATGTTGCAAAAGGTGAAGTTCCAGAAAGTTGGGACCCATTAAGTTTAGCTAAAGAATCATTAAATGGGTTTTATATAGTGAGAGAAGGTTTAATCAAGAATAAATAATTCTCTATTTCACTATATACAAAGTCTTGTAACAACTCTAAAAACGGAAAGAACGCATTCTTCTTTCACGTTCTTTTCTAACTTTATCACTAATATACCAACCATAACCTAATCCAGCAATTGAACCACCAAGATGTGCAGCATAATCAAATGAACCCCATCTCATTACACAACCTGCAACGTTCCAAACCGTGGCACCCAAGAATGCAACCATAGCACCACCAGGTATTGGGAAGACAAATAATAAAATCTTTGCATTTGGAACTAAACATGCAAAAGTACCAAAAACTGCAAATAATGCACCCGAGGCACCAAGACTAGGTGCTGTGATTGGAAGTTTGAATAGGATTGGATATGCTATTGAAACTAAAGAACTTAGCACAGCACTGTTTAAATATAATGTAAGGAAATTTGAAGAACCAATCATCATTGATAATGAAGTACCAAATGAATATAATGCCAACATATTCATACCTAAATGCCATAATTCTTGATGAGAAAATGCACTACCAATGATGGACCATTTACTATACAGGACATCTTTCTCCAAAAGGGCATAACGTGATAAAAGTTTATAATTTCTTGGAATTTGCCATAATAAGAAAACAGCTAGGTTTAATCCAATGATTCCATAGATTAATTGATTTGGATGTTTTTGGAAATATTTCAATGGTGTGTACTGGAAAATATAAGGGATGGAAATAGTGGTGACTCCAATAAATATTAATGAAAAAATTGAAGCTTGTTTTAAAACGTTATAATTTCTTCCATAGTTATAATTGGAAATTTTGATATATTTCAAAGTTCCTGAAGTGGTGAAATTTTTAATTTGAATTGAAGTGGGTGTTTTCGATTGGGTTATAAGAGTTGATGGTTTTGATTTAGAGAATATTGGGAACAATGAAGATTTTAAGAATGAAGTTGATGATGATGTTGATGATTTTGGGAATAATTTTAAACCATTTTGAAGCAATAAAGATGATACTTTCACAGGTTTTATATGCTGAATTGAGTTACCAAGGAAGAAATGCTTCCCATATAGGTTAACAAACTTTGAACTCATCTTCTTTTGTTGATTGTAAATGATAATGGCAAAGCATCGATGTTGAAATATTGATGTTTTCCTCAAGTAGCGAGAGATACGAGGGCAGGAAATTTGATCACATGATAGTCACCTGATCATAACGAATACCGAGGGCTTCTTAGACGTGTGTAGCAATTTCATTTCAATTTGACTCATGAGAATAAAGACATTTGATGGATTTAGCAGGAGGCTGCCTTAATTTCACTTATATTATTGAGACACATGGAGTGTAATTAATTAGATGTAGGTGGTGCTGCTTTATCTCGATTGAAAGGACCCTGGAAGTTGATTAAAGGTGAGCAACTGATACTGATTCGCTTATATTAGACTAGTTTCGATACGAATCATACCCTTCAAGGATGTTCTAGTATTTCTGGAGTCCTAATTTGCTTTCAAAGTGTATCTCAAGTAATCTCCCCACCAACAAGACAACGAATATTCGTTGAGTTTTTAGACAGGGAGCTGGGCATTTACGATGAGCTGAAGAGGAAAACCATGTGGGATTGATAAAAAGTAGTAGGGGTTCAAATTTGTGAGCATGATAAACACTGTCATTTCTTGGTATATTAATTAATTAGCTGTTGGTGTTATTGGAGAGATGAGACTAGCACTGAGCTGATGATCTGGAGTACGTATTAATAGCATCGGTAACGTAACATGAATCTCTACCGGACTAGTAAGAATAGATAGTCTCTGACTCTAAACAAACTTCAGAAGTTCAAAGTGTGGTTGCTATTTATTTTTCTACCTCTACGACTGCCACAATCAGCCTTGTGCTCTAATGGTTTTTCCGAGTAAATACGATACAATTCGAGTTTAAGAGCTGATGAGCTGGTGATGGTTCTCCAGACTAGTCCTCTACGGCCGAGTAAGGCCGTCTCGGTTGTGCTCTACCGTGACGTACACATTGTAATTGTAAACTAGGTAACGGAGAATGGTTTGAATTTAGCATACCGTTGAAACATCAAATAGAGTGTTAATTCTATAACCCTTTTATACTATTTGTTTGGTCAATTGCTTCTGTTTGATATCAGGCCTTAATTGCTGATACTATCCCCAGTCTAGTCCCATCTCCCGATTACATAACTATTCCACTGAGAGAGTTACATAGTTGCGAAAGAACAAAGAGTCAAATTAAACACAGCTCTTTTTACGATTAAAAGCTTAATTCCACTCTCGCCCACTGTCCAATCCAAATCTCGCACGAAGTTCCTTCTGTTAACAGTAACGCCAGCCGTGGTCTAGTCCCAGTCCCATTTCTTTTGGTTCCTGAAAATCGCTGTTTCCAAAATTTCTGAGAATAAAAAAAACTTGAAAAGACCATTTCATCACCAAAAACATCAACAATTCACTTCAAACCAAAGCGCTCAGTCTGGTTTTTTCAAGCAAATATTCTCTAGTTTCCAATTAGCAAAAGCTTTCCAAAAGAAGGTCCCACTCTATTACCACTGCTCTGCTCTCATCTTCACGCTCTGCTCATCCCAATTAAGGCTTCCTCCCCTTTATAAAGAGAGCCTTCTTACCCACTTTTTTTCGCTGTTTTGAACCATCAAGACCATATTAATACGATATCCACTTATTCAGAACCATCACATGAAGATATAGCCACAATCCAAGTGCTCGCTCTATATAAAAATAAGGTGATAGGTTGACAAGAGTCGTTATTATATTACACACACATAGTCTTGCCGGAAATTTCAAGTTTCACAATATTACAATACATTACAAATTATAGCTATTAAATGTCTTCAGAAGTTGATGCCAACATGACAACGTCAAAGAATACAACACCTTCACCTACAATTGAACCGCAACAACAAGCTGGGAAAGTACCGGTTGTTCCACAGGCTGCTCATGGTTCAAGAACAAACTCTGCTGGTACACTCAATTCAGTATCGAGCAATGGCAAACAAGTACCGCTGAAAGTTGATACAAAGAATTTAAAGAATAATAACCATCATCCATCTCCTCCATCTGCTTCAGAAAAACCTCATAAATCTAAAAACCCATTGAAATTTTTCCAAAGATCTCAGTCTCATCATGAACACAAAAAGTTTGGATTACGTTCAAGAGCTTCAACTTTCCATCGTACTGATGGTTCACCCCCTTCTACAAATCCTAATCATCCATCACCACCACAACCTCCAATTCAACCTATCAAGAGAGCTTCAACTAATTTGAAAAAAGTGGAAAATCATCAACCAATGTCTAATCCATTCATAAAGAATCCAAATGCTTCAAACCAATCATTACCTGGAACTTCAAGTGCAAATAATAATTCACCATTTGCCATTTTAGGAACAGGTGCTGATATTGCAGCTCCAAGAAATGCAATTGGCTCCACTCCACAATCTGGTAATATATCAAGAGCTCCAAGTTTTAATTCTCCAAAGATGCATTATAATCCTTATGGTGTTAATGGTCCATCTTCAAGAACACCTTCAACTTATTCCACTCATACTACAATGAATGGAAGTGATTCTGGTGGCGATGATGAAAAAAAGACTTTATTACCATTACCAATTCATGACCCAAATGATTATTTACCAGAAGATTTAAAACAAGAATTTAATAGTGTTAATGAAGAGTATCAGATCCCTGAAAAGGGGTCCAAAAAATTGGGTGATGGTGCTTCATCACAAGTTATTTGTGTTACTGATAAGAAGACTCATAAATTGTATGCTTTTAAAAAATTCTGTCTATTACATAATGAAGGTGCTGAGGAATTTTATAAAAGAGCAATGAAGGAGTTTGTTATAGCTAAAAGATTAAGTTCAAATAAACATATCGTGGGGACTTATTATGTTTTAAAAGCTCAAACAACTGTTAATATAACTAGAGGTTGGGGGTTCATATTGGAGTATTGTAAAGGTGGTGATTTATTTTCATTAATTGCAAGAACAGGTTGGAAACAACATCCATTGGCTGAAAAATATTGTATTTTCAAACAAGTTGCATTTGCTATTAAATATATGCATTCTCAAGGAATTGTGCATAGGGATTTAAAACCTGAAAATGTTTTGATTAATGAAGATGGTTGTGTTAAATTGACGGATTTTGGTGTTGCTGAATATGGTCATGAAATTCCTGATGATACTTCATCTCCAGTCAAACTTTTAAACTCTTATGTTGGATCTCCACCTTATGTTCCACCTGAAAGTATGAGTTGTAAAACTACTTCAACAACAAATGGTTCAAACAATTATTATGATCCTTTCAAATTGGATCTTTGGGCTTTAGGTATGGTGTTATTTTGCATTGCTTATCAAGGTACTCCATTCCAATCTGCTTCAAGTTCAGATGCTCAATATAGAGATTTCTTGGTTTCTTATTCAACTTATCTTTCTTCAAATCCAAGTTTTAAATATGGTGATAAAAATCATGGTCCAGGTTCTGAATTTAGATATGCTAAAGATTTCCATTCCACTGGAGCTGCAAGAGTTGCTTGGAAATTGTGTGATCCAGATCCAAAGACAAGATATACAATTGACCAATTGTTTAAAGATCCTTGGTTTCAAACTATAGAGACTTGTATTGTGGAGGATGATGAAGAAAATGGTGGGAATGCAGGTGCTCATATAACTAATGATGTTAAATTCATATCTGGTGGTGAAACTTCAAGAATTGGTTCATTTGATTCAACAAATTCAAAATCAATGCTGGATGTTTCAAATGAACGTAAAAATTCTTATCATTCATCTTCACAAAAATCAAGTCCAATTGTTAAACCAAAATCAATGCTTGACGTTACAGAACCTCAACAACAAGAACAATTACCACCATTAGAAGAGGTTGATACAGAGGATCCATGTGATCATCATCATCATGATCATGATGGGAAAGATCTTACAAATAATTTGAAAAATATGAGTATAGATGAACATGATGTTTTCGTTGATGCTAGTTCGGAAAGTTCACCAGTTTTAAATCCAGTGCAAAATAATAATAATGGATCCCAGGGGTCATTTAATAGAGCTAGTTCTTTTTCAAGTTTGGCTTCAAATAGATCATCTGCTAGTGTTATTTCCAAAAGAAAAAGACATCATCATTTGGATGTTTCAAATGTTCAAAATCATAGTTCTACGCTCAAGTTGAAAAAATGAGCTTAAAGTTGGTATCTCACACATTCGTTATATATAGTTATTAAAAATTCATACATTTATTCAGTTCACAATGATTTGTTTTCTTATTTGATATTTGATTTTTTTTGTTTACATACATTATACCCATTTTTTTTTTGACAATCAGATATATTTATTAATTAGATATCTATTATTTTTGGGGGACCATTTCCACTTTTCTATTACTCTTCTATTGTGTTTCATTAATGTAATTAACTCTGGTTATTGATTCTCAAGATTTATTTGTAGAGCTTAAAACCGTTCGCGAAAATTTTCCAGGTCTGCCTATACCAATTTTACAAAAAAATTCATAAATATTTTCACTATGTATAACGTCTTTAGAATTATATTTCTTGAGACAGTATTGAGCTTGAAACTGGGTGGAGTATAGTACAGCTTATATTATTACTAGCGTGGAAGAATCGCAACACCTGATAGTATGCTTCAGAGGTCAAGCCGGTGTGCAAAGACGTTTGTCGTGAGATGGCATCGACCACTAATATCAAATCCATTCTTGAGATTCAATTCAACATCATCATCATCTGGGGTAGAACCTCCTCAAAAGGTTGATCCTATACAAAACATAGATATACAACAGCATACAGTCATACAGCATCATTCAACAACTAGTGAACTACCCAACAATAGACAGTTAATAGTGTTTGAACCACCCAATAGGCAACTTATGGTCATTGAACCATCCAATAGACAACTTATGGTTATTGAACCATCCAATAGACAACTTATGGTTATTGAACCAACACAAAAACATAAACCTTCCCGAATAGATACTGTAAAGTTCATCAACTTAGAACTGAATGGTATAACAGACCCCAATGAAGCTTTGAAATGCGTAAGAAGGTTTTTGACAAGGCATGAAGGTGAAGTATCAGGTGGAACAATTGTCAGATGTATGAAAAAAATACGAAGATCGTTTTCTAAACAACCACTGTTCCATAACATTTCAAATAGGGTAGCACGTATAGCTATGGATAAACTTATCTATCATTCTAGATTTTCATCACATGTTGTCCCCATGATACTTTATGAAGTGATTTCATTGCTTAAATTGAGAGATTTTAGAATGTTAGATACCATTTATTCAAGACTAGAGCGTTATGGAAAGTTACACCAAGACTCATTCTTGGAAAAAAACCGTTACTATACGAAGAACAGAGTTTACTCACCCCATAAGGATATGTATTATAAATGGATCCTACAATATGCAATAAAGCAAAATCAGCTAAAAATTGGTTATGAGTTTGCAATAAAGAATGTGAAACATTTTAAACCTGATAAAATGGTGATTGATGAATTGGTTACAGCTTTTCTTATGAAAAATCCACTAGAAGAAGAGATACAATTGGCTAAAGTACTAAATTTACTAAAGTTGTATGAATTGAAATTAACAGAATTTCAAGCTAATTTGATTTTTGAAAAAGTTCCAGAGGAAGCTTCAGGTTTTGTTGAGAAATTCATTTCTAAAACAGTCCGATCACACCTTAAGAATGAAGATACAGATGTTTTATTAAGTATTGGATATAGATCAATCATGAAAGATTCTTCTTTGAATAACCCTGCTGGATGTCATGAAACTTGGTTAAATATTAAGCACTTGCGTAATAATATTGCTCAACATGAACATAAAATATTGGGAGTATTGTTACGGGTTTTCAACAAGAATAAAAAATTTAGAAGATTAGCTATGGATATTGCTAATGAATTACCAAGAAGTTCATATTCAGATCCAGCTTTAACAGGCCCATTGATTCATCTTTCTATCAGTATGAAGCGTCCACAATTGGCAAATGCTGTTTGTTCAACAATAAAACCACCAATTTCCCGTGAATTACTTTCTGATTTATTAGTAATGCATTTATCATTTGGAGATAGTGAAGGTACTGAAAGAGTTTTACATCAGATCAAAGAGATGGATTCTGAATTGAGTGCACGAGATTATATGGTTATCATTTCCCAACTTTTGAGGAGAAATAAATTCGATGAAGCTCTCAAAATCTTGAAAACTATTCCATTGGGATGTGCTATGATTTCATACAGCACCATGATTAATCACTTTGTTAAACAAAGTATCTCTCAAGGGGATACCATTTCACCAGACAATTTGGCAATCATTGATGAATTAATTACAAAAGCTTCAACAGTTTCAGTGGATGGTTTTTGGGATAGATTAGCTCCAATGTATATCAAATATTTGGTTTCTTCTGGGCTCAAAGCTGATTTAGAAACTGCACAACGGATATACATCAATACATTTTTGGATTTTAAGGCTAAGGAATATTTGGAGAATCATTTAAGTTTAAAACTAAATTATAGTTTGGATGATACAATTTTGACTACTAATCCATTTTTGATTGAAGATGAACACCAAAAAGGATTGATCTATTTACGTGCTACAGATGGTTGCAAAGTTATCATTTTGAAAATTATTGCAGATGCAGCTATAAGGATTGGAAACGTTGAGGGGCTAACTTTTGCTTTGAATCAGTTGGGCGAAGCAGGTTATACTAAAAATGAAATAATACTTGACTACTCAAGGAAATATAGAAAGAAAGCTTCCCAAAAGGGATTCAATCCTCGTAGATTGAGGTCTTATGAATTGAATGATGACCACAGATTTGAGGATATTAGAGAAAATGATGGTCTAGAAAAATTGAAATTTTTAAAGAAATTTAATAGAAAATCCGCTTCAAAAGTCAAACAAATGAGTGATACCAGGTTTAAATGAGTTTCAAAGAAAAGAAAAAAGATTGTACATAGAATAATGATGCATAATGATTATTTTTTTTTAACGAATTTGTATACTATCAGGATTTCTCTATTTTGGTGGTGGTAATAATAACATATCTTTCTTTGGTGGTAATGAATTGTTGAATTCCCTGACAACAATTGAACAGTCAACTTCTCTACACAGTTGTTTCTTCTTATTTTCTGGGACATTTTGTAAGAATGTTAAACCTGATGATTTCTCTAACGCTTCAATTGGCATTTCAAAAGATCTTAGTGGTGTTTGATTGGAAATTGGGGCATTTGGTAAAACGAATGCAGATACAGCTAGTGATTGATCTCCTGGATTTCTATTTGGGTTTTCAGCAACTATCAATTTGAAAAAATGTGTTGGAACTGCAACATTTGGTGGATTTCCAATCACTTCATATGTAACTCTCCATTTCCCATCTGGATCTCTTTTTGGTAAATATAGGGGACCTGTTACTATACGAACAGATCCATAAGTTTTGGTCAAATCACGACAGAAGAATTCTAAATGGGCCCAGTAGTCTCTGTTGAACCCTTCACCAACTTGAGGGGAGATATTTGTTAAGTAAAAAGTTTCATCCATAGCTGTTTGATTAAATTTGGCATTAGCAGCAGGGGCTTGATGTCCTCTATCATACCCACTTCTGAAAAAATCTCTTAACTGAGCTTTGAAAGTTGCTGGAATCTTTTCATCTTCTTTGAATACAGATTTTTTACGATCAACTGTACCATTTGATTTAATTGATTCTGGAGTTATATGCTCCACAACCCAATATGGATTACGTTTTTGTCTGTCGTAACAACTCACGAACTCTTGTCTATTTTGTAAATCATGAATAGGACCTGGGAACCCATACTTGAAGAATTCTGAAGGGTTGACAACTGGCCCACTGACCAAGCCACCAGATTGTCCCTGTTGAGCTGGAACACCATAACCTGAAGAAGAATCCACTGGAGAAGCTGTTGAAGTTGAAGATGGTTTTCCCCAAAAGAAATTAGCAATGGCCACTGAAACACCAGCACCTAAAGCACCCGAAGCTAAATATTTACTCATGATTGCAGTGAGTGAAGAGCGAGAAACTGGATCAGTTCAATGTGACACGCTTTTTGTGATGATCTAAATTTTTTTTTATTCTGCGATTTTTTCAATGGCATCTCGGAGATTTCAGCCTTCAACGGTCAAACAGGAACAAAACTACAGAATGTATCTAAATATAAACTTTTAAAAAACCTCTAAATATCAAATGTCTTCAATCTTATTTGTTCATGCTCCACTTGCTCAAGGCTTGTTGCCTGCCCTTCCAGTTTGACTAATTTTTCAGTCTCAACGCGTTGATCTGGAGTCAAAATTTCATTGACAACAGTCTTGAAGACTTGTGGATTCAACTGGATTAATGAAATCATCTTTTTGTGGAGGTATGTAGTGTAATCTGGTGATTTATTGCTGATAAATATCAACGTTGGAATTAAAATGGTGAATAAGGGTATTTGTTTTTCCTCAGATTGGACCTGTTTAATCGTCAAGATGAAAAGTTCAATAGATAGCCTTGGATCTGAAATTGTTCCCTTTAACAAATGCTCAAGAATCTTTGGAATCAAACTTTTAACTATTGCTTCATTCAATTTAGATTTCTTTGAAATCACAGACTTGATTGATTGTGTAGCTATTGCGACAGTATTATCATCAATCAACCCGTTTGCCAAATTAGTGGCTATGAAATCAATATCATCATCATTTAATCTTAAAATATCATTGGATGTGCTTAATAAAACACCCATAGAAAGCAAAGAGTTGATATTTGATGTGACGTCTTGAGAAACTTTCAAATGTGGTCTAATGGATTGATAGAAATTGTTGATTGTAACCATGTCATTCATATCAACCAGCTCTTGCAAAAGAGATTTGAGTATTGGCAAAATTGAAGGAATAACTTGGTTTCTTAACACCAGACGATCATGATCTTCATATACTAGTAAAACAAGCTTCAACAGACTTGAGTAAAGATCAACCTTTATCATATCAGGGAATCTTGCAAGCATTTTGTTGATCAATGCAAATGACTTCTTCAACAATTGTTGTTCAGATGGATTCAATTCCTCAACTTCAGTAGAAATTCTATTGTTTTCAGGCTGCAAGTAAGGAACTAAGCGAATGATACTTTGAATATTGACTCTGACCAACTCAAATAATTTATCGACATAAGACTCCAATTCTTCACGAGAGAGACTTGATTCAAAAAAATTCAAAAAGATCTTTGATGTGATGTTCAAAATTTCACTCTGCTCTTCAATGTTACCAGTCAAGATCAATCTTTCAAATACTTCTATACTCTCACTAAAGATTTCATCCTGTAGAATCAACTCAACCAATTTCTTATAGCTTAAAACTTTAGAAAGAGCTTTCAAAGTTCTCACTTTCATATGGTCATGTCCAATCATTGAATGAATAGCTTGTGCATACAACATGAAAAAAAATCCGAACGAATCATTCTGCAATAGATCCACGATTTTAGTCTCATCAACTTCGACAATACATCCAACAACATCCACAAAATTGATCCAACATCTTTCATATAATTCAATATCATGTTCAGCATGCTCATCACCAGAACCATGTTTGATGATTGCAAATTCTTTCAAAGTAGCAACCCATAATGGTAACAAAACATCAAGATGTTCTTCAATTAGTGCATTCAACTCAGCATCTTCGTTACTTGTAGCTAAAATCTTCAATTCAGCCCATGCATTCAAAACAGACAATTTCACTCTTCTTTGACCTCTAATACTTGTAATATGAACATCTTGTAGTTTAAAATCATCCGATTCATGTAAATCATCAAGTGAATCAGTTAAAATCTTCAAAATTCTTCCAAGTCTATTAATCTTCACAATACGTGATCCAATAAAGTTTGCAACAACAGTAATTGCCTTACTAGCAATAATCGGTGTGCTATCATAATGGAAGGCTGGAACTAATGCAGAAGTGATTTGAGCTTGTTGTTGTTCTAATAATGACATAGTAGGGTATATTGGATCTTTTGCACTTGCATAATTATTTATAACATCACCTAATAACTCAATACCTAGTAACCTCAATTCATTAATTGTTGATGTAGAGCTACTGAATGATATTTTGATGAGATCTGAAACTTTTGAAGATAATTGGGTGTATAACTTTGAATCACGCTGAGTATAGCCCAGTAATTGCCTGATATAGCCAAGGAGAACAATCTTGAATTTCCAATTGACTGATTCATTACTCTTACTATCTTCTTCCTCACCTTCACCTTTCTTGGCGATTGATTGGGCCTCTTCATCATTGACATCAACTTCAACTTTCTTGTGAGTGTATTTGGACAAGATTGCTTTATAATTATTGAAAAGCTTTTCATGTAGTGTTCTTTTAGAAACATTGAATAACCTCTGCAATTTAGCAAACCAACTGATATCATATGTTGAATCTAACCATTCTTTAATCATCTTATTCAACAATGTAGATTCCGGATAAGTCTCCAACGCAATCCAGATTAGGTATTCAACTTGTGACAAAAACTGCTTATCTTCGCTTGTTTTAACGATTTGGAACAACAAATCCAATGAAACACCAAACACTTTGAAAGAACTTGTCACTGGAAAAATCTCATTTTTTTCACCATAAAGAGGCAAAGTCAGACCGGTTCCAATGACATTCACCAAATTATTAGAGATGTTGAATTCGATCAAGTCAATCAAAATTTGTTTATCAATAGCATTTATATCATAAATTATCAACTCTTGAACAAGTTTAATAATTTCACTTTGAATAACTTCATCATTATAATAAAATAATAAACCGTTTATCAGATTTTGTAAAGTTTGCTTTGATACTTCATCAAGATCCTTAACTCCTGGACCTAAACTGTTTATAATATGTCTCAACAATTTGGCTAACACTTTGTTGGAATCAACATTCACATTCAAATTTGACATTGCAGCTGATTTATTGAAAGCACCATAGTTATCATCTAGGAAGAACATCTCCAACATTGAAATCATTTCTTTAGCTTTACCAACATTCATAGCAACATGTTTCTCAATTAGAGTAGAAAGGGCATCAAAAGTCCAAGAATGGACTGTTGGATGTGGATCTGATGCCAACTTCATTAATATTTCAAATATTTGACTAAAATGAGAAGAGTTGTACTTATAGATAGCAGCTAAAACCAATGAACTGAAGGATCTTGAACCTGACTGCTGATCATCCACAATTTTTTTGATGAAAATCGGAATCTGTTCAGATAATGAAGTTTTGGATATGATGATACCAATGGAATCAGAGTTCAAATTCAATAGATATGGTGATGGATATGTTTCATATAGCGTTCTCAGAACGTCAAGCACAGATGAGCCAACTGATTGATCAAATTTCAAACCTTCCGACTGGGCAACACTTAAAAATCCATGGATTGCAACAGAACAATTGATCGAAACTGTAGTCTTTGTTGCTTCATTGATATTTTTGGAAAGGATAAAAGATCTCATGTTTTCAATCAATGATAGCTGAACTTTGGTACTCAAATATGGGAATGCTAATGATAAGATTTCAATTGAAGTATCAACAATAACAGTAGACGGTGGTAACGAATAGTTGTTTTTCAGTGAATATTGTGAATCGCCATAGATTGTTATGAAGAAATCATTTGTCAAAGATGGACTGATTGGCTGTAATGTTGTTAGTTCAAGTTCGTCTATCCATGTTGAAGTAGTTAGCCAACTTTTAACAGAATTGAGCTCTATAGAACCTGGTGGTAATGCAACTGTATCAATTGAATAATCAGTGGAGTTGATCTTTGTCGACTGAGGGGTTGAGTATTTGATATTGAGTTCATCAATTTCATAACCTCTGAATTTACTTGTTAACCCATTCGAGAATCCATCATCGATTTGCCACAAGTCTAATTTTTCATTTTTGACAACTTCATAGTTTGGTAGATTGGCAAAGTTTTTGATAGCTTGAATCAATACCAAACTGTTAACATCATTTTTAATCAAGTGAATGATTTTCAAATAGATTTCCAAAATTCTTTGATCAACAAGATTTAACAAGTTTTCAATCTCTTTTGTCTCTGGTATAATTGTACTGATGATTGTTTTTCTCTTACTCAAAAATCCAGCAAAATCAAGAGCAATCTTAGAATCGATATTAATGTTTGATAGGAAATTCAACAATGCGGTCAATGAGTGGCTTTCAACTTCCAAAGCTTTGAATAACTCATCAGGTAATGTAACATCTGGCTTAATGAAATCAAGATTTTCCCACAGTGAAATGAATTCAACTTTCTTAGACTCCAGAAATTCTGGATCTTGATAATTGAATAAACCACACATGACAATCCAACTTGTTAAGATTGTATAATAAACAACACTATCCTTAAGGCTTTGGTTTTTAGCTCTTAATTTGGATGTAACAAGATCCCAAATGTTCAAAATCAATTCAAATGGTACATAATCTTTATCAGCTAATGATATCAAGTTTGCAATGATTAACGACAATCCATGAGTTTTTACAAAGTTTAATCTTTTTTCTGAAGCTTGTTTATAATTATTGGCCAATTCATTGAAGGAGGTATCCAAAAGTTCATTAATCAAATGCGGGAACCCTGCAGCAAAAGTTTTAATAATTTCAACCGAATGTATCCTTATTTCAAAATTAGGAGATGTACAGAGTTTCATCATTGTAATTTGATAATATTCTAAATCAGCCTCAGAAAGACTTGACAAGTTGCTTAAAACTTTCTTAACAATTTTTAACACAGTGATTATCTTGAACGGATGTTCTTTTTCCTCTGAATTCAAATAACTTTTGAATAATTTATCAAAAATCATTCTTTGCCCAGATTCACCTGTTAGTTTTAGCAATGTTTCAAAAATATAGTCAATCTGGTTGATTATTCTTGATGTACAGTTTCTTGAAGCTGAATGGACTCTTTCATGATCAAAAATAGATAATAATAATGATAAAACTTCTTCAAAATGATTTAAGAAATATTCATATTCTTCAGCAACATGTAAATGCAAAAACTGTATTATTGATTCTGTGATTCCAACTTTAGCGAAAAGATTCCCTTCGATATAAAGTTCAATGTAAATGCTGAAAACTGTTTTGAGCTTAAATGAAACCAATTTGAGAGATTCTGCTAAGGCTTTGGCACAAGAGACTCTGATGATTTTTTCTTTGGAACCTAGACCAGCTAGAATAGCCGATGAATGGGCTAGTTGATAAACTGAATGTTCTGGCTTCTTGTGAGTGGAAATGATTCCCCATGATTCATAAAGGTTCGCGATGAGTTGAACAGAGCTTGAGTCATCATTGATTGTATGTTTGAAGAGCTTGAGAAATTTTGTGGTGATAGATTCATCGAGTTCTGCGATACCACCGTTTCTCAGTATCACTGATAGTAAATTAGATAAGTTTAATGAATAATCAGCTATTATAGTTTTTGATTCTTGATTTTTCTTTAGATACCTCAAAATTGTAGAATTTAAAAGTGCAACAAATGAAAGCAATTCATGACCGAAACTTTCATAGATAAATGACAATACCACACAACTTAGGTTTTTCAATGCTGTATAATGTGATTTTTTCTTTGATATATCTGCAAATAACGTGACAAATCTATTTGTTGTATCAAACAACTTATGCTTATTCAATCCCAATATGGTGACATAGTTTTTAGCAATTGCCACTCTTAATGGCTGTGAAACGAGATCTAATTTTTCCTTATTCTTATCATCTTGGAAATAATCTATCTGAGACTCCAATTGCTGTAATATGAATGTTTGTGAATTTGAATCAATTGGTGATGATTTATTGATGATGAACTTGTAAAGGTTGATATGGTAAGAGAGAAGGGTTCTAGCAACTTGACCTGTTTCAATTGAAGATACCAGTGCCTCAAACTTGAAATTGTCCATTATTCTTGCGCCCTTATGGAGTGTTTAGGTTATTGTATTCAAATGTTGTTGATGTTTGATTTGATGTTGTGTCTCTTCGTTCGAATTTGGTCAAAATGTTATGTAATAGATTAATAAGCAAAAAATATTTCACGTGACTCCAGTTTTATACGAAGATTAAAGCTGAATATCTACGTTTTAATTGATTCTTGAGGTGGTTGTATTCTACAATGGTTTGGTGCGCCATAATAATTGAATATTTATTCATACGTATTGATCTCGAAAAATAATGTTTTGAAAGGTAAATAATGTTGCTTTGGAAGTCACTGTTGATACCAATTCGACTAAAGATTCTATTGCAATCTAGCCAAATCTTCTCTAAGCATTGTCAATTTTTCATCAATACCTATATTTTCATTGGTGCAAAGTATCATTAATGGATCAGTAGGTTTAGTATTCATTATCAATTTAAATAGATCATCTCTTGTAATCATTTCCTCTGAAAGTAAATATTTCAAAAATGAAAGAAATACAGCTTGTTCTTTTTCTTCATTCATTTTCAAATGCTCAATCCATTCATTCATGCTATCACATTGGTTTACAGGCCCTGCTTGTTGTTGTGGCGGTGGGGAATTGACACTAGTGGTTTTATATTGTTCATTGTTGTCAATACCTAAGAATTTACCAACATCAAGATAGATTGAGACATCATCATGAAACATTCTATGGATTCTTGTTCTTTTGAGCCTTTCCCTTTTTTCATGAGGTGTGGCTGTAAGGTTCAGGATTTCATTTGTCAATGCTTCTTTATATTCCTCTGTTTCAACTGGATTCATTGTATTGTAAACAAAATGATTCAATTCAGGTGAATATGTTGAGTTGGTTGAATGTTGCTTGACAGCTAAAAACCCATTGATATAATCATCCACTAATAATGAAAGTTCATGTTCAATCTTTTGAGGTTCAAATTTTTTAGCCTTGGCTGCTAATGGGAATCTTTGAGACATGTAATCTCCCAACAACTTTCTTCCTTCCATATTTAGTCTACTCTTATTTGGAACTTTATATTCTGAAAGTCCAGCCAGTTTTTGACAAAAATATCTTAATTCTTCAGCATCCCAATGAGAAACTTTGACGTGTTGCAATTTATCGTCTGTTAAACCTTCACCAGCATTAGAATTTGCAATAGATTTTGGATCAGTTGGAGTAATTATATTTGTTGTATCTTTCAAGACTGTTGAATTGTGGGAATCTTCTGTTGGTGCAATACCTTCCGTCGACTTCAAATTCTGATCCACAGGATCACAGTAAGGTAATTCAGCTTCAGACATTGTTTGTTGATTGAGTATAGATTGAGAATGAAGGGAAGAATCAGTGTATGGGAATCAAGGTGTTTAAATATGTAAACAATGGTCGTGCATAATAACAAAACGAAATCACCCCACAGAATAAAAAGACGCGTCAATACTCGAAAAGTAAACAAAAGAAGACACAAATCAGGATTCATGGTACAATAGTGTGCCTTGAGACGTGTCCTTCAAGAATGTTGGAACTTGGAGCCTTGCGCTTGTTGCTATGACTCTCTTTGATTTTGAATCCAGACCTTTTGAATCACTGGTTCAAATTCTATTCCTGCATCCATCAAACAATTGGAAGGCCAGAAGGCCCAATATTGCAGCCTTCAAAAGTGATTGAAGATGAGTTACCATTGCAATTCACAGTAGTGTTGACCAACTTTGGGAATTTTTGACACTTGAAAATCAGGTTCCTTGGGGTCTTGCTTTTGATTTCAATGATTAGGTTCAAGCATGTTGGGGAGGAGCACGCTTTCTTCAATACACCTTCATGTGTTCCCATCAAGTAATCAAAATTAGGTGAATCTCCAGCAAAAAATAAACATTGTTCAGTGCCAACCTCTATTAAATATGTATCTTGTTCATCATAATTTAAGAATTCTAAATATGGATCATTTGGAATATCCTTGAAATGCTTGTCAAATTCATAAAACGTTTCGTTGTTATAGATATTCAATTGATGGAATTTTTTATTTTCAACAAGGGTCTTGATCAAATTGGCTAATTCGGAACTTCCAACATAATGGACAAATATTATAAAATAATCAGCTGTTGTTTGAGAGCTATCAAAAGTTTCAAGGTCCATTCTTCCGAAGGGGATATCTCTTAGTATGTCACTAGGAACATCATCCCAATTAGATTCACCATCACCTAAATTATCAGCTATGATACAGATGTTTTCTTGGATAACTGGGGCCAGCTGTGGATCTTTCAAGAATAATGCTTCATAATACGCTAATGACTTGAACTCATTCAAAGGGATATAGTCAACATTATCTGCTCCATCAATCTGGTTCACCATTATTCTTTTCATCGTTACAGGTTCAGGTGGTTTTGTTTACATTTTGTTCTCGAAAAGTCGAAACGGCAGATGACACGTATCAAGATGGCAGTGTATGCGCGTATTAGTAACTTCAAGTTTCCCAAGGCCTACTGTATCTAAATTTCAAGTAGTGTATAACATTCACTAAAACGCTCATATAATTTTCTCATTCAAGAAGATACAAGTTCCTTCTTTGTTCGAAGAAATGCACTTTTAATCAATTAATTGATTTCACGATCTCACGAATCACGATCAATTTGTTTCTCTGTGACATTCGCGAATTATGGTTAAAAAAGATTCGACGTTTGCATCAACTTGACCCTTTACTAAACCTACAGGACAATTAAATTTCGGTTAATCTTTAGACTAAAGTTGTTTAAAGAACATACCAGAAAGCCAAAATTCGTCATCGTTTAAATAGCCATTTAGAATGGCGTTACTAACGTCCATCTGATTAATGTTCTGTGAGTTCACTGGATAGTTTTGGGAATACTCTTCGTATGCATACTAACTAGCCCAACCAAAGACGATTGAAATAATAAAAACGAGCTTGCTGGGATCCTCAACCATGGCTTCTCTGTTCAACGTCCTTTTTTTGACTGTGTATCTTGATATGCCGCGTACTGTGTCAGTTTGTCTGCACTAGGAGGCAAAAGAAACAGTTTTCAAAGAGGTCTTAGTCTGAACTCTAGATAAGCTTAGATTGTGTGATTCGATTAGCTTTGTCAAATTATAGAATACATGTTGTGGTTCGTTTAGTTTGCAAGCTGGTTGAAGAGATCACTAATGCATTTATACTCAAAAGCTTTATTGGAATGTAGAGTACTTTAACACTTCGATTTGATCCTTGTAGCTTTCTGGTTAGAAAAAGCAGGTAATTAATGATCGAAAATTAATTCAAGCACAACCAATTAAAGAACAGGGGGCTGTTAGAATTATGAAATGCATGTAATAAAAACGACCTGATTACACATTGAAATAGGATAAACATTGAGATGTATCTATATTGACTCATGAAAAGACTGCTTTTACAACTTCACAACTTGCGCACCTGAATCCTGATCCTGATCTATTTTCGCGAATAGATGGTGGATCGAGGAATTGAAAATTAGTTACACAGCAATTATTTTGAAATCAAATATTTTGAGATAAATCCAAACCCTGTGGCTCTATATAGCTTAGTAAGTAATTAGAAAATACAGGTAAATTTTTTAGTAAAAAAAAAAAAAAAATTTTCGGATTTATAGCTTGTAATAGACCCAGAATATTCTTTACAGGAGAATGATGTCGATGTATCCATTGATACTTTTCAGCTCATGTTTAACTTCGTGTTATTAAATGGTTTCTGACAATGACAATAAGCTAGATTAAACATCTCTTTCCTTTGAGCAAAAGTTTGATTTTTGCTTTAGACGTACGTCTGATATTATATGTTATAAATCACAGATCATGAATTAAAACATTGACTCGCGGTTAGGAACCCATTCTAACTTATCCCATAAGCTTTTGATGTTATAAGATGCTATTTATGCACCTGTTCTCACCAAGTTATGTGTATATGTGAATATTATTTACAATGTGATTGGGTAATTTTGTCAAATAACAAAGCAGATATAATATGTTTTGTTTGATTTGCAATTTGATTCATGATCATCTTGACTTATATTTTCCCACTGATATGATCACTCATATGTACTCTACAATTAATGAATTATAATCAAGCAAAACTTTAAACGTCTACTCACATATAATGATACAGCACATTTTTATCCCAGATTCTCCAATACTTCATCAACACTAGAAACTTTACCATATAAAAATGACAAAGTTGACAAAACAGTAGTTGTAACTTGTTCAGCAGAAACAACTTTCCCATCAAAGTCTAAATCTCTTGTAGCAATTGCATCTTTAACCACAACAACATCATAACCTAATTCAGCACCACTTCTTGCAGTTCCCTGAACACACATATGAGTCATTGCACCAACGATAATTAATTCTTTTACACCATGCTCCTCTAATGTGTTTTGAAGTCCTGTTTCGATAAAAGAGTTTGGATGATGTTTAGTTATGATAATCTCATCATTTTGTGGAGTAACGATATCATTGATTTTAGCACCTGAAGAATCTTTAACAAAGAAAGGGGCATTTGGATCTTGTTCAATATGACGAATATGGATGATTAAAACATCTTTATGATCTTTTCTTATGGAGTTTAATAGAATTGAGGATTGCTGAGCAGCTTCATTAATGTTGACTAGTGGGTATTTACCATTTTGATCCTGGAAATAGTCATTTTGGATGTCAATTAGAAGTAGAGCTTTTTTATAGGTTGTCATGATGATGTTCTGCTGATGAATGTTAATGGCTCTCGATTCTTAAGATGGGCGTTCGTTTGATTCAAATACTTTCTTGAATTTTATTAATAATGACACATTCGTCATTGATCGTGATGTTTGTTACTTCGTGGTCCGAGTAACTTGAGGTACACACTTTGAAAACCATCAAATATCTTTGTAAAGCTTCACCACGTTCACTTTATCTATCTCATTAACATGATTATATTTAGTCGATCCGATTGATCATTTAAAACGATTGTCGCCTTGAAAGTATAAAGTTTCAATTTGTTTAATCGTGTTCTGTGAAGATGTGCACTGAGTATTTTACGAAATGCATGTGTGTCTCTTTGGTTTCAAAACATGAGTTAAGTTATAACCATTGAAATGTTTTCACAAAGCACAAAACCAACTGGCAACATTAGCTGAATCTGGACTGAAGAAGAAAGAAGGCTGTCCTCTCTCACACTTATGGCCATGACTCATGATGGACACGGTGCACTAGCCTCATGAATATGACTATGGTTGATCGCGAATAGAACATGCCCTAAGGTCATCAAATAATAATACAACAGACCCAATACGCATCGCCAATGTACGTGTTCTGAACGTGTTTTAACTTCTGAAGAGACCAACAATGATCTGAGTTATATAAAGAGTAACTAGGCATCCAATTCTCTTTCTTTCAAGGCTCTTTCTACAATTCATTACTCTTTAACCAACCATGAATACCCAACCAGGAGACTACAAATACCCAGAACAACAACAACAACAGCCTCAACAACAACAACAACAACAGTCTCAACAGCCTGTCGTTATTGTTCAACACCCAGAACAGCCAGAACAACCAAGACAATACTCAACTTTATCCAAAGTCTTGTTATACATCAGTGTTATCATCCCTCCAATCCCAGTTATAATTGTCGCTACTGACGCTAATGACATTTTCATCAATTTATGTTTATTATTCCTTTTCGGTGTTGGCGCTTTGTTCCATTCGATTTATGTTGTTTATAAATACACTAGTGGTGAAAAGAGTTATGGTGCTTGGATCAAGAAGTATGGCCATAAGAATGAAAAGAGACCATCTGGTGGGAATGTTTAAGAACTGATTGAGATCTTGATGATATAAGAAGGTGTATGATGATAATAATGATAACAGATAACTGATTAATACTTTTATAGCTTAATATTTTAATACTTGAATATTCTAATACCTTGATGCTGTAGATTTGGATAGATCTTGGATTGGTACCTTTTGGTCACCCTCAATCTGTCAATGAGGGTACATAGCCCAAACGTTATAAGAAAAAGCCCATGTTATTCTGTATTAAGTCCAATGCAATCTGAAATTAAATGTAGCCGGTCTCAGCGCATTGGCACTTGGCTATTGGATGCATTTCCACAGACCTTTGTAACATGGCTGAGCTCTGTTTCCTTTGTACACAAATTTTTTATTCGACTGTTTTTAAAAAAAACGTCAAAATCTCAGTTTCTTCATCTTCAACAACATCATCAACACAGCGGTTAACAACAATTAAAGAGCTCAATTGAAAGAATGTCAGATCAGCCACCAAGTTACAACGAGAAGAACCAGCCTTACAACCAACCAGGTTATAATCCACAGCCAGTCCAACAGCAACAAGATTATCATCAACCTCAACCTCAACAACCAATTCAAGAACAACAACCACAACAATCATCCCAAGACCAATACAAACAATCTCAGCAGCAAAGCCAAGGTCAAGGTCAAGGTCAAGGTCAGCCATACGTCGTTGTTCAACACGGTAACATCCCACCTGAACCAAAGAAATTCGGAGGATGTGCTAAATTTGGATTATACTTACTATGTTTCATTTTCCCACCAATTTCCACTTTAATTGTTTCACCAAAGGGTAGTGACACTATAATCAATATCTTGTTACTGTTTTTAGTTGGTATTGGATCTATTATCCATGGTATTTATATCGTTTACAAATATACTAGTGGAGAAGGTAGTTATGATGCTTGGGAGGAGAAATATGGTAAAAGAAAGCCAACTACGGTGTGAATTAAGGAGTGTATTATAAAGCTATAATACTTAATATTGTTCTATAATTCTATAATATTCATGTTGATGTTTTCCTTGACTTCCCAAAACAGTAGTTAATCATCCCGTCATCGTCTGTCATCTCTTGACGTGTATTTCAAATTTTGTGACAGGGCGGCTAAAAGAAACAAAAAGTTGGAGAAAAACGTCAAAAAGCTGATTCAAAACAATCTTTTGCTTTTACAATCGTTGATGAAATTAGTATTCATTCATGAGAATAAACAATGCTTCAGTCTTTAGAATCATTCATCTTTCATGCTTTAATAGTCCCCTTGGATTGGGTTGGGTTGGTGACTAGAATCTCTGATCCAAAAGAATATCATAATCAATATCATTTAAATTCCACTATTCAATTAATGATTTATAAAATTTGTGAATTTTTGAATGAATTAGATTATGAATTGGTTAAATTATTATCATTAGCAATATTATGTCCTCCTGTGGCTATTTTTTGGAAATTTGGTTGTTGTTTTAAATTAGTGCTAAGTATTCTGGGGATAATGTTGGGATTAACACCTATTGTCATCATTTATACAATCTATTGTATTAGGTCTCAAGAACGGAATGAATATATTGATGATCAACAACAACTCTGACATTATGTGTATTTGATGGTTTTGGTGATGGTGAAGTTATAACGTTCCCACTTAATTGAACTTTTTGCAATGTTGGGATTTTTGCACTAATGATTTGAATTAATTTTGCTGGAATGTATAATTTTAAATTGGAATTATTATTGATAATTTTCAAAATTTCTAAGTTGGACAACATTGGATTCATTAAAAACCCTCTAAATCTTTCACTTATTATAAATTCATTTGAATAATTTAAAGTTAATTCAATCAATTTAGTAAATTGATCCAATTCAAAAGGGTAGTTCCAATAACAATTAATCAATTCTAAATGAGTAATCATATCATCAAATTCTTCAAAATCTATTAAAAACCCATTCAATTTTAAAGATTTAACTTTGATCTTCCTTAAATGATCAATATTAAATAAATTTGATTCTTTATTCATATTTATTAATTCCAATTCATCCAATTTCAAACCATCATCTTGTAAATATTTCAAAAAATTTGAACTATTACTGATCCTCATCTTTAGACTTTTCAAATTTTCAAATTGTTTATTCAATACAACATAATTAAAACTCCATTCTTTCCTTATATCAAATTCCTCTATCTTCAAACATTCAACAAACGGCTTCAACGTATCAATCCCAACCAATTCATCTTTTTCTAACTTGGTCAAATCTCCCCATGATAAACAAACACAATTATAAACATATGGTTTCAAGAATTCATTATACTCTTTTGAACAAATACTCAAATTTATCAAATCTTCAACATTTGGGAAAAACGTGAATAACCTCTCCAATACTTCATGTGGTAACCGGAAGAATAAACTGGGTAGTCTTCGTCTCTTTGCAGTCATTAAAAAGCACCCTATGGATTACATCTATGTTATTAAAGTTGGTGGGGCAAAAAGGTGGAAAGGTGATTGAGAAAAAGTGTGGTTATCTTGAAGGCATTTTTCAGGTGTTTGTTTTTTCTTTGTCGTATTTCTGAGGATAAGTGTACTGACGCGGTTATTGCACAAGGGAAATCAAATGATGATATTTAGATAGAAGAGTTGATTAGATAGTAATATAAGTCATTGAGATGCTACACTAGTAGAATATAATTACTTTTGGCTCTATTTTTCATCAATTGAACCAATATTTAGGGTGCTGAAATGATTTCAAGTGACTTGTGCAGTAGTTAAGAGAACCATATTTTGGCTTTCGCGAAAATCAAGATGTTTACGTCAAAAACATCTACAAAAGCTTCTTTTATTTGTACAAACAAGACACTTTGGAGACACTGTTCTTCCATCAAATTGAAGCTGATTATGGTGAATGTACTAAATATGATGTTCTATTAGATATGAGATGTTTTGGGTCGGTGGCCGATTCCTTTGAGCTTTAGAACTGGCGGTTAAGCTGTTGTATCAGCAACAGGTCAAGTACTGGTCAAGATGATGAGTAATGTCTGCTCTTTGTGTACAATCGTTTTTGTGGCAAGTTGGTTTTTTACATAAAGATGATATTTGTTGAGAAAACTACAAAAGGTGAAGAAGCTCCCAATGAATCCATCGTTTTGTTTATTTCAACTTCACCAAATACACTTGCAAGAAATTAGCTACAGCCCACCACCAGCCCATCCTAGTTGTCATTTCCAACCATGGTAAAGCCCAGGAAGAAACATGGACAGAATACGGCTTAATATCCAGACCATCACCAATAACCTTCAACAACATATCAACCCCAACTTCAACTTCAACTTCAACAACTTCATCATCAACAACAACCATCATGCTCAATACACTGCTGGTAGAAACAACATCAAATCCATCAACACTGGTTTTTTATCATTCGATTTTGATAGACTTGGTATTCATGACGGTTCAAATCAATTGATTGGTTCATCTATTGGAGATTACACAAAACTTCTTGTCCCCTTGATGCAAAACCTTCCAAAAATATCACAACCATTTCTCAATGTTGATCTAATTGAACAATTTTCAAATCGTGATAACTGTTGGATGTCAAAATCAAAGTGTTGTTATGTTTCACATGAATTTTTGATGAATGTACTATTCTTGAGTTATGGGGTGGAGAAAAATCAAAAACAAAAAATCTGCTACATTATCAAGGGTGAAGATCCAATGTACACATACTATTGGGAGATTACACCATCATAAGTTAAAACAAGGTAGATTTTAGATAAGCTTGCTTTGGTTGTTGGATATAAAATTAAATATTCCAAGTCAATTGATGAAAGAGCTTCAACGCTTTGTGAAAACCATCGGTATTTTTGGGCTCATGTGGTATAATTGGAAAACCAATGGTGACTATGAAATTGAAAAGGATCATCGCCATTACTTGTACTGCTTGGGTTGTGTTTTGAGCTGAAAATTTATCCACCTTTCCCTTTGGAATAATTATTGTAGTTTGCGAATGTAGCTTCTCTTTTTCTTTGACTTGGTTCATGAAGCGCGTAACCATGTTTGATTATAACTTTAGTCTAGTGTTCTTGACTTGCATTTTGGATGAGGGTTAAGACTTGTCATTTTGAAATTTCCAATCAAGTGAAATAGCTTTGCAATAGGTCCATTGATGTATTTTGGGCTATCCCTGATCTTTGCACAACATCAATGACATTGTAACTTGACAGAGAATCGCCACCCTACAAGAACTACATTTCACTCAAATTTTTGGGCTACTAGCTGCTCCTTATATAGTTTTTTTTGCAAGAAACTTATTTTTTCTGTCTAGATGGAGTGGTTTTACTATCTCTTGAGAACTCATGCGATGATTTATTGATCGACATTTTCATCTCATGAAGCAAGTAGATAGTTTATTGATATCATTAGGAGGTGATAGGCTGGTGATAGACTGGTGAAAGGGTTTGTCAGTCAATTATAGCTATTGGAGTTGAAGCTCATGTCTTTATAAATTGAAAGTTCAGAGTGTTGATCTATATGTTTGGTACAAAAGTGACCTGGGTCGTTGGAAATAATAATCAAAGATAACCAAAGTAAAGGTCTTTAGTGAGATCTTTAGTGCCATCCTGAATGCTGCTTATTGCAAGTCTGAAGCAAATTGAGTGAGATTTGGTAAAGTTATGGTCTAAAGCTGAGGTTTTCTGGGGTTATGCCGGTTATGTCAAAATGGGTACAAATGTAGTTATGGTGATATTACACTTGAATCTGTACCAAATTTGAAGCCAAAAAGGCATAGAGTAATCAATATGCTTTTATAATCACTATATCTTTACTTAATGATCAATCTTAATTATATAAATCTCAACGTATACTCATTGTATTATATTTATATCACGTGCCCGTCAGTCTGTCCCTATCAAATGAGTCAAAAAAATTATTCTCGAGAGCGTCAACTTTTCAAAATAACGTGGTTAAAACTAATTTCAAAACATTATCAACATCAACTTCAACAACTACTGGGATCAGGATCAATAACAATGGCATCTAGTGGTCATGTTGAGAAGGTTCGTATCCTGAACAAGGACACGATCCATATCGGTTATGACTTGCAAGATCATATCATTGATCAATTGATTACTACTGAAAAATCTTCAACTTATGTCATCATAACTGATTCAAATATTGTTAAAAAGGGTTATTTAGATTCTTATTTAACTAAATTTCAATCTAAATTAAACAATGATCAAAGAGTCTTATCCTATGTTGTCTCTCCGGGTGAAGCTAACAAGACTCGTGAAACTAAAGCTAAAATTGAAGATTATTTATTATCAAAAGGTTGTACTAGAGATACTGTCATTTTAGCAATTGGTGGTGGTGTCATTGGTGATATGATTGGGTTTGTCGCTGCCACTTTCATGAGAGGTGTTAGAGTCGTTCAAGTCCCAACTACTTTACTAGCAATGGTTGATTCTTCAATTGGTGGTAAAACCGCAGTTGATACTCCATTAGGTAAAAATTTCATTGGTAGTTTTTGGCAACCACAATACGTCTTTGTTGATTTAACTTTCTTGTCAACTTTACCTGAAAGAGAATTCATTAATGGTATGGCTGAAGTTATTAAAACTGCAGCTATTTGGAATGAAGATGAATTTACAAGATTGGAACAAAATGCTTCAAAATTCTTAGCCACTATAAAGAAAAGAAATAGTGCAGGTGATACTGATTTGACTCCAATTAAAGAACACGTTTTCAAATTAGTTAGTGAATCAATCAAAGTTAAAGCTGAAGTGGTTAGTGCTGATGAAAGAGAAGGTGGTTTAAGAAATTTATTGAATTTTGGTCATTCAATTGGTCATGCCTATGAAGCTATCTTGACACCTCAAGCTTTACATGGTGAATGTGTTGCCATTGGTTCAGTTAAAGAAGCTGAATTGAGTAGATATTTAGGTATATTGTCACCAGTTGCAGTTGCAAGATTAGCTAAGATTTTCACAGCTTATGGATTACCAATTTCTGTTGATGATAAAAATTTCAGAAAAATTGTCAAGAGTAAAAAAACTCCTGTTGATACTTTGTTGAAAAAAATGGCTATTGACAAGAAAAATGATGGTTCGAAAAAGAAAGTTGTCTTGTTGAAAGCTATTGGTGAATGTTATGAAAAATCAGCCTCATTTGTTAATGATGAAGATTTAAGATTTGTTTTAACTGATGAAACTAAAGTTTTTCCATTCCAAAATGATTCAACTTTTAACGCTACAATCATTCCTCCAGGTTCAAAATCCATCTCAAATCGTGCACTAGTTTTAGCTGCTTTAAGTGAAGGTGAATGTAAAATCACAAACTTGTTACATTCAGATGATACTGAACATATGTTGAATGCCATTGCTAAATTAAAAGGTGCAGAGATTTCTTGGAAAGATAATGGTGAAACTTTAATCATCAAAGGTAATGGTGGTGATTTGAAAAGTACTGATCAAGAATTATATTTAGGTAATGCAGGTACTGCTTCAAGGTTCTTAACTTCTGTTGCCACATTGGTTAAATCTCACCAGGGTCAAAATCATGTTGTCTTGACTGGTAATAAAAGAATGACTGAACGTCCAATTGGTCCATTAGTTGATGCTCTTAGATCAAATGGTGCCAAGATTGATTATTTGAAAAATGAAGGCTCGTTACCTTTAAAAATTTCAACAACTCCATTAAAAGGTGGTCATATTGAATTAGCTGCTACAATTTCATCTCAATATGTCTCTTCATTATTAATGGCTGCTCCATATGCTGAAACTCCAGTCACTTTGAAATTAATTGGTGGTAAACCAATTTCAATCTTGTATATCGATATGACTATTGAATTGATGAAAAAATTTGGTATTGAAGTTGAAAAATTACCAAATTATACTTATGCAATTCCAAAAGGTTCATATGTTGCCCCATCTGAATTTGTTATTGAATCTGATGCATCTTCATCAACTTATCCATTAGCGTTTGCTGCAATGACTGGTTCTACTGTCACTGTTCCAAATATCGGTTCAAGCTCTTTACAAGGTGATGCAAGATTTGCAAGAGATGTCTTGAAACCAATGGGTTGTAAAGTTGTTCAAACTGAAACTTCCACAACTGTGACTGGTCCACCAAGAGGTTCATTAAAACCATTACCAGAAGTTGATATGGAACCAATGACTGATGCATTTTTAACAGCTTCAGTTTTGGCAGCTATTGCCACTGATGGTGGTGAAAACAGAACAAATATCATCGGTATTGCAAACCAAAGAGTTAAAGAATGTGATCGTATCGCAGCTATGGTTCATCAATTGAATAAATTTGGTGTTGTTGCTAATGAATTACCTGATGGTATTTCTATCCAAGGTGTCAAGATTTCTGATTTGAAAACTCCTGAGGAAGGTATTTTCTCTTATGATGATCATCGTGTTGCTATGAGTTTTTCATTATTGGCTGGTATGGTTAACAATGGTCCTGTAACTATTGAAGAAAGACATTGTACTGGTAAAACCTGGCCTGGTTGGTGGGATGTTTTACATTCTTCATTACAAGCTAAATTGGATGGGTTTGAACCTGCTCAAGTTGAAACTAAACAACAAATTAATAACAAGAGTATTATTGTTATTGGTATGAGAGCTGCTGGGAAATCTACTTTAAGTAAATGGATTTCATCATCATTGGGTTACAAGATTATTGATTTAGATACTGTTTTCGAAGCACAATATGGTGATATTAGAGAATTCATTAAAAAGAATAGTTGGGAAGAATTTAGAAGCTTGGAAATTAAAGTTTATGAATCAATTATTTCTAAACATTCCCATAACACCGTTATTTCAACTGGTGGTGGTATTGTGGAGAGTAATGTTGCAAGAGCTCATTTATCCAATTATGCTAAAGAAGGTGGTATTGTCTTACACATTGAACGTAATTTGGATAACACTGTTCAATTCTTGTCAGAAGATGCTACTAGACCAAGATATGTTGAAGAAATTGAACAAGTTTGGAAAATCAGAGAACCTTTATACAATGAAGTTTCTAATTTCCATTTCTTCGCACCATTTTGTAATTCAAATAAAGAATTTTTGGAATTGAGAAAAAACTTTGAACATTATATTTTCAAAATCATTGGTCATCAAAATATTAATTTTGAAGAATTTAAAAGATCATTTGCTTATGTTTTAGATATTGAAGATGTTGAAGACGAAGCTGAACATTTGGAGGTTAACTCTTATGGTGCTAATGCTATTGAATTAGTTTTAACCAAACCTTATTCAAAAAGATTTATTGAACAATCTATTTCAATTTTAAGAAAATATACTGATTTGACCTCAATTTTAACCTTAACTTCAACTAAAGATTTGGCCAAGTATGAAGAAATTGTTAATTTGGCTTTCAAGAATGGTATTGATTTTGTCACTTTGGATTTAACTTTGGAAGCTGAATTATTGAGAAGATTGATTAACAATAGTGGTTACACCAAGATTATTGGATCATATGTTGATACTACTGGTGAATTGAAATGGGGCAATGATGTTTTTTTGGGTTATTACAAATTTGCTCAAGTTTTGAATGCTGATTTGATTAAATTAGTTGGTACTGCTACTTCAATTGTTGATAATTTCGAATTGGAGAATTTCAGAGCCAAATTGGCTGATTCTAACTTGATCTCATACAATCTTTCTGATTTTGGTGTCTTGTCTAGAGTTACTAATCCATTATTGACTCCTATTTCTAAATCTGAATCTATCAAACAATTGAATTCATTATACTACAAGATTGGTGGTGGGTTAACTAAGAAATATTATGTTGTTGGTACTCCAATTTCTCATTCCAAATCTCCAATCTTGCACAAAACAGGGTTTGAAATTTTGGGCCTACCTCATAGTTTTGAAAAATTTGAAACTGATGATGTTAAAAAAGTTGGTGAATTGCTTAAGGATCCACAATTTGGTGGTGCTGCTGTTACAATCCCATTGAAACTAGATATCATGGAATATTTGGATGAATTGACTGAATCAGCTACTTTGATTGGTGCTGTCAATACAGTTATCCCATTAGGATCTGGCAAGTTTAAAGGTACAAACACTGATTGGATTGGTATTAAAGATTCATTATTGAACCAAGGTTTCCCAAATGTTTCAGCTGATTCTGAAATCAATGGGTTAGTTGTTGGTGCTGGTGGTACATCTCGTGCTGCTATTTATGCCTTGAGTCAATTGGGTTGTAAAACTATTTACATGATTAATAGAACTTCATCGAAATTGCAATTGATCAAAGATCATTTCCCTGAAGATTTCAACATTCACATTTTAGATTCAATTGATGATGTTGAGAATTCAAAACCAATTTCAGTTGCTATTAGCTGTGTTCCAAGTGATTTACCAATGGATCCAACCTTGTTGAACAAATTGGAAAGATTATTGAATAAAGGTGCTGCTAACAAAGGGAAAGCCGGTTTCACTCCAATGTTATTAGATTGTGCTTATAAACCAAGAGTCACTCCAGTTATGGAATTGGCCAAGGCTAAATTCGAATGGAACATTGTTAGTGGTGAAGAAATGTTGGTTAACCAAGGTGTTGCTCAATTCAAGATTTGGAACAGTACAGTTCCTCCATACAAGGCTATTTCAGATGCTGTGAACAATTAGAGAATTTAATTAGAAACATTATTAAATACATTTATTTTATATTATTCATTTGTAATATCATCTTAACCATGTATCAACTCACTTAGCTGAACAAATTCATTAATTCTATCAATTTTTTCAACTGGAACACCTTCTCTTTCGAAATATGTTATAGATTCAACCTTTCCAACACTTTTCAAGTCATCACTAACATTATCTTTAGTTATTATATGTCCTTTGAGGTCTATTTCTTTTCCATGTAGTTTTCTACCACGTAAATATGTGATTGTTTCATTATTCTCTTCGGCCTTGATTAAATATTTTGAGACTGTTGGGTGTTCCCCTGTGTACCTTATACGGCATGGCACACTATTGACTTTGTAGCTGTTAGTGGTGTCCAAGTTGATATTTCTAGCTTCTGACATCTTTGGTGGGTTCTGTATGGTCTTTAACAAATTGTTTATAGTTCGCGTAATGTTTTTTTACTTTATGCTTTTGATTTTTTGGTGTCTTTTTTTCTTACAGAACGAATTCGCGAAGTATTGAAAAAAACTGTTAAGCTGATTTTTAGGCATCGAGAATCCATCACATAAGAAAGATATAAAACATACGGAAAAGATGGCTAGTTATCCTTATTTGATATCGAGGTATGTTGGTACTTTTTGTTTTAACAGAGTTTTTTAATGCTGACCTTTTTATAGAACCTTGGATCCATTATTTGGTGTCTTTATTGGTGTTGCTAGCTTTTATGCACATGAACAAAGAGTTGGAAGAAAACCAGGACACTCACTGAATGAGCTCGTGGCAAAGAGATTTTCAAGCGAGAAGAAGCAATGATATTATCGGGTGGTCTTTGAAGATTTATTTAATTAGGTTACAGCTTTTCACAGGGGTGATGATCAAATGAAACAATAGAAGCTCTAGGAGACTTGGATTACAGTATGAAACCCATACACCATGTTATGTTTACGAATACAGAATTTGTTATGACTTTTATCAGCTCAGTCGTGTAGGTAGTTTAAGTTGGAAAGTTAGGGTTGTTGTGGCCAATAGTCCATATCATTACTATCATTTGATCAAGATCAATATGAGAAGGATCAAAAAAAGAAACTATCTGCCTTCTGTCATCGAAGCATCTTTTGAATAAAGAACTTTTAACAGGCATAATAAAACTATTTCAAACGGCTCAATTACTGTCTCAATGACGTACTTTCCAACATTCATGTCACTATTAGTTCGGAGAAATCTCAACATCCAATCGGGTCTTCCGAAAGTTTGTCAGAACGTTAAAGGCTCAAGTCCATAGACCACAAAAGCCGAACAACATGAAACTATAATCAATATGAAACTTCAACACTTGCACTTACAAGAATAATCCATTTAAACATCCTAAACTCTCAGCTTTGAAGAACCATTTTCCCTGGCTTTCTGTCTTTTCCATAGTAACTCCGACAACACACCAGCCAAAATCGAAGAAAATTAGAAAAAAACGGATTAAAACGTCCTATCAGCGAACAATCAACAGATCGAAACATTCAGTCTCAGTCCTTCAAGTTGATGGTTACAAGTTTGAGTTGCCTTGCAGAATGCCTCCAAAGATCGTGTCAAAGGACTCCAGCTATATCTCCCCTTTGCAACAACTACAGACAAAAAACCTGCCAGCGAAAAGAATAAGAGTCGCCAGAGCCTGTGATACATGTCGTCGAAGAAAAGTCAAGTGTGATGGGAAACAACCATGTATCCATTGTACGGTCTACTCATATGAATGCACTTACAACAAGGCAAGAAATACTGGTGGTGGAAGTGGTGGTCCTGCTGCTAAAAAGCAAAAGAAGGATGAGAGTGCTGCTACACAAAACGTGAAGGTTGAAATTGAAGATAAACAACCTGAAGCTCCCAATATTAGTGAGCAATTGATTCAAACTATTTTTCCACAATTGGACGTCAAGAATGAAAATTTCAACACTGATTTGTTTCTTCAGGTGTTAGAAAAGCATAGAAAGAATGGTGTTATTGATCTAAACTCAATTTTGAAAGAGTATCAATCCATAGAAAACCCACATATCCACAAGTCGATTGCTCCAATAGAGATCAAAATCATACTACCACCTAGGGAAATAGCACTAAAACTGATATATAGAACATGGAATGACGCATGTGTGCTTTTCAGATTCTATCACAGACCTTCCTTCATTAATGATTTCAACAGCTTATATGAAACAAACCCAAGTGAATATTCAAATCATCAAAATAAGGTTCTACCATTAATATATTCAGTCATTGCTGTTGGTGCATTGTTTTCTAAAGGCGACAATGCTATAGATAATCAATATTTACAAGATGAAGGTTATAAATATTTCATTGCAAGTCGAAAATTGATTGATATCACGAATTCAACAGATATCCAATCGATCCAAACCATTTTCATGCTGACTTTATTCCTACAGTGCTCTGCCAGGTTATCTACTTGCTATTCCTATATCGGTATAGCTCTACGAAGTGCCCTAAGACAAGGTCTTCATAGAAAATTACAAAATTTTTCCAATCCAATTGAATCAGAAATTAAAAAAAGATTATTTTGGACCATCTACAAATTGGAGATTTATGTCAACTCAATGCTGGGACTACCTAACTCTATTGGTGAATCTGATATTGATGTTGAGTTCCCCCAAGATTTAGATGATGTTAATATTGACGAATTTAGAATTCTGCCTCAACAAGAAGGCAAATTATCATCTTGTGGTATGAATAACTCACACACAAAATTGATTTTGATTTTAAATCATATCGTTAAAAGTCTATACAAAACATCCAACCCTGTATTTGTGATTCCAATAGATACAATCAAAAATCTAGAGAATGAGTTAAAGGTTTGGTTATATGAACTGCCAAGTCAGTTGAAACCAACTAGTGATGTTCCTAAGGAATATTTGAAAGCTAATAAGCTACTACATTTGGATTACCTTCATGTTCAAATCATGCTTTATAGACCATTCATTCATTATGTCAAGATTGCAAAGGAAACAGGATCAACAAGCAGTTCATATCAATTAGAAAAAGGCTGGAAATGTATCGAAATCTCCAAACAAATTGTCTATTTAGCTCAAGAAATGATTAACAAAAAACTGTTGAATGGGTCCTATTGGTTTAGTATTTATACAATTTTCTTTGCAGTTGCATGTCTTGTCTATTATTTCCTTGAAGTTGATAAATCAAATGAAGAAATCAATCAAACTATTGAATTGGGTAAACAAATCCTAAGTGTCTTGAAACAAAGATCAGTATCTGCTCAAAGAATTTACAACTTATTAAACTCAATGTTTGAAAACTATGATAGAAATAACATCAAACTTCAAGTCATGGACCCTTCATCAGTGAAACCAGACCCTGTTACAGAAAAACTACAATCCCATATAATGGATTCTTCAATTGCAATTGCCCCATCTGGTCCACCATTAGAACAATCACAATATGTCCCTGGTATGATGGATGATTTCGATCTAAAGATTTTTGGAAGATTCTTACCATCCTATATGTTACAAAGACCCCAAGGAGCAGAAGGACCAGGTACGAATGGTGGTGATATGCCAACTTCTGAAGTATTGGATGACTTGAATAGAAGTGTTAATTTTAGTGGGAATCATCAAGTTGATAGTGCTCCAAGTACTGTCAAGACTAATGAAAATGAGCATGAAGAAGAAGAGGAAGAACCTATTTTTGATTGGGACCGTTTCTTTGATAAGGATGATAATGGGTTAAACTTTGATATATAGAATTAATGAAATGAACTTGTAATCTGATTTTACCGTGTATATCCGACATCGGCCTCACGTGAAAGGCCGCTATTTTTACGTGGCGTTGAAAAAATTAAGCGCGACAAGTCACAATACGTGAACTTTTGGATGAGGTTGTGATTTGGCTCTTCGAAGATGTTTTATTCCAACAAAATAGGTAAAGATTGTGAAGCTTCTTGATGGCTGTTTCGCTTTGTCGTATTGTTGCTTCATTTTGAGGTCATTGTGGTGGCTACATTAGGCGGCTTATAGATCCAAAAACTTTACGGGCCAGATACTGTTGTTAAAAACTGTGGTTCCGATGGTTCTAACGTTTGACGAATCCAAGATGGAAAGTGTGTATTTTTTTGATCCACAATTGATAAAGAACCAAAGTAATTAAATCACACCGTTGATCAGACGAACAAAGATGCAAAAATTAAACTCATATAAATACCATCCTGAAAGTCCGTTTTTAGCTCAGAAGCTTAGCATGTTTTGCTATTAATATTGAACATTTCTTGGTTTAAATGGTTGGCAAGGACTATTCTGCTTGGTATTGGAGATATATTCCACATGAAAGGGTGGTTGAAGATTGGGCTGAAGATGACAAGTCCATAAGTTCAGCATTCGGTTCAGATACCCCTGTTGAAGAAGAATTGGAGTATAGAGATGAAGCAGATCGTAAATGGTGGAAATTCTTTGATGAATATGAATATCGTTATAACAAGCAAACAAGATCACAGAAATCGTGGTGGAGATTCTTTGATAAAAATGCTTCGAGTGCTGAGAAGAAACTAGTTATTAAATTAGATCTTTTGATTGTTACTTTTGCTATTATGTCTTATTGGTCAAAGAATTTGGATCAAGCTAACATCAGTAACGCTTATGTTTCTGGTATGAAAGAAGATTTAAACATGCAAGGTAATGATTATTCTAATGCTCAAGCCTTGTTTCAAGCTGGTACTGTCATTTTCCAAATTGTTTTTATGTATCTATTTCCAAGAGTTCCACTTCATCTTTTATTCTTTGGTGGTGATTTAATATGGAGTGCTGTTACATTTGCTACTGCTTTTATCCATACACCTCAACAATTGAATGTTTGTAGATTCTTTGTTGGTGCAGGAGAGTCTGGTTATTTCATTGGTATGCATTATTTACTTGGGAGTTGGTATAAAGCCGATGAATTAGGTCGCAGAGGTGGGTTGTTCTACTGTGGACAAATGCTTGGTACACTTACATCGGGGCTACTGCAAGCTACTATTTTTCAAAATTTAGATGGTGTTCATGGAAGATCTGGTTGGAGATGGATGTTCTTAGTTGATGGTTTGGCTACCTGTACAATTGCCTTCTTTGCTCTTTATTTAGTTCCTGGTACACCTGAAAGTTGTTGTTCATTATTCTTGACCGATGACGATATTAGATTAGCTCGTTACAGATTGAAAAAAGCCAATGTCACACCTCCATCAAAAGACCCACCACCATTCTTCAACAAAAAATTATGGATAAAGGTCTTATTAGATTGGAGAATTTATGTTCTTGGAGTTTTGGACTATCTATTCTGGAACGCGGTCAATACAGGGTTTTCAAATTTTGCTCTTTGGCTTAAATCTTTGAAAAGATACAATACTCCTCATTTAAACAGGTTGACTTCAATTCCTCCTGCTTTGGGGATTGTTTGGATTTTATTAGTTTGTGGCTCTGCAGATATTTTAAAGTCAAGAGCCTTTGCGATATTTTGGGCAGAAATTTTTGTCTTAATGGGTAACATCATTCTTGCTAAATGGGATGTGGCAGAATCAGCTATATGGTATGCTTTCATGATCAGTTATTTCGGTATTTCAGTGTCATCAGTCATTTATGGTTGGTTGAATGATATCATGAGATATAATGCCCAAGAAAGATCAATTGTTCTATGTGCTGTTAATATTTTTGCTAACCAGTCTACAGCTTGGACCTTGCCATTAGTCTTTAAAACTTCAACAGCACCTCGTTATCACCAAGGTTATGTGTTTGTTGCGGGTCATAGTGCTGCGTTGATGGTTTGGAGTTATGTTACACTCTTTTTCTACAAAAGACAAGAGAGAAAGGATGCTAGATCAAACGGTATTGTTTTGTATAACTCTAAAACTGGTGATATCCCCGTTGAGGTCAAAAAGCACTTGGATAATGCGTCATCATCTGGTAATGGGAACTTGTCCGAGGGAGAGTCTAGCTCATTAGTGAAGAATAATGAAAGGTTAGAAGTTAGAAGTATATCATGATAGTATTTGGGACTTCAAACTGGTAGAATTATAGAATACATGATTATTTGCTTTATGAACAGTAGTTGATTGTGTTCTGTCATTAATATAGTGTCAATAAATTCTCAAGAATTCGCGAATTTGATAACGAGGAAAAACTTTGCTGAGATTTGAGATAACGATCTTGAAAAGTGGGCTATCATTGTAATTACAGAATGGGTAAAGATTGTGAGGATCAAACTTTGAAGGATGATGGAAGCCACAAAATACAAAATGATCTAATTTTGGGATCTCACTGTGGCGACTACTTGATGTTGGAGGTTGATAATAATGGTATTAAAATTAATTCCTAGCCTCCGTAGGTGGTTTTCAGTGTTGCAACATTGGAATTGGTGCTTCGATACATTGTCTGTTTTGTGATCTACGATTGATAAAGAGTATCAGCTAAAAATTGACTGAGAGTTGATACACCATCTCGATGGACGGAAATGCTAAGATCAAAAGGGTTATAAATACCTACTTGAAAAGCCATTCTCGAATCAAAATGCTGGCCAAACTTGAGAAAACATTGGATAAAATTGGTCATAATGATTTCAAAAGATTATTCTGCTTGGTATTGGAAGTTTATTCCTCATGAACGTAAAGTTGAGGATTTGTCTGATGATGAGAAGTCCTTTGACGTTACTGGTTCTGAATTCAATGTTGAAGAAGAACTAGAGTTTAGAGATGAAGCAAATCGTAAATGGTGGAAATTTTTTGATGAATACGAATACCGTTATAACAAGCAAACAAGATCTCAGAAGTCCTGGTGGAGATTCTTTGATAAGAATGCATCAAGTGCAGAGAAAAAGTTGATAATCAAGATAGATTTTCTAATCATGACGTTTGCCATTTTGTCATATTGGTCCAAGAACTTGGATCAGGCTAATATCAATAACGCTTATGTATCTGGTATGAAGGAGGATCTAAACATGCAAGGGAATGACTTCTCAAATGCTCAAGCTTTATTCCAAGCTGGTACTGTCATCTTCCAAATCATCTTCATGTATTTGTTTCCAAGAGTTCCAATTCATTTCTTGTTTTTCGCTGGTGACTTGATGTGGAGTGCTATCACTTTTGCAACGGCTTTCATCCACACACCTCAACAATTGCATGTTTGTAGATTTTTAGTTGGTGCAGGAGAATCTGGTTATTTCATTGGTATGCATTACTTACTTGGAAGTTGGTATAAGGCTGATGAGTTGGGTCGGAGAGGTGGTTTATTTTATTGTGGCCAAATGCTCGGTACACTTACAGCAGGCTTGGTACAAGCAGCAATCTCTCAGAACTTAGATGGTGTCCATGGTAGAGCCGGTTGGAGATGGATGTTTTTAGTGGATGGCTTAGCCACAAGTTCTGTTGCATTCATTGCTCTTTATCTAGTCCCTGGTACTCCTGAGAATTGTTGTTCACTATTTTTAACTGACGATGATATTAGGCTAGCTAGATATAGATTGAAAAAGGCAAATATTGCACCCCCATCAAAAGATCCTCCACCGTTCTTCAACAAAAAACTCTGGAAGAAGATCATATTTGATTGGAGGATTTATATTCTTGGGGTCTTGGACTATTTGTTCTGGAACGCAGTCAATACTGCATTTTCCAACTTTGCTCTTTGGTTAAAATATTTGGATAGATATGATACACCACATTTAAACAGATTGACGTCGATTCCACCTGCCCTAGGGATTCTATGGATCTTGTTGGTTTGTGGATCTGCTGATATATTGAAATCCAGAGCTTTTGCAATATTTTGGGCAGAAGTTTTCGTTTTAATGGGTAATATCGTCCTTGCTAAATGGGATATTGCAGAACCAGCAATGTGGTATGCCTTTATGATCAGTTATTTCGGTCTTTCGGTGTCATCAGTTGTGTATGCTTGGTTAAATGATATTATGAGATATGATTCGCAGGAAAGGTCTATTGTTTTATGCGCTGTTAATATATTTGGTAACCAATCTACAGCATGGACTTTACCAACGGTGTTCAGGACTTCAACAGCACCTCGTTATCACCAAGGTTATGTATTTGTTGCTGGTCATAGTGCAGCATTGATGGTTTGGAGCTATGTCACATTATTCTTTTACAAAAGGCAAGAAAGGAAGGATGCTAGATCTAATGGTATTGTGCTATACAATTCCAAGACAGGCGACATCTCCGTTGAGGCAAGAAAACATTTGGAGACTGAGTCGGCAGCAGGTGGTGTATTTGAGGCTGATTCTAACTCTCTCACTAAGACTCAAGAACTCTTAGAAGTTAGAAGTATATCTGAATGAATGTTTGAGGAGGTTATCGAAAAATAACTTCTAGTTGTAGAATGATTGATTTCTGTCATTTGACAAGGGCAAGTTCATAATTCGCGAATTTGAATGAACAAAACATAAACACGAGAATGAGCCAACCGTTATTTAACCATCAATAGACAGGATTCAGAGTGTGAAATAATGAAAGATAAAGCAGCTGAACCACAAGGGCTGCCGTCCACTGAAGAAACCAAACTTGGCTCTATCCTCGATGATCTCACAGAGGAAGTTCAAGATGTTAAAGATTCAATACTTCATATTTCTCAAAAATATAGACAAGATTTAACAAATCAATTGGAACATTCATACAAGTTTGAGCAACATATTGCTCGAAACTTTCAAAGATTGAATAAGAAATCTAAAAGAGTTTATCAGAAATCAGAGTCATTGAACACCTCATTGAATAAAACATTGGATCACCTCAAATCATATGATGAATTGAACTGCCTATCCACAGATATCACTGATTCAGTTTTTGGTATTTTGGAATCATTGACCAAAATTGAAATGCTTTTACCATACAATGAAAGATTAAGTGTCAGAGACTCTCCTCATAGGGCACATTATCCAAATTTGTACAAGTTGTTGAACCCGAAGGAAGAAGAAGATGATACTATACGGGACCAGGACGAGCTGTCAAGTTTTGAACAATTGGAGATACAAGGTGAAGAGGAGTACAATGAGGCTGATGAAAGTAGTAACGGTGAAGCAGGGCCAGATGAGGTAGAGGAAGAAGATGAAGATGATGGTGTGGAATTACAAAGCGTGGTACCCAGTGAAGATGTGAGAAGTGATACAATAAAGCCAGAAGTTGAGACTGAGGAACCCAATTCGAAGAAACAAAGTGAATATGAACCTGAAAGTAAAGGAGAATTAATAGATCATGATCTCCCTGAAAATAAAACTGATAATGGGAAAAATGCAAACTTACGTGAAGAATCTCCAGAAATCAAGAAAGTTTCAGAGGATACCAAGAATGAGGAACTAGGCCTCGCTGACCTACAGAAAAAACAAGAGTTAGAGTTGGAAACTGTGATTGATAACTATAAAACCAACAAAGAGTCGAAGCAGCAAAAATCTCAAAGTCTGAAATCACCTCACCCAGTCAGATCCAGTATATCAATACCAACGCCATCAAGTGCTGGAGTTAACGCCACAACAGGGCTAAGTACAAACCACGAGTTCCCTCAAAGTATAAACAAATCTATACCAACTCAAGCGCAAGGCACTATGGTTTATGATTCCTCATCACAAGGATCCTCACTGGCTGATAATTTGAAAAAATTTATTAGCCAAAACAAATCATTTTCAGGCGATAACGTCAGTCCTTGAAGGGATGTTTTGATCTAAAACTTTTTGAATTATTTCATCAAAAATAGGTTTCAAATTTGCATTTTCATATAAATCAATCAATGTCTTTTCGCTAACTCTTTGTTCTTCAATTAGTTCAACAAATGTAGGATCAATTGGAACGTTCCCGAGGTATGGAATATGGAATTGCTCGCTTAATAACTTCCCACCTCCAGAGCTGAAAATGTTTGTACATTCTTCACAATGAGGACATATAAAGCCAGACATGTTCTCCACTATACCTAGTGGTTTGAAGTTGACTTTCTTACAAAAGTTTATCTCTTTCTTAACGTCAGAAGTGGCAACATTTTGTGGAGTTGTAACGATAATGGCACCATCTGGATTGGCAAATTTCAACTCTTCAGCAATACTAATATGCTCATCACTTGTTCCCGGTGGAGTATCAATCAATAGGTAATCCAAGTCACCCCAATAAACATCTTTAATAAATTGCTTAATCATTGCAGTCTTTTTTGGACCTCTCCATACAACACTATTACCACGATTGTTCAACAAGAATCCCAAGGACATGATACTTAGTCTCTTTGAGCTGTCAATGTAGACTGGAACCCAACCATTACTTGCCTGAAATACTTGTTTGTTCTCCAAGCCAAACATTCTAGGTAGAGAAGGACCAGTCAAATCTATATCTAGCACTCCAACTTTAAAGCCTTTATTCACCAACGTTAGGGCAGTCTGTGTGGTGACTGAGCTCTTTCCAACACCACCTTTCCCTGAGAGAATCAGCACTATGTGCTTGATATTCTTTAAAGATTCAGGAGCTTCGTCAATATCCATTTTCTATCCAGTTCATTTCCAACCAAATCAAGTTCAAGTTGATGATTAATTCGAGATCAAACTTTTTTTTATCAATCAAGTCGCGAAAATTCAAAAGCAAAAAAAGCTTGAACACGACAACAAAACAAAAACAAAAACATAACGCAAGAGACGGTCCTTAAGGCACTAAAGCGTCAAGATGGCATCCAGGTGGGTATCATATTTGGAATCAGCGTGTGCATTTCCCCTAACAAATTGTCTTACTATAGATACTCCAGTCAGCTGCACCAACGTGAAAGAACATCGTTGTTTGACCAACCGCAACGAGTCTCATCTCCATATGACAAACAAACGAAAGCAGACTATAACGAGTCTGAACTATCACATTTAGAGTCGCAGAATGACGACGAAATGGGTGTCATGTCCACCAAAATACAGCAGTTGAAAGGTGTATGTCTATCTTTGTTGAGCAAGTTTAATCATTGTTACTAACGTTGTACAGTTAAGTCTAAGAATGGGTGAAGAAATCAGAGGTTCTAACAAAACACTTGAGGAATTGGTGGGTATAATCATGATATGATTTGAAAGATTAAGACTAACCATTTTTTAGGGTAATTCATTTGATCAGTTGGGTACTAGATTGAAAAACACATTCAATAGAATGCTGGTGATGGCTAAAAGATCGGGAATCAGCATCAAGACATGGTTCTTCCTGTTTGTCTTTGTCATATTATTTTTCTTCTGGGTTTGGATACACTAATCAGCATCGTTACTAAAACACAACATTGTACACTAGATTCATCACTAATATTTATACCATTTCATCGTCGTCGTTTACGCTGTGTTTGCTGTAGCTTTCGCGAAAAGGCTGAAGTTGATCGAAAAAACTTTGAATCTTTTTAATTATGTAAAGTCAGAATAAGACCACATAATATGGCCAAAAAGAAGGTTTCCAAGACTGAAGAAATCAAGTTTACGTTCCCAAATGATTTAAGAATACCGTCTAGAGGATTTTTACCGACTCCAAATGTCGTTTCTGAGGATCAAATCATCACCATAACCAAGTTTTTCAGTCCTGAATTTTGCAATGAACTCATCAAATCATTCACAACTAGTTTGAAATTAGAGACAACTCCATTGATTAAAAGCAAAGATTATGCTGTCAGGGTTAATGACCGTGCCTTGGTGGAAAGTTCCAATACGGCTGCTAATCTTTGGGGATATTTACAGAAAGTGCTTCTTTATGAATACAATGATGAATCAATATTGAGTGAATTTCAAACAGCGAAAGGTCTAAACCCTCAATTGAGAATATACAGATACACAAAAGGACACCATTTTGGCCAACATTATGATGAAAGTGTTAGAGTGAATAATTCAGAGCTGAAAGGAGAAACTAAATGGACGTTGTTGATATACTTAACTGGAGATGAGGAATTTATTGGTGGTGATACTATATTTTATCCAATAAATAAAAGAGATGATCCGATAAATGTTCATCCTTCCAAAGGGACAGCTCTATTGCATAAACATGGTGATGATTGTTTGCTTCATGAGGCACAATTAGTCAGGGATGGTGTTAAATGGGTTCTAAGAAGTGATGTGGTATTTTAACTTCGCAAGCTAAGAGTATTTTATCTGTGAAATAACCAATTACTTCAATAACTTATTGGTTAATGTCAGTGGTACTCTGGCTCTTGTATCAATGGGCCATTTTTGTTCCCTGTTAGGAAATTACAAAGACCTGAGACAAAACGAAGTAACATAGAGCACTTTAAATCAGGTTTTGAGGGTCCAATCACAACAGCTTCTTTATACAACTTCATCAGAATGCTTTTAATGAATAAATTGTGTATTTTAATTAGTTTTATTCAAATTTTATGTAAGTTTTACTGTGTTGATTATGTAACATTCGCGGTCCTCCCTCTTTGTAGAATTCGGGTGACTCAAGAAAAACTGGAGAAGAATTCATAAACAACAGATCAAAAGATCAAAAGCATTTGAAGGAGAAGAAGGATAATCTATTCAATGATGATAAATCCAAATACTAGGGTCAATCAATTAGATGCTACATTGTTAGATCAAGAACTGTTCAACAATTTGTCCAAACAAACGTTATCTATTTTTAACAAGATTGCACCGATATACAAGACAAAATATTCAAATGAGATTGACTTTATATTAAGGACACTGTTGTTCAAATTCACAGTATGGGATAAAAACCAATCATATGGTCTCTTCTTGCAAAATTTGAAGTACAAGAATCTTAACATGATGAAAAAGTTGAGTTATTACACAGTTTTCATACTGGGTTATTACCTTTCACAGAAATTACAAAGCTTCATATATAACGATGATGAATTTGAGGAAGATGCTAACCAATCCAAATTAAAAAAGTTCATGATCGGCCTCTTCAAGAAATCATATATCAATCTATCAAAACTCTATAAAATTTTGTCATTTTTGAATTTTATTGATTTTCTTATAACGGGGAATTATCAATCATTGAACCTAAGGTTGTTGAACATCAAAATCAACATATTCTCAATTGAGCTAGCCAAGTTGAACAAAGGTAATATCTCATTTGAATTCCAAAATAGACAATTAATATGGAATACATTCTTAGAATTCATCCTATTCATTTTACCAATCTTCCAAAACTCCAAATTTCAATCACAATTCAATAAATTATTGAATTTTAGAAACTCATCAACTCAACCAGATACTTCAGTCTTGAAATATAATCATTTGAAAGAAAAACAATGTGCTATCTGCTTTGAAAACAATGCCAACAAAATCCATGATTATTTGATCACAAATCCTTATAAAACAAACTGCAACCATCTTTATTGTTATGTTTGCATTTTAGGGAAATTGGAACATGCAAAGAATATAGGAGAACCATGGAAATGTTTGAGATGTGGTGAAAACGTTGAATATTGCCAACCATATGATAATATTGATCCAGATGCAATTGAGTTTCAAGTGGGACAAGATGAAGAAGATGAAAAGAGTAAAGAAAGTGGTGATGAAGAGCTAAATGAAAAGCAAGAGGAAATAAGTGATGATGATTATGAAAGTGAGGAGAATAGTAGTGAAGATCAAGAGGATGAGTACGATGATGAATACAATAATGATGATGTTGAGGATTTTGATGACTTAGGAGAAGAGATGTGAATATACTAATAGTTAATTGGTTTAAAATCTGTAATGAACTGTTGTATGATGCAAGAGATTTTTATGATTCTGGTATTCTAATTTTAATATCAATAACATCTGGAGTTCACAGCAAAAGAACATGACCTCTTTATTTTCTTTAAGTCATTTTTTCATCTCGGCATTCTCTAAATGACTTCCCCTTGTTAGAAATAGAACTTGAATGAAACTTACTGTTTCGTGATCTTTAATCATTAAATCTGCAAAGTTGGTTATGGATTGAATTTACCAGAAGTATATGGCAAAGTACAACCTCTTCGATAGAATGAAAACGAGCGCTCTTTTTTGGGTGTGCTTCTTTTAAATAGATTGTGCATATTATTGTTTCAGCCTTTAACCCATCCCACAAACTAGGTTGAAAATTCATCACAGTGAAATTAGAGCTCTAATCAAAGTTCAAGGTTTCCATCATTAATTAGACAACTTACATTTTCCTTTGTTTGATTCCTTTTTGTCTGTCATTTAAATGTGTCAATAACACACCTTGTTCCGCTGTATTTCTGTTTGAATTAATCTAGAATTGATAGCAACATGAAAAACTCAATTACCAATTCTCAATATTTGGACATTGGATAACTATAAGTACCGTAGGATTTGTCATTTTCTAATTCACTGTGACTTGAAAATGGTTGAAACTTGATATCATAGCTGCTATTATCAACTTCAGGACGTACCAACAAGAGCTGTCAGTCAAATCATCAAGCTTATTCTCAAATAAAAAACACAATTGAGTTAATGTCTGGATGGTAACGTGCTTTGCTATTACTATCAACACTTGAGAAAAATTTGCAAGATGGAGTCAATTAGCTTTCTTCATGATCTCAGATATACTACTTCAAAGGTTATCATCCCTAAACGGTGCACTGTCAAAGTAACATGGCCAGACCGGGATGCTCATACAAATCTAACATATATTGACTCTGATATTTATGTCTCTTTTAAGGAAAGATACAGGGGGTGTGAGCCACCAGATAGTACCAATTTACCTTTCAGAGCTGAACATGATTCTATCATAACTCAAAATGATTATGAACATCCCGAATGCTCACATGTGTTAGGTGCTCAATTTAATCACAAGCTAGCTTTTTATTCTGAAGAAAAATCGAAGGATGGAACGCGTAGCTGTCTTGAGCTTGAAATGACCAAGGCTGGGGTTGAGATCAAAAGGTTTAACAACATCATGCTGGAACGCGGTGCTGATGAAAACTACAACGAAGGGTTCAACAATATCAACCTGGTTAAAGATGGGAAATTGAATATTTCTTATAATGATGATAACTCTTCGGAAGATAGTAATGACTTTTTAACACCAAGCTCAACCAATACCACTACAACAGAATCATGCGTGCCAGCTGCGGACTACAAATTTGGACCAAATCTTGATATAGTGTTCAAATACAGTTTTTACACGGGTGACCATGGCGTATTCACTTGCGTTAAGAGTCCTTTCTCTGGAACAAATCCAATGAGGGTGTATATTGGCAAATGTTAATGTGGGATATTTTATAGTTTTTTTTTAGGATATTGTTATTGTGCGTTTTGTAAATATTATGATTTCTTGAACTTGTAGCACAATTTTGAACTCAGTCATAATCACCAGCCGGTTGTAGTTTATTGTTGATGATCCTGTTATATAATATTATGGATTTTAAGACTCTTGATTTGCTTAACTCAACTAAATAAACAGACATCCCTAAGTGTACGTCTAGATACAGGCCGGCAAGCGTAAATATTGAATTGCTTAATATATTAACATTATACAGCTCACAATTTCACAATTACCATCTGTTTAATTTCAAAGCCAAAAATTAAGTCTTCATTAACTTTCAACACGGGTTTTCGAAAATTGTAGCACATTAACAAACTTGGTCAGTTGATATTTTAGTATTAATGTTAATTTGGTCTAGGTTTCATTTGTAAGTAGCTGATTTGTCTGCATAACGTTAATATCACGACCAGCATGGGCTAGAAATAACTAAACAAGAAAAATTTCATCATGATAAAATGACGAGTGACAAATGACAAGCGATCAAATGTTGAGCAACTATTTTGTTGTCTTGTGTGGACGTACTATTTGTTCTTTATCTTATCGGTAATTTTTTACTTCAAGACCACTTATTTCAAGAGTGAGCGGTTCAACATTATATGAGACGCTATACCTTTGAACAACTTTCTTGTTCTTCTATACAAGTGATGAATGATATTGATCGTCGATTATTTAACAGCACAGGCTTCTCTATCTTTTGTGCTTTTGAAAGTAATTGAAAGTGATGTAAGAGCACCATAATACTTTTGTCATTGATCATGGCGCATCCACTCAAGTTAGTTCTTCCAGACGATTTAGCTGTTGAAATCGTGGAATTTGGTGCTACAGTTGACGACACTAAAGCCTGCAATATCTACGTTTTCTTTGACGAACGTGATGATGGCTGTCAAGAAGTTCATAATGTTGAATTTAACAACGGAAAGGATTATGAAGAGATGGAGTGTCATTATAGAATCGAGGTGGATCTTAATCAGAAGGTCCTTATTGAGTCTACCAAGAAAGATGCTAATGGTGATACCTGTTTTGTTGAATTTAAGCTGTTGAAGAGTGGAGTTGAAATTTTAAACCACAAATTTATAGAAGTTCCTTCTGCAGGAAATGAAGGGAGTAATAATAGTGATAGTGTTGAGACTCCAGAAACAACGTCTGATACAGAGCAATTAGTTGACACTTGCAAATTTGGCCCAAGCATGGAAGTTAAACGAATTTTTACAACAATTCAAAAAAATAGTATTGGAGTCGGCTCCACTCAAGGATCTAGTAACGGTAAGAAGCAGCAAATAGTTGAATCAACCATCTATCATACCCATGTTTACAAGCCATTTTCCAGAAGCGAACCATTTTTATTAATTGAATGAAAATTTAATGTCCACAATAGTCTGACTCTTTTTATATCAATAGCTACTCTTTCATGATGTGTACATTTCTGGGACTCAAAATCATGAAATATTTTATACAAGTACATCTGAATGGCGTAGTTTTACTGAGGAGTATATTAGTACGGCCTAGCTTATTTTACAGATAGTCATATTTTTAAGTATATTACATTAGTAGTACAGCTTGAGTAATTAATCCTGATATGTAAAACTATTCATACCTCCAAGTAGCTGTAAAATGATCTCAAGATCCCAAGCGTCCACTCAGTGGGTGCGACACATTGGACTTCGATTTTGATGCCAGTCAATGATTATGAGACCTCGTGTGTTTTTTCAGGACAAAAGTACCAATACCTTTGAAAAAAGAACTTTGAAATTAACTAGAGCCTAATATTTTGAAGTATTTTCTAATATGTTATTAAATATTTACTTATAAGCTGGCCATATTGTTAGATCATGCACCAGTCCAAATCTAGTGCAGCTATGCTCATGATTCCAATTATTAAACGAGCTGGCCGATTGAAAATTCACCAGCACATTGATGAGAGTAGAAAGCTCTTATCAAGAATTAAGGCAGTTTCGATCACTGATAAGACAACTTACATTATTTTTTGTTTGTTAATTAGCCGAGTTTTCTTTATCTGTCATTTAAATGTGTCAATAATACACCTTGTTGTGCTTTTGTTCAAGTTTACTTTAATCTAGAATTGATGACAAGCTGATAGGGATAACAAGATCAAAAACTCAATAACTCATTCCTTGATTACTAGCAATTGGAAAACTATAAGTATGGCTGAATCTGTCATTTTGTAATTCCCAGTGATTTGGAAATGTCTGAAACTTGATATCAGAGCTGCTATTATCAACAACAGGGCGTAACGTCAAGAGTTAAGGTTCGATAGATATTCATCAAGCTTAATATCAGAACTTAAGTGAGTTAGTAGCTAAATATTATCGTGCTTTTCTACTAACGCTTTAAAACTAGTTACAGATCATTATGGATTCAATTTCCCTTCTTGATATCTCAAGCTATTTAAAGGTTGTCGTCCCCAAAGGGTGCACTATCAAAATATTATGGCCAATGCAAGATATGAAAAACACATATGTTTACTCTGATGCGTATATCTCTTTTGAAAACAAATTGGAGCATCAGACGCAAAACGATTCCAATCTTTCATTCAACGTTGAACGTGATTCTGTCGTAACGCAAAAAAGATATTATCCACCCAAGTGCTCACATGAGTTGAAAGTTGAGTTTGATCAAAAGCTTGCTTTTTACTCTGAAGAAACATCAATGGATGGCACTCGCTGTTGTATTGAGATCATAGTGAATAAGGCAGGAGTGCACGTCAAAAGGTTTAAGAACATCACGTTGAAAGACAATGCTGGTGAAGACTTTGATGACAGAAATGGGCTGGGTGACGAAGATGAGAGCTTGAAAGTTTTATTCAGTGATGATAACTCTTCAGAGGATAGTGATGAATCTTTAACACCAAGCTCAACCAATACCATTACAACTCAAGTAAACACACCAGCTGCCGGCTACTACAAACTTGGACCAAACCTTGATATAGTGTTCAGATACGGTTATTGCAGATCGAGTAGTAGATCAAAAGAAACGTTTACTTGCGTTAAGAGTCCCTTCTCTTCAACAAATTCAACAAGGGTATATCTTGATAATTTATAATGAAATTGATGGTTTTCTCTACTAGCTGTTGTATGTTTTGTAGAAGTAACTTCTCCATGTTACGATCTGTTGAACTTGGATCGCCATCTTGTGCTTATACCAGCTTGTAGATTTATGGTCTTGAGATAATATATGGATTCATAATGTTCATGTGCTACTAAAGTGAAATTGTTTAGCTAGTCCCTGTACAGTGGCTCAGGTAACACCTGGCCTATAACTGACTTCAATGAAATCGCTTTGAATTCCAACACCCTTGACCTGATTAATGTTAAATGAGCAGATATTCCAAATACTGAAGAAAGGGGAAGCATAAACGAATCTGGTATTGATAACCTCCCACTCATCTATTTAGTTTCAAAGCCAAATTAAGAAGTCCTCAACGCCTGAAGTTTCAACACAGTAACACAGTTTCTGAAATTTTGAGTAGATGAACAGACCTAGCCAGCCGATAGTTGAAAGCTGATTTGGTCTAGGTTCTAGCTGCTTTGCCTGCATAACGTTAATATCACGCTTGACAAGGGTTAGAAATAACCAAACAAGAGAAATTCCATTATCAAGATGGAAAGACAAGCTAAAAGCAATCGTACGTCTAGCAACGATACAGTCGTTGTGGATTTGTTGTCTTGTTTTATTTGTTCCTTGTTAGCATTATCCTTCACAAGCTACTTGTTTTAAGAGTGAGCTGTTCAAACTATATTAGACGCTATTCCTTCAAACAACTTTATGAGTTCCTTGTTCTTTCATGAAAGCAGGAAATGAAATTAAGTATTTAAGGATACAGAGTTTTCTAATTTTTACTTTTAAGAGTATTGTTATAGCACCATAATACATCAAATTTCAATCCATATTTGTCAATGATCATGCATCCACTCAAGTTAATTCTCCCACAAGGGTTAGGTGTTGAAATCAAAGAAAAGGGAGCTTCACTAGATCGCAACTCTACAACCTGCAATACCTTTATTTGCTTTGAAGAATTTGATGATGGGTGTCAGAAAGTTCGGAAAGTTACATTTGAAAACGGAAATGAGTATCAAGATATGAACTGCTATTATACATTTGAAGTGGCTGTTGACCAGAAGGTCCACATTGAGTCTGAGCAGAAATCGGCTAATGGTAAGACATCTTTTGTTGAATTTACGCTTTCACACACTGGAGTTCAAATTTTAGACTACAGTGTTATTGAAATTCCTTATGTCGGAAATGAAGATAATAATGATGGTGACAGTATTGAGACCCCAGAAACAACAGACACAGAGCTGCAAGTTGGAACATATAAGTTTGGTCCAAGCATGGAAATTAAACGAACCTCCAGCAGAACTCAGAAACAGAAAGTTCAAGTGAAGGATGGATATAGTAACAATAAGGAACAAGAAGTTGAAACACAAATTACTCTTATCCATGTTTATAAGCCATTTTCTAAAACTCAACCATTTTTATTGGTTCAATGAAAGATTAATACCCATGATCGATATTATATATCACCAGTTTTTATCAATGATCCGGCTGTCTGGTTTTCTCAACTGTTTATTTCTGCTGGTTGAAATAAATATTTTATAATTCAATTATGCTGACTGCTTGTCTGGGTCAAATTTAACGTAGCTTCTACGCAACTCATTTTAACATGTCAGTACAGCTTACCTTGATACTGAAATAAAAGCTTCATTACCTCTTAATCTACAATGTGTACGTCTACACTAAATAGAATCTGGGATCATACTGAATATTCCTATCCTATGAGTTATACTGATCAGTAGTATTGTTATTGTGTAGCAATTTTCGCGAATTGCTTGTGTTCTGTCATGATAACAGTGCCAATAACGTTGAAAAGAAGAATTTTGAATTCCAACAAACATACAACTCAGAGATAATGAGGTTCTATTCTTCAAGCCTAATTCAAGAACGAAAAATCTCAATTCTAAGCTCTCCTATCTGATATTTTCTATCTCTCATCTTTAATCTCCAATCTCAAGAGTTCATTGATAGAATATAGCTCTGGTGAGAACAGCTTGAGTTGATAACTGTTGCTTAAGCCTATATTGGAAAGTTCTGATCAATTGAAGTGCTTAATATTATAATATGGTCTCTAGGTTTGGCTCATGATCTGAGTGATTAATTTAATCAATTCCTGAATTCACTACCAAAATTCATTCAAATTCGTACTAATAATATTGAAATAAATTCAAATAGTCCTCTCGCGCTATGAGAGTTATGTTATAGAGAAAGAGATGTTATAACATTCCACTAGTATAATTCAAAATATTTCAAAAAGTATAAAAGGATGAAGATATTCCCAGTTATTTCAAAGGTTTATCTACTTCTTTTTATCATCAAAGTGATAAACTAGGAACTTTAAATTGGTTACAATGCAAATTTTCAGAAACGTTTTAGCTTTTATTGCCTTGTCATCTACAGGTTTCAATTCTTTTGGTGCTTTTGCTTCTCCAGTCCCAGAATCTGAACTGATTGCTGATGAACCTCAACCGGCTGATCAAATTAATGAACCTGTCTCTTTAGAAAAAAGAACCATCCTTGGTGATGCAATGTTATCTCAAGGTGGTGTTGTCGTTACCTATGGTTCATCAGCAGCTACTTTACTATTGGCAATAGTTTGTCCTGGTGTTACTCAGGTTTATGCTGCATGTGCGGGTCTTGCTTCTATCGGACTTGCTGCAAGCTCTTTTGGTATGGCTTTGAACACTGCTGGTTTTTTTCTTGAAATTGGTGATGCCCTTACTCCAGCATTAGGCCATGTTTTAGGCAAAGAAGAGGACCATGTTGTTACTGATCAAGTATTTGACCATTATAAAGAGATTTGGGGTGATGAAATTGACTTTAATCAGTTTTATAATGTTTCTGGCGATGATTTTGAGTCACAAAGTCTTGATGTTAATGATATTGGTAAAAGAGCTTTTTCAAAAGTTGAGTTGTTGAAAGAGATTACTGGTATTGATACATTATATAACAAGGTTTATGATATCTCTGACCAATCAGTTGATGCTGAAGATATACCTGAAAGTCCTTTTATCGAAAAGGTTTGGGAAGTTAGTCCAAGATTGAGACAAGGTGATGGTTATAGAGATAGATTTATTAGATTTTTCCAATCTTTTAAAGCCAATCCAACTATTTTGATTTATAAAAGTATCTATGGTGTTCATGTTTCTACCCCAATTAGTCCACTTACAAACAAGAGAAGATTAATCAAAAGTATTTTCAATGCAACACCATCATCTGGTCAAGCTTTTGAATCTTTTGGTTTGGTTTCAAATGCTACTGGTAAATTCACCAAAGGTATCAAAAAGGTCAAGGATAGTTATCTTGATGGATTTATTACTTTAACTTTGGACGTTTCAAAAAAAAGTGCAGACTTTTGGGGGCCAATGTTGAACAGTTATTTTGAAAAGGAACATTCAGCTTATACAATGGAAAACTTTGCTATCAATGGAACAGGTGCTTTATTAACTACAGAAGAAGCTTTCAAAACTGATGATGGCTCAGTGAAAGTTTGTGGTGCTCTTTTCAAAGGTGAGGTTAGTCCAGAACCATCAAGATTGCACACTTTGAAACATTTGTTGAGAACTCAAGCTTACTTTGGTACTTATGGTCCAATTGACCCAGGGTGTCACTCACTTTTTGGTTAGTGTTGCACTTTTAATCAAAGGTTTTTATTTGTGGTTTTGTTTTATCACCACTTGACCTTTGATCTTTTTCTTTTTCTCTTCCCATTTACTTATTTTCCGGCTACATTGAGCTGCTCTATTCCTTTTTATAACCTTCTTTTTGATTACAATTATGACAACATCATGTGGATTAACAACACCCAACTCAATTGATAGCCAGTTTAAAAACCCCCCAAAAATTAGAAAACCACCAATATAAAAGCAAAAAAAAAATAAAAAATCCTCCTCCCTTAAAAAGACAAAAAAAATTGAAAATGCAGATTGGTATCATTAGTTTGAAATGTTGTTTAGTCCTTTTTTTTTATACATGATGTTTACTTTATTAATTTATTGTAGCTGCTTTCCAGCTCGATAACTATCGCACAGACCTCATTGAAAACTAAAGGAACTCATCATGTCTAGGAGAGTCATAGGCAAAACCAACTACATGAATCATTCATAAGTAAAGAGATCAGTTGATGTATGGTATATATTAGTAAAGTTTCGTGAAAACTGTTCATTCAAATTTCCTTTGGATAGAGAGCCTTGGTTTTGGTAGACATATAGGTCCCCTTTTCACCACCAACTTCCTTTTCATAATTTTCCACAACTCCTTTAGCATCAACTTCAGCAACATTTTGATTGAATTTAAACTTTGCCTCAATTTTTTCAATTTCAATCTCCAAACCAACAATATTCTTCATCATTTGATCAATATAAGCTTCTGGAGCATCTGAAACTTTCCATTTTGGTTCAAATTCTTCACCATCAGGTCTTTTATTTTCTTCTTGATCACTCAATACTGTTAATATTTCCAATAATAAATCCCTTGATTCAATTATTTTTGGAGTACCATAAACATTAACTGCAGCAAAATCCCAAGTTGGAACAAACTTATGAGTTTTCTTCTTTGTTGGATACCAAGAAGGTGAGACATAACTATCAGTTGATGTGAATGCCACTAAACATTGATGATTTGCCCTTTTCAACAATGGTACTTGTTCATTCTTTTTAGCCAAGTGTCCTATTAAAAATCTTTTACCAGTGGACTCATCTTCTCTAACAACGAATGGAAGATGAGTAATGGTGTAGTTTGGGGATCCAAAGATGGTTTTTTCAACAAAGATTAAGGCACCTAATGGGAACTCTTTTATGACTTCTAATTGTTTCTCTATATCGTTGACTTCAAATTGTTTTGGAATATACATGTTGTTGTTGTTATTGATACTTCACATCTCTATAGCCACTCCAAAGAGCGAATCACATTCGTTTTATACCACATTAATCATCACAATATCTTCCACTCTCAAGCTCATCCAACTTCCTTATCGAATCAAGATGCGCCAACGCGAGAAAAGATAAAACGAATTCGCGAAATATTGTCACGTGATAATCACATGACCGTATCTTATCAATAGATTAAGTAATCACCGATAAGAAACTGTGTCAGATTTAAAATTTCAACTGTTTCTCTTGTTCAAAAGCCTAGATTCAATGCCTGATTTAATCCTACCTACACGGTAACCTGTCTCCTTTCACAGGTTGTTTTCACTCTGCAGTGTAATTGTATAGTACTAAAAAGCCATCGTGTACTTAACGGCTGGTCTACCCCTTGTTCTTTTCCAAAGCGTAGCGTACTAAATATTTGACCCATAATATATTAGCTTTGGTTTAACCCCCTAATTCTCATAATCACGTTTCGTAAGCCATCCCTTTATAAATACCAAAGCAAATCCCTTATCTCTTTCTTCTTAATCATTCAACAAGGAGTACATCCATCATGACTTCAGTATACTACGAATCCTATTCAGAGATATCAACCCCAGCTAATTCAGATTACTTGACAGAGGAAGAGTCAGATGAAGTTGAGACAGAATCAGAGAATGAACATACCTCAAGTTCAAGAAGCTCAAGCTCTTCAGGATTATTGACTAGATCAGAGACCAATGAATCAATTGAAGTGATCAATACTAGTAGATTATTGGATTCCAGCGTTGATACTTTAGCAGGATTGCTTCAAAGAAGTTCATTAGGTCCTAAGGTTTTAAACTCTATTCAAAGTGGTGAACAAACTGAAAACAATAGTGGTATTGCAACTCCTCAATTGTTTACTTTAGAAGAGGCTAAGAAAATATTAGCTGCTGAAAAGAAGAATGCTGAACATGCTTCAATCATTGGGAGGGTTAATAAAGTTTTAAGATCAAATGAAGGTAAAATTAGTGATGATCCAAGAGGGTTTGGGTTCAAGTTTCTTTGTTTGTGTATTACTGCTGCTTTTGGTGGTAGAAGAGGTATTGCAAGATATGATAGATGGGAATCAAAGTATGACTTTACTTCAATCATTCCAAGTATTACAGATTGTTCGAATCATTTGAGACAATTGAATTCCACCATGATGTGTTATATCGGTCATGTTATCTTGTATTATTGGGATGAAGAACCTTTCAGAAGAGCTATGATTAGTAAATTTGGTCCTTTGGACAAAATCATTAAAGGTAAAGATAACATTCGTTCTGAAATTGGGGCCAAAAATTTATGGTTACCAAAAGTTCGTGAAGTTCATTCATTAACCAAGAAGAAGATTATTGAAGAGTTTGAAGGACGTTTTGAAAAAGATACTGAAAACTTTGAAAAGATCTTATTATTTTTTGGTATTGAGATGTGAGAGGACACCGTTTTGTGTCTTTGACTATCCTTTTTTTTTCTTTTTTGTTGTCGATGTCGACATTCGTTTATTGTTGATTTTGGTATGCTGCCTTGTTGTTGTTGAAGTGACTAAGTACCCTCAAAGTAAGCTAGTGCTTGAAGGGTTTGTGCATTTTTTTTGTAATTTTGCACATATTTGAATCCATACTGTTAATTAAATATTAGCAATTTGGAACAAGAGCTGAGATAATCATATTTCAGCTCTGGATATTCACCTTTCTAGATGAATTTCCTTTCAAAAAGGTCATGTTAAGTTAACGTTGACCTTTATTTGCATGGATATATAAATATCAACCTGCAAATCACCATATATATAACTGATCAAAGGATTAGTTGTATTGATTCAATCGTGCTAACACATTGAATCATCTATAAAAAAAGTTTAGTAATAACCAAACTTTTTGACTTCAACAACCATTTGTACAGGCACATACCAATAATCAACTTTTTTTGTTACAACTACATCTTGTAGATGATCTAGTTTCATTAAGCCATTATTATTTATTGTCTACTTGGACCAATCTTATTCTCCAACTCTTGACGTTTTCTTTTCAACTCTTCAACTTCATCATTACTTAACCCATCATTATGATTTGTTTGTTTAACGAAATTAACACTTGATTGATACCCATCCCATTGAACTTTTTGTCTCTTTGTAGAATTTTCACGATCACCATTATTTTTAGGTTTGAATAAATTCTTAATATTATTAACAACTTCACTTGTTGATAAATTGGAATTTTTGATCTTGGATTCATAATTCAACTTTTCTTGTTTATATTTTGGATCTCTTAATAGAATTTGCATATGTCTTTCAAAATTAGATTCAGGTATTAATTTACCTGTTATTGGACATTCAACAAGTTTTTCACCTTGAGATTGTTGACCACGTTTTAATCTTGTTTCACCATACGATCTAATCTTCATTGGTTTAGCACTAGTTTCTTTTGTATCTGCTATTGGTGTTACTGATGGTATTGAAATATCTTGAGATTTTTGTTCTAATGATCTATATTGTAGATCTGCTATGGTTAAAGGTAATGGGAATTCAGTATGAGAATCAATATCTGTTATGTTTATAGTTTCCACAACTATGAAATCTTGCCAATCAATTGATGCATATTTTAATTTCTTAGCTTCTTCAAGTTCTTTTGATTTAACAGTATTAATCTTGTTTAATTCATTAAATTTAGCTCTTTTATATGATTCTTCAAGAACATCATGATCTAAGTCTATATCTTCTTTTGAATTGATCAATTTTCTATATTGTTTCAAAAAACTTAAAAACAATTGATGGAATGAATGACTATCATTGAGAAAACTAAATTGGGCAGTTTGATCTTTATATTTGTTTTTAATCTGATTAATATAATTCTCACCATTCTTGGCAACAAATAACGCTGTAAGTTTTATGATTTCCAAATCCTTTGAAGTAATTGGTGGTAATTCAACCAAGAAATCCAATTCCAATGGTGGTTCAACTTGTTCATCCTCGTGTTGTTCTTCAGCATCAGCACTCCCATTTTCACCAGAAACCTCAATGAATGTCTCTATATTATCAAGAACAAAGTTATAATATTTGTTATAAGGATCATTTTCATTGACAAATGTGAATTTATTGTTATTCGATTCATTTTCTCGTATCTTGGTTTCAAACTCTTTACCATTTCTATGAACATAAGTGGCTGTTTTCAGTATGATTTCCTTAATTGCTGGAGGTGGGATGATAACATCATCTGGTATTTCGTCAGCAGACATCTTTAAATCTCCTAGTAGAACCAGTCAAATTACTTTCTAGTTTCAAATGGAGTTTATATGATTTTGACATTTTTTTTCTAAGGCAAAAAAAATATAAAAAAATATGAAAATGTACAAATTGGGAGATTGTCCATATTAGGAAATATAGACTATGGAATCAAATAAATCGTAATTTCATACTAGAAAATGCCATAAAAGTATTTCTATTTAGTAAATAGTTTATTAATGAATTATCTAGTATCACTTACCTTGATTCCCCTTTAAATTCCCCTATTTTCCATTGTTGACCGTTGCACCACCAAAAAAAGTTCAGTGGCTGTTAAAAAAATTTGGATACGATAAAAACGGAGTTGATTAAAACAACAACAACAACAATATTCAAAACCAAGCAGATTCTAACCAAAGATGATTTTGATAAAGTGCTTGGTATTGATACTATCATCGACGCTGGCAATGGCTAAAAACCTGGGTCAGTGTAACAAGATTTTAGCCCCTGATGAAGCTGGCGAATCTGCATTCATAAATATAACAGCATTAGAGGAAACTAGTTTATTGGTGTTTCATGTCACTGATATAGAGAAAACCAATATTCCACTATATTTCAATGATCAGACAAGTCTGATGAACATAGAGGATGGGTTTTATCTATGTACAAAGGAATTATTTGATGATGGCCATTGTTCAAACGTTGGTGAATTTGTTATCCGTTATGAAAATGGAGGCCCACAGGAGGAAATCATTAATAAATTGTTGAAAAAGGGCGATAAAGTCAGCTATAATGTTACTGATGATGGTGTTTATTGTATTTATACACATGCAGCAAGTGATGGTGTCCAATATAAGATCACTCAACCTTATGGGAATTTATCAATTGATGAGAAACAAGAGTTGAATGTATTATTGTTTAGCTTATTGCCCCTTGATGTCATACTTTTAGTCTTTTGGGGCTGGAAATGGTGGAGGCTAGAAAAACAGGAACAAAAATTCACAAGTATTCAAAAAACTTTATGCAAATTATGTTTATTTACTTATTTTTATCATGAGAATCATAGGCTGGTTTTAGATTATATCAATCGAAATGATATGACTTCACAATCACTTTTATGGAGAGTCTTGCTTGTTTTGTGCGCTAATGGGTCAATATGGTTAATGATTACAATTTTTTGGTTGTATCACTTATGGATAAATAGTCCATCTGGTGTGATTGTTAAAGAAGATAAGAAAACCGGGACTGCTTTCTTGGTCTTATTAGGTCTTTATGGTGTTGTTTCTGAATTTTTTGCTATCTATCCAACTCAAGATGTAACTCCAGTACCGTTACTTCATCTTGTTAGTGTCTTCCATTATGGTGCTAAAATATTGAAAGTATTTATATGGACATTTTTATTAGTGAACCTTGGTGAAACGATTAAAAAATCAAATGATTCTAAAGTAAAGAGAAAATTCGAAATTTCAAAACAACTGTCAATTTTGATTCCTGTTTTCATCATCTTTACATCAATTTTTTGTCAATTTGTCACAAGTTTTGATACATTTGCACGTTCTTTGAAGAAAAGTCAATCGAATGAATCGGTCATAGTTAATGCCTTGGAAAATAGTGTCCATTATGGGTTCGTCTTTGGATTGGTACAAAACATGGCCTATTTCATTATCCCTTTGATCAATATTTCATTGATTTATATATGGAGAGAAGATAAAGTTAATGAGAATGAAGATATTAATGAGATAGAGTTGGGGAATTTTAATGACCGCAGTGATTATGCTAAGGATGAATGATATATAGATATGCCCTTGAATTATGTTTATGATATGAATGTTATGTGATTTGAACATTTTGTAGTTTGATTCTTATATTCACGTGACTATAAGCATGACTTTCACGTGACTGGAACGAAATATCCGAAACAACAGAATGTAGATAATTTGTGGAATAAACAAGTTTACAAACATCGGTCAATTCGATTTTAATCGGATCATCAACACATTTGGAGCTCAAGGATGAGGATAATTTCAATCCTTCCGCTTTTCTTATTGGGATCTCTCATAAACTGCCACCAATTGACCCTCAATGAATACACATCCGAGAGATGCTCTTTTGTTAATAAATCAATTCAAGTTCAAGTTCACAGCACACATGATGATATTTCCATTAGATATCTCATATTTCATTACAAAGATATTCTGATATCAGATATACCCAATTACAAAAATCATGACAAAGACGCTCCTAAGCGCTGTGGTGATGATGGCTGTGGAGGTGGATACGGTTATGATGTCCATTTTGAACCAGATCAACAACATGATCCAGTGAGTAATGGTGTGCTCAGCAAAGAGAAAGGAAATTTATTGTATGATGTTTCGAACCCAGGGTTTTATTGCATTTATCTAGACCCGAATGCTGATTATTATGGTGATGTTATCTTTGAAAATAATTTTGGTCATTTAGATGTTGACAACTACACTAGATTGAGCTTCAAAAGGACCTTTTATTTACCTTTGTTGACAGTTATTCTTTTATTTACGTTCTTATGGAAATACCCATTGAAATTCAAAAGATTTGTTGGCGCCGTGTGGTTGATACAAGTTATTGAATCGGTTTCATTAGGTCTCGTTTCGAAATACGGTTTGAATATTTGGACTGAAGTTTTTGATGCATTGTTTGGTGATGTTGCTGTAAACTTAATCATTGGATTCATATTGCTTCAAATTGCCTATCACTCTTTTGGTTATGAGATTGTTGATGATGAATCAATGATATTCAAGGATACAAAAGTTATCAAATTGATAATTCTTGCATTTGTTGTTTTGAAATGCCTCAATGGGTTGTTTTTCAATGATTCGTTAATTCCTTATTATGACTTACATTTCAATTCTATAAGAAGATACTTGTTATTACTACAGTACATCCCATATATTTTAGTTTATGTTAGCATTGTGTTTGAATTTTTAAGCCTGCAAAAAAACTTCAAAATTGATGATTCAAGAATTGTCAAATCATTTCAACTTTTCACAATCATCCCCCCATTTATTGCAGGTTTAAAGCTTTTCTTTGGTGCATTTGTCATTCACAAGTCAAATGATCCTGGATTTTATGATGCTTACTTCAAAGATATCTTAGTTCTCATACCTGCATTCATCACTGATATACTTGTCCTGTTGAGTATACTTGTGCTATGTTTTCTTTGGCGGCAGAGAAATTCCTCTTCGTATGAGAGAGTTGGAAATTCCAATGCAGATCAAGCTATAGAGTTGGATGATATGAATACCAATAAATAGGCAGTGAATTGGGATATAGAATTCTACAAATAATGTACGCAGTTGAAAAATCCAAATATATATACAAGTAAAATTTAATATTCCTATACTCTACTAACCATTTCAGATACACCAGCTTTGGTATTGACAACTGAATCCTCTTTTACCTGGCGATTTTGTAAGTTTGTGTCATCATTAAACTCAGAGGTTTCCTCAATTACACCAGTGGACTGACCTGTTGTATGATCTTGTGCTTGTTTCTCTGCCTTTTTGTTTTTGTAATAAGCAAACGGATTATCAATCCAATCTAAAATTCTTGCAAATCTATTAGTCGGTCTATTAACCATGTTGGCATATTCAACAGCATTTTGATCATCTCCCAAGTAGTAGTTTTTCTGGAATAATGAAGCAAAGAATGCAAGGGCAGTAAAAGCTAATGCTAGTGCAAACAACACATAAACAACATGATTATAAGCCAATATAGCACCTTGTCTAACATCACTATCCATTGGATATTTTTGAATAGCAGAGAAATCAGAATACATCTCAGCCACATCATCATCACTTACGCTAGAAGGTAAGTAAGTTCTTAAAGCCTTCATCAATTTGTTTTCCCATAAAGCACCTCCAATTGCTGCACCAATAGCAGATCCAATGGTTGACCATTGTAACAATAGTGCAATGGCCAATGCAACATCTTGATGAGGAACTGAGGCTTGTGAGGCAACTTGTGAACCAATGTTTGAAGCAGCACCACCCATACCTAATAAGATCTGAACCCATACTAAAGCACCAGTTGATGCATTACCATAACGAGCCCATAGGGCAATAATCATAGCAACAACTTGAATAATTAAACCTCCAACTTGTAAGAATTTTGTACGATGTGTAACTCTTTGAATAAGACCCACAATAACACCAAAGAAACAAATACTTAATGTTTGAGTATTGTTGAAATATGACCAGTTTCTATAAGACCAATCTTTCACAACACCAACATATGATGACAAATATAATTGTAATAGCATTGCACCACACAAGTAGAAAAAATCAACTGTAACTGCGGTGATAAATGTTCTATTTGTTAAAACTCTTTTAGGAACAGATGGGAATGGGGCAATCCAAACTTCATAACAAGCATAGATGATTAATAATAATGCACCAACAACAAACATTGCGATTAAAGAAGGATTTTTATATCCACCTTGTGCAGATGAGTATAATGAAAAAGGTAATAATAACAAACTCCATCCAAATGCCATCATTATCAAACCGAATAAATCACTTTCAACAACATAATTCCAAAATAATTTAGCAAAATCCTTTGGTGTCTTTTTGGTCTTGTTTTCATTGTCAAAATGATCATTATCTGGAAAAACAGTTTGTGCATAATGCTCTAAATAACCCATACATGCAATACAAGGGATGATAGTTGCAGGCATCAAAATTGAAAACATACCATAACCCCATCTCCAATTCACTGTAATGAAATGTGAAGCAATTCCACCAGATATCCACACTGTGATAAGGTACCAAGATGCTGTTAATCCAAAAGTGAAACCACGATATTTCAAAGGAATAATATCAGCTAAAATAATGGTATTGATCATATCAATATTTGAACGACCAATAGTGACAAACACACTACCAATAACATAAGCAGATATAGTGGATGAAGCTGCACAGATAATATAACCCATTGTATAGAATGATAAAACCAATATGTAACAAGTTGGTCTTGAAGTGACATCAGCAATTTTGGCAATGATTGGTTGAGAAACAGATGACATGATTGAAGTTGCAATTGATAAAGTGGACAACATTGAATGATGTTTAAAAGCTGAAGTGGCATAAGGTTGATAACTTGAAGTGGTGGAACCGTCTAATGCAACAACAAACTCAGTGATGATTATACAAGCACATAATAATAATCTCATATGTTTACCTTTCTTGGTTTCACTCATCACTTTTTTCAATTTTTCCATTCTTCTAACACCACGAGAGACATATTCAGGTTCAGTGATTTTCTCTTCATCAATCACCGGGACATGATGACTATTGGTGACTTCTTGATCCAATGAACTGTTATCCAACTTTCGATCACTAACAGACATTTTTTCGTTTTCCTTCTCGATCTTTAAAAAATTTGCTAACCAGAAAGAAGGATACCATCAACTTTTTATAAAATCAAAATTATCTGGACGATCAAGGAGGACTCATGCAGTGTATTTGCTGAGATGTGATTAATTGAATGATATGCGGTGTTATTGATGAGATGAGCCTCATGTTTGGTACGTTATTTTCAAGCCATTCAAGGCTTAAATCCCAGTTAAGCATTAAAAGCGCACCATTCAAAAAAGTAACGCACAAACGGCATAACCATCTTTATTCATATTTAAACTCCGCTATTTGCTTGCTAAAGATGCTCATAAAAATCAGCGGTGTTAATCGTGATTGGGTTTTTAATTATGCGTCTGCAAGTGCTGAAAGAAAAAAGGGTGAAATTTTTAACTCATTTACGACGACGGTGGGTTTTGGACCTTGGTGCATGTACTGGTAATTGGTGGTATTCAATGGCAGTTTGCTATAGGGCATAAGCCCTGTGGAATCCTTGAATCTGTAATTGACTCCAGTTTTTATGAGGAAGTTAAACTGGATTCCTTGTAACTTCGGTACAATTGAATGCTGTTAATTTTTCTATAATTTTGGGTGGTCACGTGCAAATTAAGAGTAGTGTCCATAAACAAAAAAATTAATAACGTATTAAGCTATACATCTCATTTTTGTATCATTATCATTCATTAAACTCATTTAACCCCAAACCAATTTCTTAAATCTATACTCTAAGTTCTGTATTATATTAGTGTTCTTCTTTGCATCTTCCTCATTCATCAAATCCACATTAGATAAAGTACTTGAATGACAAGTTTTCGAAATCAATTCAATGATATATTTTGCCTTATCATAATCCATATCCATTGGGAATTTAACCACCAAGTAATCATTAGTTGGTTCTATTTCATCACTTGTGTTAACATCTGAGGTGAAGACAAACTTCAAACCAATGTTTCTCTTGGGATTTAATGATAGTGAACTATGAGTGGAAGTTATGAAAACACCATAATTTAATTCTTTAATATCATGAACTCTTAACTTGATTGTTTTTTCAATTTTGGATTCAGACTCATTGAATTTCACAAAGAAAATCACTTTATTCGTCACGATTAATGAAATGTCATTCAAGGTTTGTCCAAGTTTTAAAGTATTGAAATCCATTGGAGATTGTAATCCAGACCAAGAACCAACCAATATCAGATCTTCTTCATCTTCACAACAACCATCATCATCACCTTTAGATTTCAATATTCCTAATTCTTCAATTATGAATTTTAAAGATGAATTCTTCTTATTCAAGTTTTCATTGATTTCATTAGGATCAATAACATTCAATGTACTTTCAAATTCTTCAAAAATTTCTTGATTCTTATGACCTAATAAATAATCCACCACACATTGTTTAAAATAATCACTGATATAACCTGAATAATATCTTGACATTGTTAAAAAGGCATCATTTAATAAACCTTTATAATTTCTCTTTGCAGTTCTTGTATAATCTCCCTTTAGGGCATTAGTTGAAGCATATTGTCTAGATATAAAATCACCATTATCAGCCCATAAATTATTGTATAATTTTTGAAATTGAGGTAAGCTATCAATAGTTAAATCATGTTGTGGTAAAATTTGTTGTAATAACATTGTTTCCGAAACATATTTCGAAACAATATTTGTTCTATCCAAACAATCGATACAATTAACTCTTAGAATACCTAATTGATCATCACCAGTGATATTATCACACCATTTATAATTCTCCAATTGTTCATCAATTGTCAAATCAGATTCATTATTATCAATTGGATAATTTAATAATTTGGAAACATTGTCAAATTTCATTTTTTTACAAACTTCATGGAAATCAAACCAAGTGAATTCAATATTATCCTTTTTCGCTAAATTTTCATAAGCTTCACCAATTTCCTTTTCTCTATTTGAACGTTCCACCAAGGAAATACAACTAACAGAACCATATTTTTCCAATAAATTTTCAAAATGTTCCTTGAATGGCTTTTCACATTTTTCAATACTTCTTGTTAATGTGGGTATTGGTTTTAGGAAAGCAGGGTTTTGTTGGAAAAATAAAGGAATTGAACCTCTAATGATATCAAATTTAGCACATAGCGGCCCTGAATTCAATTCAGTTAGTAATATTTGAGATGTTGATACAAAGTTCGCAACATTTGAGTGATCATCTATACCTCTTCTTAGATATCTAGAACCTGCTCTTTTGGTACTTCTTTTAGATACTAAAAGTAATTTCCCTTGTCTTGATGATAAAGAACCATTCAAATTTAAATCTATATCAATGGATCCCACAAAGCCTTGTATTAATGATAATGATAAATCTGTATCTTTGAATTTTTGAGTAATTGAATGATTAAAATGAAATGAATTATGCTTTGAATCATCAAAAGTTACTAGTTCTCCCTTTTCAAATTTTATATCTCTTGTTAAATTGATTTCTCTTGAATAAAAAAAATCCCTTGAACTGAAGAAATACTGCAACTGTTTTTCAAATTTATAAAGCATACTATTTGATATGTTGTACCTTTGTTCTTTTTGATCCAATTGTTGTTGTTTGATCTTATCAACAAACTTTGTAAGTTTGTTTTGTTTCTTTGGTGTTGAATCTTTAGGAATACCTCTAATGGTGATTGATCTTTTCAACTTTATTGAGTTTAAATCATTTTCATCAATCTCATCTGATTCATTCTCTGTTTCCAATAGGTTAACAATCTTGTTTGAGATGGAAAGTGAAGGATTTGATTTAAGATCATTAACGTAAACACCAAGCCTACTGAAAAAAATATCTTTTGTTTGATTGATTTTCTCACCAACAGTATTTGGAGATTGTGGATCTTGTTGAAGTTCATTTTGATTTTCATCTGGTTCAGTTGAAGCCTCATCTTCTTCATCTAAAACACCATCTTCGATCTTGAAGAATTTCTTTGCTAAATCAAATTTCAGAGGTATTACCAAACTCTTGAGTATGTTCCAAATCGTTACATCTTTATGTTCAAAAACTGGAGCTTGAGTATGGATAACAATGATATAGCCGGGACCTAGATCCACAAACCCCACCAAACCTAATGAATTCAACGAAGCGATCTGTTGACCTTGAGGAGCATAATCAGGAGTGACGCTTAAGTCTTCAAAATGGATGAAATGTGATCTATCGCTGTTTTGTAGTGAAAGCTTTAAACCTGATTTGTAAAGACCCAATTCTAGATAATGAGCATAACCAGTTTGTGTTGATGCTTGATCTGAAGATACGATCGAAGGGTTGTCGGCCATGGTCTAAGAGCTAGGATAAGTCAGCAGTAACGATAGCGCAATAGACTCTGTAGCGACTATAGCAGCACCTTTTTCTGCTAATCAAAAGCCAGATTGAAGCCAGTTAAAGTCAATTGTTTGTGATTTGATCAAAACATTCTCGTTTAGATCAGAATATTATGTAATCATTACCCTAATATTATGTAATCGCGAAGAAATAAACACAAATATGCTCAACTATCCATTATATTATAATATATTAATTGAATATAAGACAATAGTAACTCAATTGTAATTCTACTTCATTATTTCACCCAAAACACTCCAATTCATTCTTTATTGTTTAGTTATTGAACCTTACATCTGCCATTTACCTAGCGGGTAACCCCTTGATAATTCGCGAATTGAAAATGAAAAAAACCATCGATTCTACTCAGTTCAAACCAAATGAATAGAAGAACATTGGTTCCAAATTGACACTACCATAGACTGTTATTCCGCCGAGCAAATGCCACTAGTCAAATCAGCAGACGTCTTTATAGAGAGATCACTCCATCTCCTGGAAACAAACCCAGCATCCACTCGTATCTCCATAACGTATGGTTCTGAATCCAAAAGACAATCAAAGAAGAAACAACACAAGATAACAAAACCTGAAACTACGTCCTCCTCTGAAAACAAATCTTTTGTTTCTTTCAAAACATATGATCCAATATCTGGTCAACTCCATAAATTGAAAACTCACAAGACTAAAGAATTATCAAAATTATTAACTGCATTGGGTCCTCATGGTGTCTCTATTCCAAAACCTATAAAGAAGGCTGATACACAACAAAAAGAGACTATTGAACAAGTTCCAATAAAAGGTTTCAGTACCATATTAACAAATACTGAGATTCAAGAAGAATTAACTCCTGAACCTGAAAGACCTAAATCTTCTGATCAGCAAAGTAATAACAGTGCAAGTGCTAGTACCACTACAGGTGGTGGTTCTAAAAAGAATAAAAAGAAGAAAGGTAAACGTTAAAACTGTATATTATAATCATGAATGTATGAAAGAATGATCTCTACAGAATAAAATTTATTTTATATCGTAAAAACACGCGACATGAATTTAATACATTAGCATTACACATAACCTACTACTATTTCTTTCCCTTTTTCCCCTTCTTCTTTTTGTTCTTCTTCTTGTTCTTATTCTTATTCTTTGAAGAAGGTGTTGAAGTCTTTGAACTTGAAGCTTGAGCTTCACCTTGAGGTTCTGGTGTTCCCTCTATGGTTGTTTCTGGATCTGGTGAAGATTCATGTGATTCTCCTTCTTCTTCATCATCTTCTTCTTGATCTTTTGGAGATTCTTGATTAGGCCCCTTTGGAGAAATTTCAACATGTGTTGAAGATTCTTTACTTTCAACAAGTTTAACATGTTCTTGTGGTTGTACTTCACTTGTCTCTTCTTGTGGGATTGGTGTTGGGACTGAACTTGATGCTAATGGGTCATAATGATTATTTTGTTGATCAAAAGTAGATGATCTTCTTTCATATAATCGTTCTCTAATCTGGTCAACATTCGTATCAACTTCTTGGGTATCATCTTGTGGTGGTAATTCTTGTTTTGGTTCATCATTATAACTTGGTGGATTACTTATAATCTTTGTAGGTTTAACAACTGCTGATGGGGCAGGCGGATCAACCACTGCACCACTGGTGCTCAATAATGCAGATGGTCCAAAGAAAGTTTCCTCTTCTGAAGGATAATTTGGTGGTAATTCTTCACCTTTATCTAGCACGGTATCATGAACAGTTTCTTTACCATAAGCTGGAGGAATTCCAATGGTACCATAAACACTACCAAACCCCCATTTCTTAACATTGGCTTCAATAAAGACGAATCCCAATTGACCTAAATTAACATTCAATTTAGCAGCACCTTGAGAACCAATAATTGGGAATAAATCCATACGAAGATTATGAACAGCTTCTAATAATTTTTTACCATTATGAGTGAAAAAAATCGTACCAGATCTTGGTTTGAACCCAACCCCTAAAACATCACCTTCTAATAATTTACTCCATATTTGGGGTGAATAAAAAGGTTGATTTATACGAACAGTACCATTTGATTCATAAGCAATTGAATATTTGTTATAACCTGGTAATCTGAAACCTGGATAAGGTTTTGTAGCCACACCAATTGAAACGTGAGAGCCTTCAGGTAATTCAAATAATTTAACTTCAAAATAAACAGTATCATTATCATGAGTTGGTAATGGGTAATTTAAAATAGCTGAATTTGGATCCATTGAAGTGAAACGAACATCTAATTTATCCTCGATTATAACAGATGGCATAGATGAGGATAATGAAGATACATTTTCTTGTTGAAACACATAAGCTTGGATACCACGATCCAATATAAAATCACGTTCTTCAGTGGTTAAAGTGGAACCTATTGGATTAGTTTCAGGTTCATGATCTTGTTGAAATTGCTTTGCATCAAAATAATTCTGTCTTTCCAATTCAGTAAACTTTGGTAAATATTCAGTCTCATCATTTAATCTTGTTTCTTCATCATCAAATTCACCAGGTATATTAAAATTTGAACCTAAAAAAATTGAACCTCCATTGTTGAAAAATGAGAAATATATGGTCAATACTAATAAGAACAAAAACAATACACCAATCCCAGTGGTTAGTCCTATTATTAAAGGTAGATTGAAATCTGGATCGAAATCATCCAATATTTTGGATAGGTTTTCAGTGTTGAAAGCTTGTAAATTGAAGTTATTCATCTCTTTAAAACGCGATAACGAAGCTATTCAAATGGGTGGAATGACCTTTGTCAAATGATAATAAGCAGCAGCAGAATATGGATCAAATGGACAACAACAAATCAACACAAACAACAATCCAAAAGCAACGTAATTATTCTTTTCTCAAAATAATTTCAAAAATGATTCACTTTTTTTAATTTTTTCTGTTTGTTAAACAATTTGCATTCCATTCAAAAAAAAAAAATCAATACAAAGGATTACGTAAGAAATGTTAGTGTGATTATGTAAAAATACACAATACAATTCAAGTAAATGCCATTAAATCTTATATTCCACCTATAATTCATCGTCTGACTCGTCGCTATCCATATTCTGGTTCATTGAATTGCGGCGAATAACAGCCTCTTTGGCATCGTTGGCCAAATCATCAAAATCATCAGTATCACTTTCATATTCTTTTGAGATTGAACTCCATTCAATATAATAATCTTTAAGGAATTTCTTTGAATTCTTGAGGAATAGTGGATCAAATGGGAAATATCCTTCAAGATCCACAAATTGTTGTTTTGATAAATTCAATTGACCATTATTCAAAGTATTACCTGAATTATTACCTGAAATACCTTTCAATTTCTCATTTTTATTCTTTTGTATAATGGAAAAACAATATGCAACATTTTCTTGTTGAGCAATTTTGGCAAACATTAAAACAACATTCTCATTACAATATTTTAATGGATTGAATTTTGTGATTAAGATTCTTTGGAAAAATTTATCCATCTCCAATTCCCAATCATCATCTTCATTTTTCAAAATTGAATGTCTAAAGCAAAAAATATAAAGTAAAACTTGAAAAGTTGAATAAAATAATTTAAATCTCTCCATATTTATAGTCCCATCAACTTCCTCTTCACGTCTTTCAACATATCTATTCAACCAACTCATTAAATAACTCAACACATAAACAATTTGATTCTTGTGTAAATTATTAGCTCTTGAAATATATGAACTTAGGTATTGTAATGCTTTAATTCTCTTTTCAATAGTTTCTGATTGTGAGAATGATAAATCAATCAATGTAACCAAGAATGAATCCATCAATTCTGGTGATCTTTGTGTAAAATAAAATAATATAAATTGGGTAGATTTTGTATAATAAGTTGGTAAAATATGAGATTTAAATAATGATGTTAATGTATTGTATAAAATGACGCTTTTCTCTTCCTCCTCTTCTAAACCTGTTTGTAATTGATGTTTTTGTAAATTTTCAAAAACTAAGCTTAGAATATTATCCAATTTTTCTTGTAAATCTTCAATATTTGCAGCTTGTAATGCATGTTCATTAATCTCTTCACCCAATTCATAATCTTCATCTTCTGAATCACTGTCATCTGAATCTTCATCTTCAAAATGTACTTTACGTTTCTCCATATCTTCATCTTCTGATTCATCATCATCGTCTTGATCTTCTTCTTCATCATCAAATTCATCATCATCTAATTCATCCAATTCATTTTGTAATTCCACATCAATTTGAATACAATGTTCAATAATTAATGACCAAACATTATATCTTAATTCAGAACAATATTCATTCAATTTTAATAAATTTGAAACATAATTAATAATTTCATTTTTACCATTATGTTTATTAGGAAAATCTTTAACCAAATTATTATGAACATAATGAATAGAAGTTGGTATTATATTTAAAAAAAATTTCATCAATTCATGATGATAATTTGTTTTATTTAAAGGTAAAATAAATTGTGAAGTTAATACAATTGAAACTTCATTCCACCATTTAGGTAAATATGAACATAAAGTTATAATGAATTTTTTATAAATAGAAATTTCAAAATTTGATAATTTCCACCATTTATGATAATTTATAATTGATAAAATTAAATTCTCACATTTTTTAGAATCTAATTTTGATATATTATTTGTCAAGCTATTTAAAATTATAGCGAAATTTGATGATGAAATAGATTCTGGATTAGTTTTGGGTAGTGAGATTTGATTAGCCAATGTATCTAATTGTATTGAATTGGACTGGAACAAGTGGGGTGTTAGTATATATAAATCATTATAAACAAATCATTTTCAAATAACATTTTTTTACTCACGTTATTATCCAAGGCATCTAATGCTGATTTGATATAAGATTTGTACATCTTCTGTTGAAACTCCACACTGGTATTAGATTGGTCTAGTACATTATTTTCCATATCATTTGATGTTTCTAATTTTCTCTTCTTGATGATGATTTGATTTGTTGTATCTTGATCTTTGCTTATATCCCCTTCCTCTATTTCATCTCTAGATCGCTTGAAATGGTTCTTTTGATGGTCTATCGACATCATGTTTAGAACCTTGTAGTTACCTTTTGTCTTCTTTAATTATTCCTTTGATTCAATGATATTATGAATTCAAAGGTCATCAAGTTTTAATTAATTAAAGATTATGCTTATGAAACTGGTTTGAAAAGTTTATTAGAGAATTTTTTTTTTCTTGATGAAAAAAAAAATAAAAAAAAAAAAATTTTTTTTTCGAAAGTCACGTGACAAGCTAGCGATGAGCTTTGAATAAAATTACAATTATTTGTTTAAAAGGGGTTGGAAGTTAAATGGAGAGTGGGTAGTTGTGTTTATTTCAATTGAATCTGTATTGGTTCCAATTTAACCATCATTTTATCCATTTTGGTGATGATTTTAAAGAATGTGTGTTCAACAATAGGCGTGTGACCGTATAGAAAGTGGATAATCAAATGGATATACTCTGAAGCAATTCAAAAGGCAATGATATATTTGAAAGGTAGCATTTATGATCTGATTCTCATTCACACCCTGGTGAATATTGCTACATCTTGTGAATCGTTTTGCAAATAGTTCAAAAGCCATAGTCACGTGAGTTTTGTGACAAATTATCGACACTTCTACATTGGCAGATTGAAATATAGTTATACGCTGAAAGATGATTTAATGGGCATTTGATGGATCTTTATATGATTATAGACAAAGGAACTGACAAAGTTAGGATTTTCTCTTTGAAAGTGAGTGATACTCCTTTCTGAAGCAGCACTAACACCAGGTTTCTTCTAGAATGGTTTCGTCGGGATTAATACCCATTTTTTTCCCTAATTACACCTGAATTTATCAACTTCATCTTCTTTATGCTATTTATATAACCTTGATTAAGCTAATATCTATAAGATGAAAAGCTCATTTAAAATCCCCATCAGCTTACTGCTACTAGCCATTGGTGTCATTGCCTCACCGTTGAGTATAGGAATCGATGCATTGGTTACCAGACCTCAGAACCTAACAGCAAATGAGATCTGTTTCCTTTTTGAGTATGGAACGGTCTATGGTGAGCCTGGTTGGTTTAGATTCTCTATAATGAGTATTCAGGGCGAGAAACAGACTTTGCTGAGGTATGACAAGAGTGATGCTTTCCAAGAGGTTTTTGTTAATCACGTTGATAGAGAGCTTTTAATTATAAATGGATATGATCAAGACAAGGATTATTGTTCCACTGAGCGAACTGCTTCTTTCTTTCGCCTGGTTAAAAAATCACTCGAGGGAACACTCCGTATGAGATCTGGTCCTGGATGTCGTTCTTGTCGCAAGAAAGAGCCCATTGAGCAACTCTTTGAATTGTTTTGTTATAACAACGTCTATTAAATATACTAATGATATTGAATATTCCCATCACATAGTAGCCTAATAAACACCCTTTTTCCACCGAAAACACCCTAAAAAAAGACACATATAACATCACTAGCAGTACTACTCTCCCAATCACACTTATACCACTCAATTCAACTCTCTTCACCTCCAAAAACTCCCAAAAACCTCCCATTTTAACAGTATGCAATTTGGTGTCATGTGTCCCCGTTTCAAAAAGTCAACAACAGCAAAAAAAAATCAAAATCAAAAAATGCGAAAACGATAATAAAAATTTTGGCACAACAAAAACAACAAAAGGCTGATTTCAAAAGTTTCTTTCCTCATTTCAATCCAGTTGTACTCAGTTCCATTATCCAATTGGAGTCTCAATTGCTTTTGCTGTTTCGCTGGTTGTTTTTGTTTTGCAGTCAAGTCTCGGTCAAGTCGAGATCAAAGTGGCAAGTGTAATAGAAGCTCGCTCGTTTAGCAAAAACATCATTTGTCAATGCAATACGTTGGAAGAGCTTTTGACTCGGTCTCAAAGACTTGGAGTTCCATCAATCCTTCCACTCTTTCTGGGGCAATTGATGTCATTGTCGTGGAGAATGAACACGGTGAATTGAATTGTTCACCTTTCCATGTTCGGTTTGGTAAATTTCAATTATTAAGACCATCTCAGAAAAAAGTTGATTTTATAATAAATGGGAAATTGACAAACTTACCAATGAAATTAGGTGATGGTGGTGAAGCATTCTTTGTCTTTGAAACTTCTAAAAATGTTGATGTTCCAAATGATATGATTACTTCTCCAGTTTTATCTGCAGCTTCATCCCCTGCTTCATCTCCTCCAACTTCTCCAAAGAAAAGTTCAACTTTTAGTTCATTACAAGAACCTGAATTCTTGGATATATCACAATCTTCACCTGATTTAACTGAACCTAAGCCAAAACCTGTTCCAATCCCTTTATCAAATTCTGATCCGGAATTACCAACAAAGACTTCAATAACTTCAACTTCACCACTACCACCTTCATCAACTTCACCAAAAGATGCAACTTTGGAAAAATTACAAAAATTATCGAAAAAATTAACAATGATCAACATACCTACCAAAATTGATAAAAATGGTGATTTATTCCTAGATATGAATGGTTATAAATCAAATGAGCAAAACATTCATGACACTGATGATATCATAAATAAAATCCTTACAGAAGAATTCGGTGATGGTGTAGATATATCATCTTTAATTAAAGAAGATGAAATGGGGAACATTAAAATTTTCTCCAATGATGAATTATCACCACCATTAACATCAGCTTCAGATTCGTTAGATGTCACAAGCATAGCTTCCACTTCTGATGACATTCTCACAAATACAACAAGTTCATCTGCAACAAATTATGTTAAAACACTACGTTTAACTTCTGATCAATTGAAATTTTTGGATTTAAAACAAGGTGAAAATGATCTTTGCTTTAGTGTCGATAAAGGTAAGGCTTTTATCACTTCAAAATTATACCTTTGGAAATCTGATGTCCCTGTGGTGATTTCTGATATTGATGGTACTATAACAAAATCTGATGCATTAGGTCATGTCCTAACTATACTTGGAAGGGATTGGACACATCCTGGTGTGGCTAAACTATTTACTGATATTAAGAGAAACGGGTACAACATCATGTACCTAACTGCAAGATCAGTGGGACAAGCTGATTCCACAAGGTCATATTTAAGAAATATAGAACAAGATGGTGATTCTTTACCTTATGGACCTGTTTTATTATCACCAGATAGAACAATGGCTGCTTTGAAAAGGGAAGTCATATTGAAAAAACCTGAAGTTTTCAAAATGGCGTGTTTAAATGATATCAAGAATTTGTATGGAGAAGGTTATAATCCATTTTATGCAGGTTTTGGTAATAGAATTACAGATGCCCTAAGTTATAGAAGTGTTAATATCCCATCTTCAAGAATTTTCACTATAAACCCTGTGGGGGAAGTTCATATGGAATTGTTAGAATTGGCTGGTTATAAAAGTTCGTATGTTTATATTAATGAATTGGTTGATCATTTTTTCCCACCTGTGGATTCTGGTGATGTTAATGATGAGCATTTCACTGATGTTAATTTTTGGAGAGAACCATTGCCTGATTTAAGTGACCTAAGTGATGAAGAATTGAATAGTGCAGATAAAAATGAATTTAATGAATATAGTAAAAAAGAAAAGGAAAAAATTGATATTGATGAATTGGATAAAAATTATAATGAAGATGAAGATGAAGATTATCAAGAAGGGGATGAAGAGGATGACGACGAGGATGAATATGATGATGGTGATGAATATGATTTGACAGATCAATCCGATGATGGTTCTTATGATGATGATGACGATGAAGAGGATGAATTGGATGAAGAAGATTTAGATCAAGAATTATTAGAAGCACCAATCCATGAACAAGAGGAACAAATCAAACAAGAACAGAAATCAAACCATCAAAATTTACAATCTGGGTTCTTACCATTAACACCTGAAAAAAGTGGATTATCTTTAAATCAAAAAAACGTTAATGGTATACATTCACCAAATAGTTTTATTAAAGCTAGTGATTTAATGAATAAATTGAGTATAAGTGATATGAAAGCTGGTCAGAAAAAGAAATAACAAGAATAAATTGGGCATTGAATTAAAAAGGAAAAGAAAGAATTTACATTGCATATGACGATTTGTATATACGGATGATTTAAAAGAATGGGGTTAGAGAAATAAAATCGTAGCTACACTATGCTCAAGATATACAGACATGTAAACAATATTTGAATTCCATGAGAAAGTGTTTGAACCCTCAATTCTTGATAAACTTGAGAATATCTTCACTAACTTGATCTTTATGAGTGCTACAAACACCATGTGAAGCACCTTTATAAACTTTCTCGGTCGGTTGAGGCAATAATTTCAAAGCAGCTTGACTCGAAGCAATTGGTGGGACAATTTGATCATCATCACCATATAAAACTAGTGTTGGAACATTCATTTTTTTCAAATCCTCTGTTTGATCGGTTGATGAAAAAGCTGTTACACAATCATGTAATGCCTTAATTGATGCTTGCATTCCTTGAAACCAAAAACCTTCAATCAAACCATCAGATTTTGCAGAACCTTCACGATTAAACCCATAGAAAGTTGGAGCCAACTCTTTGAAAAATTTTGATCGATCTTTCAAAACATTGCTTCTAATATCATCAAACACCTCAATTGGTGTACCATTAGGATTAGATTCAGTTTTCAACATCAATGGAGGAATAGCACCAATTAAAACAGCCTTTGAGACATTATTGACACCATGACGACCAATATATCTTGCAACTTCACCACCACCAGTAGAATGTCCAACATGAACAACATTCTTCAATTTCAAATGGTGTACAAGCTCAGCTAAATCATCAGCATATTGGTCCAAATTATTACCATCCCATGGTTGAGAAGATCTACCATGACCTCTACGATCATGTGCAATGACTCTAAAACCCTTGTTGGCTAAATAAATCATTTGATCTTCAAAAGCATCAGCATTTAAGGGCCATCCATGGCTAAAGACAATTGGATCACCAGTACCCCAGTCTTTATAATAAAGATCAGTACCATCAGATAGTTTCAAATAAGGCATGTTTTTTCAAGAATGTTTAATGGAGTACTTATATTGTTATTTGTTATTGATTCATGGAATCAGGGAAATCAGACTGCTTATATAGTATAGTTTAACAGGGATGAAATAACGTTCACGATATTATTAATTGAATTGCTATGGGTATTCTGGAATTGACGAATCAAGATACGTGAACAAAACAGACAGCATTTCAGCCCCAAATACATGATAAATAATAATCATTTCCTATAGGCTGGAATCAATCCTTGTAATTGTCTGCTCAAAATCATTAGAATTCCTAAAGGTTGCTACACTAATATCATAGAATATTCCTCGCTTATAGTCGGGTCTAACAGATTTCGCGAGTAGTTTTACTTTCAAAACCACTTTTCTATCGAAATATTCTAAATTCCAGATCCCATTCTACTTTAATGATCTCTTCATCTAAAATTCATATCCTATTTCGAGCTGGATGTTACTGTGTGTAATGTATCTTGAAGTCATATTGTACAAGTGTGATGTTCACAATGTGGCATTTGTGCTGTGAAAAATAAATGTGTTTTCAAAAACCAACAACTCTTTCTCACAATCCATGACTAGTAATGGAACATATAAAGTTTCCGTTACGTTATTGTCCGCTCGCCTTGCCATGACACTCCTGGCTTATGTCCCTCTGATGGATTTTTAGAGCCCTTTTCCGTCAGTGTTTTGGTTCTGAACTGATCTTATAAGCACACTTTGAACAGCCCATATTTTTTTATTTTTTCGATATGTCTTTTCCAACCATATTTTGTATACCGTTAATTCCATTATTAATAGCTAGTAGCTGTATGAAAGTTGGGTTCTTAAATGATGAACTTTCTCAGTGCTGAAGCTATTCCATAAAATGATATCATGAACTTCAAAAAATCATTGTCAAAGGTGTGTGTGTTTTTTTTAGTATCAAGATATTATTATCAATATTTTTCAAATATCAATTCAATGTAGCTGCTGGTTTATCTACAATTCATCAACAAGAAGTATCTCATTCTTTTGAACTATACGCTGGTAGTTCAGTCTCGGTATATGATGGTAAAAGCTCAACATTTTGATGGAATGTCATGATCATCTTGACAAAGACTTTTGGATATTTTAAGATTTGGTCTGGTGCTAACGCTTTTTCAAATTCTTTCAATTGGTCTTTCAAGTCCATTTTCTGACTTTTAATTATATTCAAAACAAATTGTTCTTCATTTTTTTCTCCTTTATCATAATAATTTGTGATATCAACATTTACAAAAACAACTTTGGTTTCTAAAGGTGGATGCTTCACCAAATATTCAAACAGATCTATTGATTTTATCGATTTTGGGATGTTTATGAATGTGACTCTCATTCGAAAATTATCAATGGCTGGTGCTTTTTTAAACAAAGACCTTGATGGATTTGGATCAATGAAAGCACTCTCGTCATCTTTTCTAATACAATCACCAAAATATTCTAGTTCAGTAACCATATCTGAATCAGCGGGTTTCAAAAGAATAATAGTACCTGAATTTCCTTTATAATCTGTAACAATAAGTTCACTTAAAATCATGGGAATTTCATTAAACTCCCTATGGTCAACATCATCGATTACACGAGGCATGATCTCTTTCAGATTCAAACCCAACTCGCCTATATTTTGAGTTTCAAACACAAGACCATTTCTATCGCCTAGATAATACGATTCTTTTGGCTCGCTCATTCTCACGGTGAATTCATTGTTGCTGGTTCTTTTGAATAGTTTTTTGAACATACTGAATTGATAGGGTCTACACAACAATTGAGACCTTGGAGAAACTCGTGAATTGAGCCTCTATTTATATATCACTTTGGGCCCTTACATTATAGTCTATTGTAGCTGTGAGTTGAAGCCTCTTTGTGACGCATTTTCAAAGCTTCGCCTTTATCTCGAAAACCTAAAAGCATGATCAGGCAGATAAGCTCACAGCCGTTGAAAACATCAACAAGTCGGCCTGGTTCAGCCGTTGATGAAACAGCTATGACGTACTTTGATCAAGTAATTGGATACACTTAATGATATTGATTGGTTGATTGGATGACTCATTGAAGTTGTAGCTCATAAGTTGCTTATGGAGGCTTTGAGATCAGTCATTCTACAAAGATCAAAATTCTACATCTAAAAATCAAAATTTTGTAATTAATAATCAAGCCCAAGACGTACCAGACCATAAAATGTTTATAAATAAATGATGTTGTAGAAAAAAGAGTATATAAGTGTATGTCTGTGAAAAAAAAATGTGTTATACAGAATAGTAAATGTACAAAAAAAATTAACAACTAACCAAAATTTCCAATCTGATTAAGCATAATTTCATTAATGAGAAACAGCAGTTTGAACTGGAGTAAATGGATCTCTTTTGTTGAATGCTAATAATAAATCATCTTTTGGGAAAATAGTGGCAAAGACCTTGATAACTTCAGATAATGGAGTGACTTTATGTTCCAAGTCGTTGAATAAAATAGCTTTACCCAATAATGCAGTAAATGTCATAAAGACATAAGTTTGACCTAAACAAACATGAGGACCAGTACCAAAGACTAACCAATTCTTTTTAGCTTCTGAAGCTTTAGAACCTTCAACCCAACGTTCTGGAATGAATTCTTCTGGATCTTCATAAACTTCTGGATCATGTAATGCAGGGTATAAAGTTGGAATAACCATGGAACCTTTTGGAGCGGAATAAGTTTCATTAACTGGGAAAGATTTCTTAACAACATATGGAACCATAATGACTGGAGGTCTATAACGTAAAGTTTCTCTAACAACCATGTTGGTATAAGTCATCTTATCAATCATTTCTGAAGTTAATGGAGCATTTGGATCATTATTACGAACCTCCAATTGTTCTTTTCTAATCTTTTCAGCAACATCTGGTCTATCAGCAACAATTTGGAATAACCAACAAGCTAATGAAGATGAAGCATCTTGTGAGGCAAATAAAAATGTGAAAATAGCTTCTGAAATTTCTTTATTACTGAATTCTCTGTGTAATAATTTAGCATCTGGATTATCAGATTTACCCTTTTTAGCTTCCTCCATCAAATTAATCCAAGCATCCATAACACAAGTTGGTTTACCACCATTCTTGATATATTTCTTTGCTTCAGCAGCACATTCAGCGAAAATTTTCATAGTCATATCAGCAGTTTTCTTACCATACCAAGTTTTAGTAAATGGGATAATGACTGGGAAATTAACCAATTCTAAAGCAGCGGTAACTAAATAATAATCATCAGCAACTTTTTTAATTTGATCTTCAGTAATATAATCACCACAAAAAGCTTTTAATGATAACCCACACATCATTTCTCTCAATTCATGGAAAAACACTTGTGGACCATCTTTTGAAATGTCATTAAAATGTTTCAAATATTTATCCATAACAACTTCTTGAGTTGGTAAATAAGTACTTAAAGCTTGCTTTGTGAATAACCCATTCAAAGATTTTCTATAATCAACATGAGCTTTACCATCAAGGAAAACCCAATTTTCAGGTCTCAAAATCTTAACAGCGACATCAACAACACAAGGTTTAACATAAGCTGGACTTTGGAAAATCTTTCTAGCCAAATCCCTTGAACTTGCAATGACAACGAATTTATGGAAAATAGAAACACAAGATAATGGACCAGAATCCCATTTTGCCTTATATTCTTCAAATTTTGGATCTAAACTTTCCAAAAATGGACCAATAATAGGCCAGACTTTGAAACGAGGACCAGCAATAGAACCTTTTCTCCATTGGTAGGCAACTTGATCATAAACTAACCCAACAGCAACGAATGTAAATAAAACTTTCCACCATGATAAAGTCTTGATAAAATCAACAATTCCCTCTAATGTAAGGGATTCCTGAAGTGAGTGTAACACTGGGCTCTCGAACGAAGAGATGTTCTGTCCCAGGTTGCTTATAGCTGTCGCAACGGTGGCCATGTTTGTCAAAAGAGCGTGTTTGTGAAATGAATCAGCGATGGGTACAAAAAAACAACGTAATCTTTCAACTTATAAGAAGAATTCAAATTGTAATCAAACGATCCATTTTTTTTCTAAACGAGCTGGGAAAAAAAAATACGAGAAAAAAAAATAAAACGGCCCAAAACGGAAACTTTCTTTTTTGGCGTGTCTGGAAGAATGGTCACGTGAGATTATTTCCTACAACAAATACAAGAGAAAATACTATCATTTGATGCACACTAGTACCAGACAGTGTCTCCTATTTTGAACGAAGGAACATGCTCTCGTGCAGGTTTGGCATTGTCATTGGCTGTCGTTTCCTGTGGAGTCTCAGGGGCCTTGTCACAAACTTTGCATTCCGAACTTAATCGTTCACGAACACTGCTGGTTTTTTTGTGGGATGATGGCTTCGACGTCTTGGTGGAACTTGATGGAGAAGTTTGATTAATAGGGGTATGGACTTCTTCTTGAACGATTGGTTCTTGGACATCCTTATTTGGAACTTCATCTTGCTGTAATTGTTGTGCCAATTTTTCCAATTCTTTGTTCAATGTGTATTTCTTTAGTTTGTTTTCCTCCCTCAACTGAAGTTTCTTTGTGAAAAGGTCAACTTGCTCTTGTAATTGTTTCAACTCCAGACTTTCTTTAACAATCAAGTCATCTTCTTTTGGTATGTCAGACTCTGTTCCTTCTTTTGATGGATCTTCATTAGGTTTCTCATTCATTTGCAACGACAAATTCTTTAAAAATTCAATTTCATTCTTGATGTATTCGAATTTCTCATCTTGATTGGCATTAATTTTGGAAACTTCACCTTCTAAATTTATTATTCTCTCTTCAATTTTTGATGTGGCTGCAACTCCAGTGTTATTACTGTTGTTATTAATCTCTTCAACAATAGGTGTTTCTGATGCTTTTTCATTTGAACCAAATATATCTTGAACATCATTAGGGTCAAAGTTATACTTTGGACTCTCTGGAGGTGTTGAAAGTTTTAATTTTTTCTCCAATTCCAAGTTTTCACACTTCAATTTCTCAACATCAGCTATTAACACATCATTTTGATCCTTATATTTGATTATCTTCTCCTTGGCACCTTTAGCAAATTGATTCAATAGCTCGATCTCCCTTCTTGACTCTTTCAATTCATTCTTTAGATTTTCATTTTCTCTAATGATTTTCTCAATCATATTTGAATTTATCTTTACAACATCATCAACGGGCACCTTATTGCTTATATTTTTGAATAACCTTGAAGTTGTATCTGTATAATTCTGGCCAGCTCTTGCCCTTTGTTTCTCTTTTAAAATATCTGGAGTCCCACCTAGATCTGTGTATTTGTTGTAAAATTGTTTTTGCTTCTGATGGAATGTTTCAGTATCTTTTTGATTCTTCAATGGAGAGCCTCTAAATGCTCTCGGAGCAGCAGCACTTCTTCCTAGCTCAATAGAATTATCCAAGAATGCATATTGTGGTTTGACCTTGTTTGGTGTTGGTGAATAATCCATTGCCTTCTAAATCGTAGCTATTAGCGGTTTGTTGTGATTCAAAGTTAGCGATCGAAAGAACTGATTCCTGAATAATAATGATAGATATGACCGCTTTAAAGCTTCTTAGTGACTGACTGGATGAAAATTTTCTGATCTGTTTATTTGTTTTGATTCCAATCTCTGTCACATTTTGTTTTGTGAAGTTTTTGGGTTTTTCGTTTGTTTACAAAAAAGTCGCGTTTTGTAAATTCGTTGTCATAACAACATCATACATATCTAGACTTCCGAATTAGGATATAAAAGTGTGTATTGGCATATATACTAACATTATTATTGAAATTCCTTAACCTGTGCATCAGCCCAATTCCAAAGCTTTTGAGCAATCCCATTTGTTAAACCTTCTTTAATATCAGGTCTCAGTTCACGAAACTGGCCCCAAGGTCCAATGTATTTCCCATTATCTTCAGTAGTTAGACAAGGGTACAATGCACCAAATAATTCAGTATAAGAGCCATAAACAGGATGAAACATTGCCGCATTAATACACAGTCTTGAGAAATAATTCTTATGGGTTCTTGTGATCTCAGAATTCAAATACCCTGGATGCACCCCAAGACTGATAATATTTGAATCTTTATACTTTTCTCCATAAATGTATGCCTGATACATATTACAAACTTTTGATTGTCCATAGTTTTCTAATGAGTCTGATTTGGAAGAATCTCGCAGTTTATCAAATCTTATACCACCATTTGGAGGTGATGACCAATGTGCAGAAGATGTGATCCAAATAACTCTTGGAGTGGAAAATGGGTTTGCAGCAGCGACTTCAATTAAAGGATGAATCAATTTTTGCAAAAGATGATGACCTAGAACGTTTGTCCCTATATGAAGTTCATACCCTTGAATAGACATTGACCCCTTTTGTGGTTGTAAAACGCCTGCATTTAAGATACTATAATCTATCTTATCAACTAGTATTTCAATTTCTTCAACGGCTGGTTTTATAGTTGTCAAGTCACTTAAATCAACATATATGATATGAATTCTTGCATTCAATTCCACCCTAGTCAATTCGGGATCATTTTTAACCAATTCAGCTTTGATAATCTCTGTAGCTTTTCTTGTCTTTTCTGTGTTTCTATTGAGAAACAACACTGTACAATTCTTTTTCAACATAGCTTTAGCAACTTCATACCCAATACCCGTGTTTGAGCCTGTTATTAATGCAACTTTACCTGATAGATCTGGATATTGTTCTGGAAGATATTCAGGACTTGGAGGTATGAAATCTCTCATCATTTCCCATGTTTTGGAAACCATTGTCAGCTGTACTTGATTGAAGTATCATTCTGTGTTGTAACTTTCAACTCTGTCCTTCCATTCTCTATTTATACCCATCCATAGCCATTCACCAACTTTCCAGACTCAACCTGACCATCAAGCCATGCTCTTTTGACCAGTTCTGGGTACCCAAATTGTTTCTTTGGAATGGACCGTTTTTTTTCCTTGAAGGAATTCGCGAAATTATTGAGATGGCGCTAGTGTCCGAAATCTACTGATTGTGTCAAAATTTCTCAAGATTGATAACGGTTTCTATACAATGATATCCAAAAAGCTTTTTATCAAATTTGAACTGGTATTCAATGAAAATTCAAACAAGTATAAGCACTAGTAAAAAAAGTTTTCAACCGTGATTTAGAAAGGTTTTAATGTTATAAATGTTCCTTGGAAGGAGACGTCAAAACGGCTAACTAACGATCCATCCAATTCATAGCTTTAAAAGGCGAACGATTGCTTTGGTGTCTTTGTGCCCTATATGCACATTGGGTAGTAAATGATTCTTTGCTCTGTGATGTAACTATTTGTGGTACTTTTTCATAACCTTGGCTGTGAACAAAGGGTATCTTTCCAAAGATGTTTGACATGTTGTGTAGATGATACAATTGTTGAAGTTGTTATTTTCAATATCAGAAAAAGAGATATAGGTTTTGATCTAACAAATTTGAAATACTTGTAGGAGTTTCAATCTATCTTTATCCTCTATTTATAGGCCGATAAGTCTGATCATATAACATAGAATTTCAAACGAACAGAAAATAATTCAAAAATACGGCACTGAACGTCCAGCAAAGCTAAAACTACCAGGCTATTTGAGGCTTTCAGTAAAAAAGTTTTAGTACACTTGTGGACTCTTTGATAAATATGCCTGATATTGTTTAAATTCTTCTCAAGCCCCGCTAGTTTATAAAGCTAGGGCATTTTGAAGGGTCTGATCATAAAGAAGAAATGATAATATCTAGAAAGTTTTTCGATTAATATAAGTGTTTAGGCTACCTTTGGAGTTAATCGGCTATACATGTATCTAAAACTATATTCAAAAGCAACATAAATCAACTGAGCTCCAACAATTAGACTCAAGTCGAATAATATTTTTCAACTTCTTCATCTGCTCTATCCCAAAATTTCTGTGCTGTACCATTTGTTAATCCATCTTGGATATCATCTTTTATAACTCTAAATTCACCCCAAGGACCAATATATCTACCGCTATCTTTCAATGTAACCTTTGGACTTAAAGCAGCAAATAGTTCGGTATATGAACCATAAACAGTTGGATAAGTTATCAGCTTCATTACAAATTGACCAAAACTTGAGAAGGATCTTGCCAAATCAGAAGCCAAAATACCAGGATGTACAGCAACACTAATAACATCCTTATATAATTGGCCATATATATAGGCTAGATAGATCACAGCAGCTTTCGATTGACCATAAACTGAGACTTGGTCACATTTTGAAGCATCATGGAAGGAATCCCAATCAATACCACCATTTGGTGGTGAGTTATGATGTGCACCAGATGTTAACCAGGCAACTCTTGGAGTGAAATCTTTTGTAACTGCATTTAATACTAATGGAGTCAAGAATTTTTGTAATAGATGATGTCCGAAAACAATACCAATTTGTAACTCATAATCTTGCTTTGTTTTAGAGCCTTTAGGTGGAGTCATAACCCCAGCATTCAGGATAGTGTAGTGAATTTTGGAAATACCTTTGGATTTGATTGTTTCGGCAGTTTTCTGGAGGCTTGATAAATCATCTAGTTCTGTCTTGACAAAGATTGCTCTTTGAATGATAGAAGTACCAAGCTCTTCTTTAATCTTTTCAATGGCAGCTTTGGTTTTTTCTTCACTTCTATTAGCAAATATGACAGTAGCATTTTGTTTCAATAAGGCTTTGGCACTTTCAAACCCAATACCAGTATTACAACCAGTCACCAATGCAACTTTCCCTGTCAAATCAGGATAATCTTTTGGTAAATAAGTTGGCTTTGATGGCCAGAAATTTCTAAGCAATTCATAAGTAGCGTTAACCATTTTCCACACAGTAAGCAGTAAGCTCTGGGGGTTCAAAATCTGTCAAGTGTTAAAAAGAGATCTATTGTTGGTCTTTTATATTGTTTAATTGTCATCAACCTATTGGTGGGACTTAACGGGGAATTAGATTCTCCATTAAGATAACACCGGGCTGAGCTCTGAACATTTGCTTCTGAAGAACGATTAGCTGGAATTAGCGGATTGTTATAGGTTTGGGCTAATTACTGCGATAGTATAGACTGTTGGTTCAAAATCTAAATATTCTGTCTTTAAATTGGCACGGCTCAACTAGTCAGGGTCTTGAATCGGGTTAAAAGTGCGGAGGCGCTTATGTCCGATTGATCGATCACTAGTGTGTAATTTGGAACGCTGCTTAGTCGAACGTATTGAACATATTATTGCACAAAATTAATTGAAATCAGAAAAAAAAACATGATTAATTTGTAAGATATTAATGATTTTTAAACTCATGTTGGCGCACTGCACTATAATATAAATTAAGCATGAGCAGAATTAACTAGACGTCCGACGTATTTGAAAATATTATAATATTTAGCTCATGATCATATTAATTATTTAGTAATTATTTAGCTTCGTTATTTATAGTCAAACAAAAGATGATCAGGTAACTTTCAAGCTGTTGAAGTGCACAAACATGAATAAAATTAGCATTAAAACTTTGGAGGCTGTGCATTCTATACATTTTAGATGATTTTGTCAAAATAGATTTGTTCTGGAGTACCATAAAGAAGCTAATTTCCAATAGCTAATTTGGACAAAAAATCAAGTGGATGCTTTATTAAAAATGCTTAATTAATCTTACGTGAATTTCAGAGTTCTTTTTGATATTGAGTAAGAATAACTTGGGCTCTTCAATTCTCATTCCCATTCTCAACTTTCAAGAAAACTTTGAAAGTTAGTACTGAGCCTAAATGACTTTGTAGTTTAAACTTCCGGCATCATATTATCATATATGTGTATATAATTGGGTAATTTCCTAACTAAGACGTCATCATAATTTCAACATAATACGTACTCAAATCAATCTGAAGATTTTATCGTACTATCAATTCGGATTTGGCAAACTCTTCACAGGTATGGCTCAACCTCTTTTGATGCCCAATCCCAAAACTTCTGAGCAGTTCCATCACTTAAACCTTTTTGAATATCATCCCTGAGCTCTCTGAATTCACCCCAAGGACCAATATATCTTCCATTATTTTCTAACGTAACATCTGAGCTTAGAGCTCCATATAATTCAGTATAGGATCCATAAACTGCTGGGTAGAGAAATTTCTTCAAAATATATTGTTGCAGTGAGCCATATGACCTTTGTAATTCAGAATTTAAATAGCCAGGATGAACAGCGACACTTATAATACCATCATCCTTGTGTAATTTTCCATAGATATAAGCTTGATAAATGTTACCTGTTTTAGATTGTCCATAAGACATCATTGAACCTGAATTACTAGCATCATGGAAACTATCCCAATTAATACCACCTTTTGGATAAGAGTATAAATGGGCAGAAGACGTTAGCCAAACGACCCTTGGATTGAAGTCTGGTGTAACTGCATTCAAGACTAATGGTGTTAACAGTTCTTGTAATAAATGATGACCAAGAACATTTGTACCAATTTGCAATTCATAACCTTGCTTTGTTTTAGAGCCATTAGGTGGAGACATAACACCTGCATTCAGGATGGTGTAGTGAATTTTATCAATTTTGGACTTGATAATTTGATCAACAGCTGGTTTGATACTTGATAAATCACCTAAATCTGCGTTAATTAAATGAATTTTTTCATCTAAACTTTCCACATTAGCCAATTCCTTTTTGATACGTTCAATGGCACCTTTTGTTTTTTCCATATTTCTATTCACAAATAAAACAGTAGCATTTTGTTTCAACAATGCTTTTGCACTTTCATATCCAACTCCAGTGTTTGAGCCTGTAACTAAAGCAACCTTGCCTGTTAAATCTGGATAGTCTTGTGGTAGGTATTTTGGTTTTGGAGGACAGAAATCCTTTAATGTTTCCCACGTTGGACTGACCATGATGTGATGATAAATCTGTATGCTTTCCAATGAGCTTTCAAAATAATAAAAGTATTATATTTGAGATATTGGAAACTCCTCTTTATATAACAACTTCTCGTCCGTTAAACCCACCAGCAATTAAAGTCCATTAACTCCAATCTGAGAGGGAAATGAGCAGTAAGCAATTAAATAGATACATCACATCATTGATTACTTGACAACTCTGCTTGCACGATTTCCAATCAAACAGTCTTTCTAAGGCCCAAGGGCACCAAATTTCAAGCATCAAATCTCACAAAGTTGAGGTCAATTTTTTCCACAGAACGCATTCGCGATTTCGCGATTTTAGCCAATCAAAAAACTTCGCGAATTAATCTTGAACAAAACATCAACATCAATGCTCAACATTTGAAACAAACAAGATCAATTTATCACCCACAATTACTACCAATATGAGTGCCAAAAGAGTAGCATTGCATCCACTAGTGATGCTCAACTTATCAGACCATTATATAAGACATCAACAGCAGAGCACAGCTGTGGCAAATGGCCGTTTGTTGGGAGTATTACTAGGTAATGAAGGTAAAGATGGTTCTTTACAATTGATCAATTCATTTGAATTTGCATTTCAAGATGACGGGGTTCCAGATCTAAGCTATTTACAAACAAGACTCGAACAACAATCGGTGATCCTACCTAACGAATATTTGGTTGGTGTTTATGAAATTAAACAAAAACATGAATTGAAACCAAGTGATGAAATTTTACAATTACATGATTTACTAAAAGAGTATAATGTTGATCTTGTAACGTTAGTTTTCAACCCTGAGCTTTCGTTGAAAAAATTCACAAATCAGAAGTTTGTCAAGATATATGATAATCAATTGAATGATTTAAAATATAGCGTTGATACAAAAGAGGCTGAAAAAGTTGCAGTTGATACAGTATTGGATGTTAAAGATGTCGAAAATGAGGATGAATTGAATAAGGCCACTGATCAAATTGAATCTCAATCATTTATTTTAAAGACTTTGCACTCTAAGATTGAACTAATATTGGAGTATTTAACCAAAACAGATCCGGCTTCAACCCCAGGTTATTATGATATTTTACGTCAAGTGAATTCATTCATTTCCAAAGTGCAATCTAAACAAAATGACGATATAAAGACTAAATTGATTGATTTGGAAACTGATTATAATATGTTGATTTCCTTAGGGACGATGAATGATACGATAAAAGGGTTGGATTCTATTAATTTGGATTTGAAAAAATATGATAGTCAACCTGTAACGGAATAATGAAGAAACAACATCGATTAATGCTACGAATATCAACCTCAAGGGCTTTTGGAAGTGTGTCTACAGTAGTCCCAATACATGAAAGTTTATGACAAATCTTTATTTACGTACATTATATTTCTCATTAATCTTATATCATTAATCTTCTAACACCATCAACTTTCCATTCTTTAGCAGCATTAGAATATCTACACCCAATCAATCTTCTCCCAGTAATTGGACATCTACCACCTTTTACTGGATCACTCTCCATTAAATATCTCATAATGCATGGATAACAAAAAACATGACCAGTTTCAATAACTGCAGGATTTGTTATTTGATTTGAACAAATTGGACAAATATCTGTCTTTGTGATTGGAATTTTAGAGGAATTTGGTGGTGGGATATCTTTATCTATTAAATTTTGTTGATTTTTAGAAATTTTTGATGCAAATTCTGATGAATTCCACCATTCAAGAAATTTTAATAGGAAAATTGCCAATGGGAAAACTGTAGTTGATAATTTCATCATTAATGATTTTAGAGGTTTATAATAGACTGATAGCATCCTGTTCAAATGTTGACCAAATGATGGTGGACGTGTTCTAGTGCTTGTTGAGGATGTTTCAGGTTTTGTTGTTGTTGATGATTTCTTATCATGTAGGTCATAATCAAATTGGGATAAACGTGCATATTCAATCTTTAATAGGTAATCAATAAATGATGGGGATTTTGTACGTCCCGATAGATATAAAATTTGGAAAACAACATTCAATAGTTTTATAATTGATAATAAATATGGATATACTTTAACATAATAATATTTTAGTTTATTTGTCAAAGTGGTTGGTTTTAAAGTTTTCAGCAACACTTTACCATATAGTTTCTCATAAATTACATCTAATTTCTCATTAACATAAGCACCACCAACCAAGTTTATTAAACTTGCATAAATTTGCCAATTTGATAATCTTTTCTTTGTTTCAATCATTTCAAAAATCTTGTGATTCTTATCTTTAATATTAATCTTGTTTAAAGTTTGTCTTTTCAATCCATAGAAATTCTCTGTGAAGCTTGAATTCCATTTTGATAAGTAATGATACTCGACAAGACCTCTAAACACCAAGTTCAACTCATCAAATTTCATTGCAAATTTCAACAACAAGTTTGGATATTTTTGAGCATAATGAACAATTATATAACGTAATGAGGGGGACAACAATTGCTCTAGTTCATTTGAAGATATGATTTCAAATATCGTGGGTGTTGAATCCAACGATCTTGAGTCTAAAGAAGAGTAATAATCCATGATAATCTGATCAAATTGTGATCTTTTTGAATGTTGTTTATTATGACTGTTCTTTGATGTGTTTTTCAACTTTCTCCACGAAATTTGAAATACAAAACGGATTCGCGGAATTGCGCGAAATCATTTGTTCGCGAACTCGTTTTGCAAACTGAATCAACATAACCTTTGTGATACAAAATTTAGATTTAAAAAAAGAACTAATATTTCTATTATTTGACTTATATGCTAATTATAAAACCAATGCAAAAAAACAAACAAAAACCACACTGAACCCGTTTGTTGTAATGGCCCTGCCATTATTTTTACTCTTCATTTCTTTTTCTGGCATCAACAACAATTTTATCCCAATCAGCACCGATAAAGACGATATAAAATTGTAATAAACACATTGAAATTAATCCAGATATAATACCAATCCATAAACCGGCAATATTCATATCATATTTGAAAGTCATAATGTAAGAAATTGGTAATCCAACAACATAAAATGAAAAAATATTAATATATGAACCAATTTTTTGAACACCTTGACCACGTAAACAACCTGCAGAACATGCATTTAAACAATCAATGATTTCCATAATTGATAACAATGGTAACACTCCTGCAACTTTTGATATAACTTCTTCATCATTTGTGAAAAAACTTGTAATTTGATAACGAAATTTCAAAATAATTAAACTATTTATAATCCCAATAATTAAACCAAGATTCATTGATGCAGTACAACATTTTTTAGCATTCACGACTAAAGAAGCACCAATATAATTAGCAACTCTTGTTGCGGTGGCAATGGAAACACTAAAAGGAACTTGATAAGCTAATGCGGCAATTGAACAAACGACACTTTGAGATGCCAATTCTGTAGTACCTAATCTTGAAGCCATTAATGTAACAATTTCAAATCCAAGGAATTCAGCCTCCACCATAACAACACCAGGCAACGCTAAATGGATCATTTTGGACCAATTTGTAAAAGCTTGATTAATTTGGAAATTTTGTGGCCAACATTTTAAAACTTTTTGATCATAAATTGTATAACATAATAAACCTAATGGCATTAACCAATAATTTATAGTGATTGCAATTGGGGCACCAATGTAACCTAATTCGAATTTCCAAACTAAAACCCAGTTTAATAATGCATTTAATGGGGCACAAACTAATAAAACATAAGTGGATGCATGGAAAACACCTTGACATTGTAAAAATCTTTTACCACATTCAAATAATATGAAACCTGGCATACCAATACTAACAATTTGTAAATATTTAGCAGCGATTAAAACTAATTCATAATCTTTAACCATTAAACTTAATAAATTTGTGGAAAACCATACCCATATTATAGAAATTGGTATAAAACAAGTTATAGCGAAAATTGCACATCTAATAAATTGTAACCCAACTAATTCAAATTTCCCTGCACCAAAAGCTTGGGAGCATAAAGTATCTAAACATGTAGTTAACCCTTGAATTGCTGCAAAACCTGTTATATTTGCAGTCATTGAACCTAATGTAATACCAGCTAATTCAGCTTTCCCAATATGACCAACAGAGAAAATTGAGGCAAGGGATAATGAGTTTTGTAAAAGAAAAGTTATAACTAAAGGTAATGCGGATTTAGTTAAGGCATTGATTTCTAAATGATGTGAAGTTTTCAATAATCCATTTTTAACAGCAGTTTCCCAAGTTGATGGTATGATATCACTATTTGAATCTTCTGTGATTAGATTGTTGTTTTGTAATAAGTTACGTTCTTCGGATAATAGCTCACGAGAACGACGGTTTGATGACTCTTCTGTATAGAAATATGGGTCTTCTTGTAATAAAGGTCTTGTTTCAACTTGTTCCTCTTCATCACCCTCATTATCAACGTCAATGATTCGTTTTATAAAAAAGTCTTGAGGGGAATAGAGAGCTGGCTTCCCCTGGGAGTAGACCAAAGAGGCTCTTCTCTGGTCATTTGTGTGCTTGAACTGATGATCTTTCATCTTTCTCTTCTTCTGCTCTCTTCGTTATTAAAATCGTAGTAAAACGTTGCAAACAAGTGGGTATTAAATGGTTTTTCATGGAATTTTCTTTTTTTAAAATTTTCGGTCCTTTGCGTGCGCTCGCCAACTTTTGACACATTGATAAACGGCAACCTGCAAAAATTTTCACACTACGAATCGCAAAAGTAAACAATGAAAAGCAGCCAGAAAAGCCATAGTTTTGTTAGATTTATAAGGGTTTGTTGTGTTTAATTATATTTTTGTTTTCTACTCCATTGTAAAAGCGATTTTTCTAGCCTTGTGCTGGTCAAAAATCTCATATGCTTCCGACACTTGTGATAATGGCAGCTTCATATCAATAAAATCATCAAATTTATGTGCAACTCTTTGGAAAACCTTGAAAGAATCATCAAATATAGAACGAACTGGACAACGACCAAACTGTAACGAGATGTTTTTCAAATAACATTCTAATCCATCCATTGGTAAAGGTTCATGGTGATAACCTATTGAACTAATAAATCCAGCAGAACGAACAGAATTAAAACCTAATCTTAAAGCTGCAGCATTCCCAACAACTTCAAAAATCGCATCTGCCCCACGATTTGCTATTGTTTTGGATTTGATAAAGCCTGGTACATCTTTAACATTATTCAAATTTATTGGAATTGCACCTAGTTTTTCAGCTTCAACCAATCTTGACTCCACAGTGTCTGCAATATACAACTTTTGAATACCCAATTCCTTAGCAGCTGCAACACAACATAATCCAACAGGACCTGCACCTAGTTGTAAAATAACGTCATTAGCAATTCTTTTAGGATCATATGCAATTTTTTTCAAATAATTATTAACACATAACCAACCAGTTGGGAAAATATCACTCATCAATAAAGCAGTGTAAGGATTCATATGTGAAGGCAATGGATATAAAACAGAATCAGCATAAGGAATACGAACATATTCAGCTTGACCACCATTCAAAGCCCAAGTTCCAAACACTTTTGAGTCAATACATGAACTACTTAGTCCATCTTTACAAGCCCAACATTCACCACATTGAGATGTAAATGTACTTAGGACATCATCACCAGGTTTGAAATCATGAACATCATCACCAACAGCGACAACTGTACCATTGAATTCATGGCCAGTGATATAATCTGCATTTTTAGGTACAACATCACCTCTATACATGTGTAATTCAGTTCCACAAAGAGCAGTAGCTTTGATCTTGATTATAGCATCTTTTGGAGATTGGATCTCAGGGATTGGGACTTGTTGCAATTGGATGTCTCTTGGTCCTTTGAAGACCGAGGCCATCATAGTCTTTGTAGTTGCTGGCATTGTTGATTGTGTGAATTAACCTAAAACTAACTATAATCTCATTTCTCATTCCATTCATCACTTTATATACACGTTAACCCGCACCATTGTCACCATGACTTTGGACTGATTGTTAATGGTAAATTTCTCAAATGAAAAATCATCACTTTAAACTTTCTCGGAGTTGGAATTCCCAAAAACGAAAAATTGGGGTAAAAATGTTTTGATTTCCGTTTTGGGAAAGTGACTATTTGGGAAATGGTTATGGCTACGGTCATGTGACTAGCGGACTTAAGTTCAAATACGTCCTAAATTAAAACATTTTCTTCTTTTTATTTACTTTTAGTTTTAGTTCTTCATCATCATCATCAATAATAATAATGGCAACTACTAAAGTCTTGTGTTTGCATGGATTCCTTCAAAACGGGAAAGTCTTTTCTGAGAAATCTTCAGGTATCAGAAAGCTATTGAAAAAATCAAATATCCAACTAGATTATATCGATGGTCCAACTATTTTAGAAAAGAAGGATTTACCTTTTGAAATTGATGATGCCAAATGGCAAGAGATTTTAGATGCCTCTTTGAATAAAGCTTGGTTTTATCATGATGATATCTCTAAAAACTTGGATTTAACTGAAGCTATTAAAACTGTTGTTAATCATATTAAAGAAAACGGTCCATATGATGGTATCTTGGGTTTCAGTCAAGGTGCTGCAGTTTCCACCATCATTGCAAACACTATCAAACAACTAATTCCAGAACATGATTATTTTAAATTCTCAATCACATTTTCAGGTTATTCATTCACTGAGCCAAAACCTGATAATGAAAATGAATTACAAATCACTGAAAAATTCCAATCAAGTTTTAAAGTTCCTGAAGATTTATCAACTAAATGTATTTTCGTCTATGGTTTAGGTGATCAAGCTGTCCCTGCTGTTAGATCAAAATATCTTGCTGGATTATACCCTGAACACATTAAAAAAGTTTTCGAACATGAAGGTGGTCATATGGTTCCAAACAAAAAAGATTTCTTGAAGCCTATTGTTGATGAGATTAATGAATCATTAAAATAGAGTGAGAATAGAAAATTATAGAGTTTTGATAGATAAAAGTTTGTTTTTTGATGTTTTGTAGTGGAAATTGTTCCTTTCTCCATTCGCGAATGTTGTGATTGATAAATTTAAACAATTGTGAGCCATTTTCTTTTATAGCAGTTTATTGTTTTGTCCAACGTTCAAAAGGTTTTTGAAGCAAATAAAGTACTGTATATCGTTTTAGATATTGAAACCTTAACTGCTATAGTTTGATTGGGTTTGTTTGATTGGTTTTGTTATCATGCACTTCTTCTTATATGTGAAAGCAATGCGTGGGTTTAACGGTTGATAAAACTATATATAAAAGGACAAGAGAATGATCTATCCGTTATTTTTTCAATAGACACATATTTGCTTTCAAAGGTACTAATTCAAAATGGTCAACACTCAATGGGAAGCGATGAAGGACCTTTGTCCTTCTAATCCAAGTTTTTTACCACAAGATTATCCAGATTTAACAGACAAAATTGCTTTAATTACAGGTTCAAATACTGGTGTTGGATATGAAAGTGCAAAAGCATTACTAAAGCAAAATGCTACAGTGATTTTCCTCAATAGAAATCTTGAAAAGACTGAAGACGCAATTGAACGTATTAAAAAAGAGTTACATGACAAAGATCTAAACAAAAAGATCTTTTCATTCAGAGCTGATCTAAGTGATTTATCAAGTATTAAACCTGCAGTTGACAAAATCAAATCAATGTTCCATGAAATTCATTTCACTATATTGAATGCAGGTGTTATGCAACCTCCTGATGGATCCAAAACAAAACAAGGTTATGAATTGCAAATTGGTACTAATGTCCTTGGACACCATTTACTACAACTTTTATTAACACCATTAGTATTGAATGCAGCTACACCGGATTTTAATCCAAGAGTTGTTTGGTTGACTTCGTCTGCTCATTTGTTATCTTACCCTAAAGGTGGTATCAAATGGGATAGTTTCCATGATGCTAGCAATTCAAGTTCAATGACATGTTATGGACAATCTAAAACAGGTAACATGTATCAAGCCTATATATATGGGAAGTTGCATAAAAAAGATGGTATCATTAGTGTTGGTGTTCATCCTGGTTATTTGAACTCTGAATTACAAAGATCATATGGAAAATTTAAGCAATTTTTTTTGAAAAAAATATTTTATCCGCCTGTATATGGTTCATATACTGAATTATTTGGTGCACTGAGTCCAGATGTCACTTTGGAAGATAAATATGGTCGATATATTGGACCATGGGGTGAATTCAGACTCCTAAGAGATGATATTCAAGAGGGTTTAAGTGATGGAACTGCACAAAAGTTTTGGGATTGGGCCTCAAAAGAGGTTGAGCCTTATATATGAGATCTACAAAATAACCATTATTAATGACCTCATAAATGTTTACTAAATCCACTAATGTTGATTTCAAAAGCTGTAATTATTTTCTTTGCACGTACATTTACTTCATTCTAGATCTCAACCTTTAAAAAGGCTGGATATCTTCAAAGCCAGCTAATCCTTGACCAAAGAGTTTACTAATACCAAGTTGTAGAGTATATCGGATAACGGAACAGACCCCTTCCGACGCCGACAACCCCAGTAAATCCATGGAAAAAAAACAGGCGGTGAAAAAGCAAAAAAAAACGGAGGGTATAAAAGAACAAAGACTTGTCCACGATTTCAACTTTAGCAGGTCAATCCAACGAATTCGTTACAAGAGAACAATAATAAAAGATGGTTAACGTTGCTTATGAATGGCTAAGAGACTGCTGGCCTCCTAAACCTGAATTCTTACCAAAAGATTATCCAGATTTAACAGGAAAGACAATCTTAATCACTGGTGCCAATACGGGTATTGGGTTTGAAAGTGCTAAAGCCTTGTTGAAGAAAAACGCAACAGTTGTATTTGCAAATAGAAGCGAAGAGAAGACAAAAATCGCTATTGCCAAAATTCAAGCTGAATTAGGTGGTGATTCATCTCAAAGATCAATTTTCGTCAAGACTGATTTAAGTGATTTATCATCGATCAAGGGCACAGCGGAAGAATTGAAATCAAAAGGTATCACAAAATTACATTACACCATATTGAATGCTGGTGTTATGCAACCTCCAAAAGGTTCCAAGACAAAACAAGGATTTGAATTACAAATTGGTACAAATGTTTTAGGTCATCAATTATTACAAAAATTTCTAACACCATTAGTTTTGAATGCAGTTTCATCAGATTTCACACCAAGAGTTGTTTGGTTAGCCTCAGCTGCACATCTTTCATCCCCACCAAATGGTGGTATTGATTGGGATTCCTTCCGTAATGCTGATTGGGCTGGAACTGTCAGTGCTTATGGTCAATCCAAGACTGGTAATATTTATCAAGCTTATATCTATGCTCAGCAACATAAAGATGTCATCAGTGTCTCTGCTCATCCAGGGTATTTGGCTTCTGATTTAACAAGAGCTTATAAAGGTTATCTTCAATATTTGATGAAACTCTTGATGTCTCCTCCAGTTTATGGTTCTTATACTGAATTATTCGCTGCTCTCAGTCCAAAAGTTACATTGAAGGAAAGTGGTAGATATATTGGTCCTTGGGGTCAATTCAGAGAATTGAGAGATGATGTTCAAGAAGGCTTAACTGATGGAACTGCTCAAAAATTATGGGATTGGGCTGAAGCTGAAATTAGACCATACACTTAGTCTAATGGTGCTTATCTCTGTAAATATATCATTTATGAATTAACTTTACTGATTTATTATAATGAATCTGTACTACTTTACTTTCACTAGACCAATCTACCTCTTCAGCCTTATTCTCAATTTGGTTTGTTTTCTGCTGGACTGCCATTTTACAAAGTGTCAACTATTTTCACATAAACACGAGTTGAAATTTTTTTGATTAGTTCTTTTCTCTCTCAATCTCTCTCTAACCCCAAGGAACATCATTAGCCAGGATGAATCAATGGGTAGTTGATTTTGATATTGACCACATTGCTGCACAATTAGAACTTGATCCTGCTGCTCCTCTCTATAATTCTGCTTTTATGGTTGAAACAGCTCTAAATGATGGTCGAAATGTTGAGACGTTAATTTTCAACAACATTCTTGATAAAATTAGGAAATATTCATTCACATCTCAACACCTAAGCTATGAATCATTGTTTGATGGAATTGAGATACGTAATTCGGTTCCAGTTGGTGATTATGATAACTTTTTGGTACCTTTTTCACCTTTACGAGTCATCAAGATTTGTATTGGTAAATTGAAAAGACCAGATATCCTTGACATATTGACTACAGAAGATATTAAAAATCTATACAAAATTATATTCATAATCCCTCCTGATAAAGTTGATGCAGGTTGGCTTACAAAATCATGTCCAAATACCATTGTTAATAATTTAAAGCAGATTTATCCTTCATCTAACTCTGTTGAAATTGACAATTCAAAATTTTATGAGAGTATCAAACTTTTTGAAGAATCAATCACAGGATTAATATCAGAGTTTGGTGAGGTTGATATTATCAATAGCATTGTATCAAGCTTGAAAATAATGCACAGAAAAAATGATTATATATCACATATTAAAGCTATTACAAATTTTTTCAATCTTCTATATTGTTTGGATCAGAAATGTTTTATTGTTCAACCTTTCAAGCTGAAACATTCCTCTTCTTGTTATCTAAACAATACAGTCTATAATGAAGAGATGAAACCAAAACTATCAATCATGGAGAAACCTGGTTTTAGAAAAGCTTTAGAAAAAGGATATGGTGACAAATATTTTGGGAAATGTATAAGTGAACTACTTGGTCATCTTATAAGCACACGTCTTGATCAAGCTATAGTTGTGGATGAAATTGGAGGGATTGTGTACTATGTTAAAATCCCTGAACATTGTGAAATTAAAAGAAAGGATGAAATAACTTGTGATGATTTTGAATGTTATTTAATTGACCTGGAGTATAAAGTTGTTTATGACTTTGAGAAAAGACATGATGAATTTTTTGTGTTTGGTTTTCTATTGTGCTCAATATTTCATGATATAATGAATGAGCCAGAGGATCAGCCACCTGCGAAACAAGAGACAAATCTCGTTAAGGCCATCAAAAAGTTTAGGAATTCTTCTAGCGAACCATTATGGTTCATTAGTGGTACTATGCAGAATGTTTACTTTCCTAAAGTTTATTATAAGCCAAGTGACTGGAAACTTTATGAAATTGATTCTGAAACGAAAATCTCTTATCGTGTTATTCAAGCCTCTGGTGAAGAATCACCAATTGATATTATCAAAATGACTTCAAAAGATTTTGAAAATCATTTTGATTTCCATGACCCCAAAATTGATGATGTTTCAAATGTAATCATAAAGATTTATGATACTTCTTTGTTAGCTACTGGAATTCAAACTTTTTTCAACAAGTCAGTTGAGCCGTTTGGAATGACACCAGTTCCTGAAGATAGTAATTGCTTGGACTTATTCAAGTCATGGCTTTCCGAAAGATGTTTTCTATCTGAGTTATACTCCTACCTCAAAATTGAAGAGCACAATAAGAGACAAATCAATTCAAAGAGATTAATCAATTCACCAAAGTTTTTGGCTCATGGGAAGATCCTGTTTGGGCAGATACAGGGATACTTCATTGCAATTGCTGAGCAGCCAAATGTTCATGTCAAACCTAGTAATTTCCATGAAGTTGAGATGGGAGTGCAACAGTTGAAGCTTTTGCATAGTATTGGAATAACTCATAATCAGATTCAAGAAAGTAATTTATGCTTTGATCCAATTCATAATAAAGTTTGCATTTTTGATTATAGATTCGCATATATCTATGATAATCCTAAAGAGATTGATCAAAGAGAAATTGAGCGTGATATAGCAAAGATGAGATTAATTTTGGGGAAAAAGAGTTTGAAATTGTGATGAAATTACTTATGACATCTGCCAATTTATTGTGTCAATACACTTATAGAACGCATTCGCGAACTCGAATGGCTTTATATAGTACATTTTAATGAATATTTGAGGTATTTTCACCATGGAAATTGGATCAGTAGTGATTCCTGCTACTTAATTTATTATAAACTATTCAAATACCCCTTTTACTCTGCCATTCAAGCCTTGGTGCTATCACATCCTTCCCACTCCCGGGTAAACTTCGCGAAAATGTCCCTCACTTCAGAAAAAGCACCCTGCTCAAGCCGAGTTGTACTGTCATGAAAAAACACGAAACCACAACATCAACAACAATAAACGTCACCAGCCAAACTACAAATCACAAAGGCTCTCACAAGGATGAACTTTGCCAAACTAGATGAGCAGCTCCCTAAGAAAATCACTTCCAGACTGGCCAAATTCAAACTCTCTAAAAATGACGAGGAAGCTGCTGTGAATTTCATGCCTTTACCTTCCCAGGATAATTCCCCAAAGATTTCTTTAACCAACTATAGACCTTTAAATTTACCAAATAATAATGACTCCATAGATGAATTCCAACCTAAAAAGTCAAAGTTTCAAAAACTGATAGCAGTACTGATAAAATATACAAAATTCATAGGACCAGGATTGATGGTATCAGTGTCATATATGGACCCAGGTAATTACTCCACAGCAGTTGCAGCTGGTTCATCTCACAAATATAAACTATTATTCTCCATATTATTATCAAATATTCTAGCTGCTTTCCTACAGATCTTGTGTGCAAAATTAGGTGCTGTTACTGGATTAGATTTAGCCCAAAATTGTAGGAATCATTTACCAAATAAATTAAACATATTTGTTTATATCCTTGCTGAAATTGCCATCATTGCTACAGATCTAGCTGAAGTCATTGGGACTGCCATCTCATTAAACATTTTGTTTGGATTACCTTTATTAGCAGGTGTTATTTTAACAATAGTTGACGTTCTTATTGTATTGATGGCTTATAAACCTGGTGGTGGGATGAAAATTGTTCGAATTTTCGAAATGTTTGTTAGTGTATTGGTTGTCTTGACTGTTATTTGTTTCACTATTGAATTAATTAATGTGGATTTCAAATTTAGTGAAGTTATGCAAGGTTTTTTACCATCTGAGGAAATTGTTAAAGGTGATGGGTTATACCTAAGTTTGGCCATTTTAGGTGCCACTGTTATGCCACATTCTTTATATTTGGGCTCTGGTTTAGTCCAACCAAGATTACGTGACTTTGATATCAACCAAGGAAATTATAAGCCTGATGATAATGATGAAAATCATTTGAATTACAAACCTTCATTATCAGCGATCAATGATATTATGCATTACACAATTACAGAATTGATGGTTTCTTTATTTACAGTGGCTCTTTTCGTTAACTCAGCAATTTTGATTGTTTCAGGTTCAACTTTATCAGGTGAAACAAATACTGACTTGTTTTCAATTTATGATTTATTATCAAATAATTTAAGTCATTTTGCTGGGTTAATATTTGTGTTGGCATTATTATTCTCGGGTCAAAGTGCTGGTATTGTATGTACATTGGCTGGACAGATGGTTTCTGAGGGTTTTTTGCATTGGAGTGTTTCGCCTTCAATTAGAAGATTATTAACAAGATCAGTGGCTATTGCACCTTGTTTGATTTTGGTTTTGGTTGCCGGTAGAAATGGGTTATCAGGTGCTTTGAATGCATCTCAAGTTATTTTATCATTATTGTTACCTTTTGTGTCTGCTCCACTAATTTATTTCACTAGTTCAAAAAAAATTATGAAAGTTAGTCTGAATAATAATTGTTATACTGATCAACAAGATTCAATTGCAATGACAGATATGTCGAATAGGGATGAAAGTGAAGATGGTCATTTAGAATTTTTCAAAGATATGAGTAATTCCAATATCACAACTTTTTTCGCTATACTCATTTGGTTATTCATCACTGTGTTGAATTTCTTTTTGATTATTTCCTTTGCTATGGGGAAGGATATTGCATTTTGAACAGAAAAAAAGAGAGAAGAGTGGTTTTAGTTCATATATTTATATTTTCATTATTGTCATGTTATTTTTTTTTCAACTTTCAAAAGGTTTTCTCAAAGAAAAGGGAGGTTTTGGTTTGTTTTCTTTTTTTTATATTAATTCTTGCATAAACATTCTTAGATTTGTATATATCCAATATGTAGATTACAATCGTTAACAGTTTTTTTGAATAATGCCAACAGTTTGAGGATCATGAGTAAAATCTGTATATGATTGATTTAATGGGTAATAAACTGGGGTTCAGGTTGAATCTTGTTCAGCAGCCTGAATTGATGAATTATATGTTTCATAATTTGTCAATCTATTAACACTAAATTCTTCAGGTCAACCAAAAACATAAGCCCTGATCTTGAGGATAATTCTGATATTTTATGAGATACTCAATGTTACTAGATAAATGCCCCCCTTCAGTTTCGAAGACTCTAACATCCAAACACCAACAGTACTTGAAAATCGGATAATATTTTTCTACAATAAATTACCAAGGCTTGAACTTGACAGATATTAAGAGTGAGTTTAAATTGTTTCAGTGCTTTGATTATGGCCAGTAATTCTTTTTCGCTGGTGGTATAATTGGTTTGTGCATTGTAAACGAAAAAGCTAACACCAATGAGACGTCAAACCCGTCCTAACATCGAACATTTTGTCTCTAACAGACCCTCCTTCGCAGGTTCAGTACATGATTGCATCTACAATTTTTTTGAGCTTTCATTTTGGGAGGCTTGAATATAGCTTTGTTATGTGGACTTTTGTTTGAATTGATTACAAAATTTGACAAAGTTTACTGATTAATGAAGTTTTCATTTTTAAATACATATTGATCGGAATGTTTTGGGTTGAATTGATTATTTTAGTGTAGTTAGAACAGCTTTACGGTATTCAGTAGCTCGGTTATATACCGTGTTATAAGGAATTAGCTAATTGATCATAATTAAAACTACGACTTCTTAATTCACGATCGTTATATGAAACTATCATATTATAACAACATCAATACCATCAACAATTTATTTTGGTATATTTATTCACATTATAATATTTTCTAAAACACTTTAAAATCTTAACTTCTAATCTATTTCTCTAAAACTTGTTCTAATTGATTCAAGATTGGTAAACCTTGTTGATAATTTTCCCATCTATTAACAGCTTCAATAGGTTCAACATCGTCCCAATTGAAATTTTCATTCAAAAAATCATGGAAATTGATAGCTTTACCAGTTCTAAGGCATTCAGTTGACCAAGTTGCTTTATAGGCACCACCAATAGCACATGAATTTGAATTATCAGATCTGAAATTTCCATCTAATGAACCTAAAATTTCACTGAATTTCTTAACAATTGATTTATTACCACTTGCACCACCAACAAAGAACACTTTATGAGGTCTTTGATTTAATGATTTTGCCTCAATGATTTTTTCATCAAACTCTAAATTTTTCAAATCTGGATTCAATTTAGTATCACGAACACTCAACATTGGGCTTGATCTTGCCCTACAACTTAAGGCTTGACTCTCCACAATTGAAGAAACATCGATTTCCACATCCCATTTATCAATGATTTCAATTTTCCCAGTGGAATCGTTAATTTTGGCTCTAATAGTTTGAGCTTTAGCATTTGGAACAATTTCACCAAGAGGGAAATAAATACCCAATTTCTTATCAAAATCAGCAGATTTATCTAATAGTTCATTAAACAAGGACCAATCATTTTTAGGTTTACCAAATTTAGTGTTTAATTCATCACGAACCTTTTCACGGGCCAACGATCCATTGCAATAACAAATCATACCCATATAAGCATCTGGGATTGTTGGATGAATAAATAAATGATAATTTGAAGATGGAATGTAAGCTTTTGTGACTAGTAGGACAGTTGTACTTGTACCCAACGACACCAAGATTTCATCTTGATTTAATGGTAGTGCTAAAATTGTTGCTAAATTATCACCAGTAAAGGAAAATAGCTGACATTTTGGATTGAACCCGTATTTCTCAACATAATATGATGAAATAGAACCAATTGATTCATGGCCAACTTTAACAACATCACCAATCTTGGATTTCAATTCCTCAATTGCTTTTAATCTTTCTGTTTCGTTTGTAAATCCATCATTCTCATGAGTCATTGTACAAATTGCTAATAATTCGTCATCCCATTGTTTCTTTTCAATGTCATATAGGTTCATACCACAACCATCAGCTTCTTCAATTCCAGTTATCTTACCAACTAACAAACTTGCTAAAAAACTTGAAACAAGACTGATTCTAAAAGTTTTATGATAAATATCTTTATGTTCTTTAACAATTTTCCTAATTTGAGGACCTGTGAATCTATAATGAGCTCTTGAACCTGAAATTTTAGCCAGATTTTCAGCACCACCAACATATTTCTCAAAAATTTGAATCTCTTCACCTGTACTATGATCTTGCCAATTTGGTGAAGTTTGCAAAGTAAATGCATTTGGAGAAATTTGATCCATTAATGATGAATTCGGATCCAAATTTGCCAAAATTTGCTCAGCTTCTTTAGACCAATAAACTGAACCATGTTGTTGGCCAGAGCCTGACATACCAATAACTCTATCAAATGGGAACTTGTCATCAGCCATCTGTTTCAAGATTGCATCCCAAGCTTCAATCCACATCTTGACTGGGGCATAGATTTCACCTGTAGCATCGTTTGTATAAACACCTTTGTGAGTCTTGTAATGAGGTAAGTCTTTGGCAAATTCAATCTTGTAAGTTGAATGAAGTGATAGGTTTGAATCTGTAACGAGTAGTTTCAATTGTTGTGTTGATAAATCGAATCCAAAGTATAGGTCTGACATGATTCTATGAGTGATTTTCTGTTTCTCTATAAGTTTATTAGTGAGAGACGTCTATGGATTTGTTCAATTTGGAAGGTTTTGTGATCTTTTTGAAGCGATTCTCGAGATCATGATACTTTTGCTCTTCTACTCCAGAAAGCAAAACCCTCCGCGAATATTTACAAGACGTAATTACTAGAATTGAACAAATTTGAGATTTATGGGGGAATTGTATGGGGGTTTATTCTGTTATTTTAAGGAGATTTGTTTGAATCAGTTTTGGTTGTTTCGAATCGTACGTTTTGTTGTGTTTTTTCAACGTTTTTTTTGTTATGCTTTTGACATCCATACTTTCATTATTATACAATTATCCAAGTTTTGACAGCACTGGATCAAACGATGATAATTGTAACAGCTATCAATAACTCTATACCACTTTCATTAGGCCCAGATTCCTCTTGTTTCATCAATCAGTTGTATAACTGTACCTTCCATACTCCTTAATCTCCTAATTAACAATCGTTGGAGTATACCATTCGATCTTTTGATTATTGTAACCAGGATATGGAGGCACCACAATGGCCAATGTTATTAGAACCGTTATAGCTGAAAACGCTAATAGCGTTCTGATATCTTGAACAGCAAAACCAGCCAAACTTGAAATAACAGCACCCACTATCAACACCTTGTAACTCAATTGTTCTGTGAATTTTTGAGACTTGTAGTCTATTGGTCCATCAAGGACGCTCTTTATGGACTCCACGATATCAGACATTCTTAAGCAACAATGTAATTTGAATGAATTCAATGTCGTTTGGAATGAACTCATGCTTTTTGGTGACACGAAACTTTCAAAAACAATTTCGAGGATTTCGCGAATTGTCACTGGCCACTACTTTTGTTGGAGGCCGCTTATGTCCACAGTCCACAAATACACAAATTGAAATCAGTTAAACTAGAAAGTACAAAAAGTTATGTTCTGGAGGGTTTGATCCAGTTTGGTGCTTTAGCTAGGTAGTAAAGTGTAATCCAAGTGCAATCACTGGTTTCAAGCAGTCGCTCCAGTCCAAATACGAGTGCAATCACCGTATCTAGTTTTGATGTCTTCACAAAACATAGAATGCAAGTGCAATCACTGCTCTTTAGCTATTATCATAGATTTTTTTGCTACATTCAAAAGTGCTACCCAAATTCATCCCATTCATCCCATTCAAATCATAGTTCACGAAGTGATTCCAATACTTGATCTTTCAACATCACAGCCATCTTGTCATTATCCTCTTCACCATTTATTTCTCCATATCTTTTAAAGATAGCCTTCATTCTGTTTTTAGCAGTTTCGGTTGTTATAATATTGTTCATAATGGCTCCATCATGAATCAAATGTGCAAATTGAAGATCCTTTTTAGACAGGTATGATGTTATAAGACTTTCTATTAGAGAAGTTGCAGGTGATATACCAAGTTCATTGACTTTTTTTGAAACATCTTTAATATGGTCATTAAACAAGTTCAAAGATTTTTGAATATCAAAAGAAGAATGGCCTAATATCTGTGCTTGCAATGCCTTATATGGGATAGGTTGTGGAATTAATGCTTCTCCTATCATTAAATGTCTTGAATCGTTGTTCTTCACAGCCAAATAAAAGGAACTTGTGGCCATTGTGGTCATGTACAAATCAACATTTTGTTTGTCAAGTGAAATGAAATCATGATATAATTGAAAAGCAGTTTTGATACCATCTTTACTCATACCATATGATTTAAGTAAAGTTACTCTTAATGGAGTGTATTTTGGTTCAGGGTTTTTGAAAATTCCTGATTCTTCTAAAATATTAGCAAGAGATTGGAAAGTTGAATCTTGATCTGTCTTTTTCGGAACAGTCAAGTCAACTTGTAACTTTGGAAATTGTTCTTGGAGTTGCTTCAAGTAAGAAAATGATTCTTGATGTGAGGAATTGTCTTTTGGGGATGTTGATTCTTTCTTTTCACTTGTTCTCCAAAGCAATTTTTTCCACAAGTCAAGATTATTCTCTATTTCTTCTTTTGATAGTGATGAAGGGCTTGGGTTCCAAATACTCCACAATTGAACAAACTGGTTGGTATTTGGTTCCAAGTTTTTGATTTGCTCAAAAGACTGTAATCCAATCAATTGGATGAGCTGATAATTGTCAGTTTCAAGAGCTCTTGCTAAAACTTTTTCGAGCAAGTCCTGTGAAGGAGCTTTCAAGCATTTCAACAAAAACACGCTTCTTAATAATGCGGATTCATTCATGATATAACCATCCTCTTGTTCACTGGCATCACCATGTACCAGTTTTGACAGCACTGTACTCAACAGTTCTTGGTACTCCTCAGAGCTATCTGGCTCTATGGTGCTCATAGTGGTTTCAAACAACTCCCAAGACGACTTCACTCTACCTGGGTTATATTTAATGATCTCCACCATAGAATCAAGATCTACAACACCTTTCAAGTCAGATAATTCACTTTGATGAACAACCGATAAACTATAATCATACTTGACCAAGTTTTTCAAAACAAAGTTATGGAGTTGAACACGGCTCTCATTTGTGACGTTTGAGTCATTTTTGGCTAAATCAATGATTTCATCCACAATTTCAACTTCTTTACCTGTGATTATATCATTATGATTCAATAAGTTTGAATAAACTGATGGTGGGATATCTTTGGATTCCTTCAACTTTAGCAGCTTTTCTCTCACTGAGATTTCAGTGGAGTAATGTCTTTGACTAAAATTCAATGACCTTATATGGGGTAGCTGTCTCAGCAATTGGCGTTGTTTAAGCATTTTTGACCATTGATCTTTCCCATGAATGTGTCATCGTTGGTGATCCGAATTTTTTTTTTTAGCTTGATCTTGTTCGCGAATTTTCAAGAAGGCCAAATGTAAAGCCAAAATCACTACGAAATGATTCAAAAGTTATCACAATCTTGATATTAGTAAAAAATATATAATTAAAATGTCCCTGAATTGAGAAGAAATAGTCAAATTATTAATTCTAAGTTAAAAAAAAACTGGAAAAAAAATGAATCAAAGGAACAAAACAGAAAGAAATAATAAAACGGTTGAACTCAATTGTAATTTGGAAGCAGCACCTTCAAATTGTTCAACTGATGGACTGGTACTGATAGCAACACTTGGAATAATTGGAGTAGATGTTGATGATTGTTTTTCAATAACAGCTGGGGTAGTGGATGATTCAACTGCTTCAGTAGTGGCTGGTTGCTCTGGAGTTGATGGGTATTGAGTTTCAAAATTAGTATGAGTTTTGGTAATTGTGTAAACTTTATCACCTGAAGTGGTAACATAAGTAGAAACTTCTTCAACTGGAGTAGCTGTTGGAACTGATGATGAGATTGATTTTTCAACAGATGAAATAGTGGCTGGTGTAGAGGTGGATGGTTCAACAGGGGTTTCAGTAGTAGTTAAGACAGTTGAAAATGATGATGAGAATGGAATAACAATTGAGCTTGATGATGATGGTTGGAAGGCATCAATTGAACCTGGGAATGTACTAACTGTTGAAGCAACTTCTGAAGAGGAAGGAATAGCTGGTGATGGAGGAATTGAAGCTTCTGAGGAGACAACAACTGAACTAACAACATTAGAGAATGATGAGCTATAGACAGTTGTTGGAATGGAAACAATTGATGATTCTTCACTAAAGGTTGATGATGACAAAACAGCTTCGCTTGAAGAAGATGAAATGATAATAGATGATGAAGAAGGAATGACAACAACTGATGATGATGATGGAACGATGATGGTGGATGGTGAGGATGAGACAACCGATGAGATAACTGAAGATGAGACAACTGATGAGATAACTGAAGAAGAGACAATTGAGGATGCAATTGTAGAAGAAGCAACTGATGAAGATGATATGACAACAGAAGATGAGGATGATGAAGAAATTTCAAAAGCTGATGAAGAGCTTAAAGAGGAGACTGGAGCATATGAAGTTGTTGAGGAAATTGAGCTTGAAGAAATTGTTGATGATGAGGTTGATGAAGGAACTGAGATTGATGAGGATGAGTATGATGATGATTTGAGAGATGAAGAGGATGAAACAACAATAGCAGAGCTTGATGATGAAACAGTAGTGGATGATGATGAGGATGAGGATGGTTGAATCACACTACTTGAGGATGAAGATGGTGGAGCAATAACACTTGATGAAGCTGAAGAGGATGGTGGAACAATAACACTTGAAGATGAAGATGAGGATGAAACTGCGATTGAGCTTGAAGCACTTGAAGATTTAGTACATAATGAGCATTCAACTGTTGTGGTGACTGTTGATTCAGCTGGAGCCAAAGTGGTAGTACCAAAAGATGAGCTTAAAGTTGAAGAGCTTGAACTTGATGGTTTTGGACCTGGTACATCGATATCAACAGTAATAGTCAAATCACCTGAGGAAAATGGTTCAGTAGTAGTGGTAGTGTATGAATTTGACCAAGTTGAAGTAGTAGTGGTTGTTGTTGTTGGTTTTGCTGAAGTCAAAGAGCTTGAGGAGCTTGAACTTGAAGATTTAACAACACTTGAGCTTGAACTTGAAGGCTTTGGACCTGGGACATCAACATCGACAGTAATAGTCAAGTCACCTGAGGAGAATGGCTCAGTAGTAGTTGTAGCATAAGTATTTGACCAAGTTGAAGTAGTGGTGGTTGTGGTTGAAGGTTTTGGATTTGGAGTCAAAACATAAATAGTACCAGCAGTTGGGGAAGTTTTATCAATGGTGGTTGAAACTGAAGTGGTTGAACCATCATAACCGGAGGTGGTGATGTATAATGGTAAAGCAGTAGCAGTAGCTTGTCTTGTAGCAATGTTGATGTTTTGAACATAATCAGCAGTTGTAGTTTTAGAAGCACTTGGACATTGGACATTATATCTAACTTTATTAGTTAAAGTTAATTTGGTTGTTGTTTGGTATTGGAAAGTGGTGATGAAAATTCTGTAACCAGCTGGTAAGTCCTTATAATTGAGAAGAATCATTGAGGAGAAACAAGTAACACCAAAATCAACTTTTTCATAAGATTTTGGAAACAACCAGTCATTAAGATCATTAGTGATATAAATTTGAGTCAAGTCACAATTGATTTTACCTTCACCTTGGACATTAGCACCAAAATCTAATTGAATGCTACCTGATTGTGAACCTTCTGCACAAGCTGGTAATAAGAAATAATCTTCAACGGAATCATGACCAGTAGTATGAGAAAATGGATAAAGACCATCAGTGTATTCTTGAGCAGCTAAGTTAATGGTTGTAGTTAAATCACCATTCCAAGTGATTGTATTTTGACCAGCTTTGAAAGCATTTGCATGACCAATTTCAACACTTGAAGCACTACCACCAACACCAAAGAAAACAGTGAATTGAATTTCACCACTGATAGAGTGGAAATCAGCACCAATAAGATCATCTTGAATGTTACAACTTAACATTGAAAAATCCAAGTAGTATGAACCAGAATTTTGACGACAAGTGAATAGTGTTTTACCACCTGAAGTTGCACTTAAAGTATCAGAATCACCATCAAATTTGACACGGTAAACATTTGGCATTTTCAAATTAAAAGCTTCATAGTTGGAGTATTGGGAAATGTTTTCAAAGTTGAAACCAACTTTGGCAATCCATGGAGATAGTGGTTTATTATCACCTCTTTGACTTGTAAGTTGGAGAGATGTGAAGATGTGCTTCTGGTCAAGGGCAAGAGCAAATTGCACTATGAAAATTAACGAAAGTAAATAGTGAAACATATTTGTTGTAAAACGAGTGTAATAGTTTATGATTGAAACGAAACAATCACAAAACTTTGGAGATAACTTTGGAACAAACCTGAGTTTATATATTCTTTCAATATCATCATCTTTCCAATTTGAGATTAATTTGTAAAGTCTTTTTTAGCATCATCATGAAACATTGTTTTGGAATTTGGGTTGCGTCAAGAATTTGTTCATGCGAGTGAACAAAATTCATGGTTTGGTAGTTTTTGAGGAGACCTTGAGTAAATGTGTATTATGGTCTTTTGAAGACGCCTTTTTCCATAGTAGGAGCCCCGAAAATTCAAGACCAATTCAAGCAGCACAAACCTTCCATAGCTCTCAAGTCAACATACCATAGCAAATACCTGGATTATTAGACCAGCTAGTGCACCGTTATTGGAAATCAATGATCAACGAACTTTTGAGGCTTGATCTAAACGTTGTTGGTGTTTACATGTCTCGTAAAAGCACCCGTTCACAGGAAACAAGTACGGTTCATTATTTGGCTTCAAAAGGGTAAATAAACTGCCAAATCTGGTCACCAATGGATCCGATTCCCAACTTTTAGCGAGGTCTGCAGTGGAAAGATCTGTTACAAGTTTTTTTCTTTTAGAGTTGTTCCTCGAAAGATGCGATTGAGGGCCATAAAGGGTAAGTCAGAAATTTTTGGTGATGTTGTGTTTACCCGATATCAAATGGCAGTACGGTTTAAGCTTCGAAGCATAGGAAAAACTACTGAATTTGGACCTAAATGGTGACAATTAATGCAATAATTAATCAATTAAATGTACTTATACAATTAGTATTACAACCTAGATCACAAAACAAAGACACTTTATGCCAAAATAGGAAAGGTGTATGAAAAAAATGTAAATAAATATTGAAATGAGTGAATAAATGAAACACAAATAGAAAAAGTGATGGGAAAATAGAAATGCTAATGTAAATTTTAATAATAACCACGTCATATACCATCTCTAACCTCTAAAAATTCCAAGTACCATTTCTTGGTCCATCTACGGGTGTCTTTACCCCAAATAATCATTGGAATGGCCATCATGGAAACACCAAAGTTGATTACAGCCAAGGCAATATATGTGTTTTCAGTTCCTGAAGCATCCAACCAAAGGGAACATGTAAATGTAAAGATGCAACTGACAGTGTTGTTGATGATTGCAACACACACCATTGATTCTAAAACTAATTCTGAAGCTTCCATAACATAACCCAAGGCAATATCACCAGCTGAACCATAAGCAAAACCAATAAAACCTAAACCAACATACATCATTGGACGAGGCAAGTTACGCGCAGCACCGATACCAAACATCAATAAACCAGCCGATCCGAAAAATGCAGCTAAAAAGATGAAATATAATCTAAATTCAGCTTCCACAACACCTTTATTACGACGAGCCATCCATAACACAATGTAGTCACTAATAGTACCGGCATAGATACAACCAATAACAGCACCAATAAGACATGGAATATTCATCAATGCAACACCAGCATTTGAGTAATTGTATGGTTCATCATAGAAAAAAGTATCTTCAGTAGTTAAATAGAATGAAAGAAACACATTTTGCATACCCCAAAACATACCTGATAAAAGAATACCTGGGAAGCAAAACATTTTCAAATTGATCTTGATATGTTCCAAATATTGTTTGAAACCCCAACCTTTCAAGTTGTAAGCTGGTGTGATCAATGCCATTCTTTTCCAATAACCATTCATTTGTTCTTTTGAACCATCAATTAATTCTTCGGTGATTTCGTCATCCTTGACGGGTTTTGTATGTGTTGTTACATTTTCTTGTTGCTTATGATCACCATCCATTGTCTTTTCATCTCCAGATAAGTTTTCCTCGGTATGTTCACTTGAGTTCAAAGTAGTACCGTTATCTAATCCATTGATTGATTGTTTTGAAGATAATGGTGTAATGTATCTATTTCTTTCGAAATAAGTTTCTTCTGTTGCAAAAAATAAAACGAGTAATAAAGCCCCTGATATGATTGCACCACTCCAGCCAACCCATCTAAAACTAGTTCTATTAGCAATGAATCCACCGATTAAAGGAGCGAGATAAGTACCGACAGAGGTACTCAAAATATAACCAGTTAAAATTGAACCCAATTGATGTTGGAAATAAATATCAGTCAAGGATAATTGCACAGCAGCTTCAGCACAAGATTCACTAATACCAACAAATAATTGTGACCAGATTGTGTCAGAAGTTTTTTTAGCAAACCCAAACCAAATAGCACCAATTAAACCTAAACCAATTGAAATAATATAAGGTAATTTTCTACCATAGAGATAAGATAAAGGTGCTAGAAACAAAGTACCATATCCAATACCTAAGAATAAAACACCAGCACCAGTATTCATGGAATCATAACTAATACCATAAATTTTATTTAAAGAATCTTGAGTAGAACCTGCATCATTTGAAGTTGCTGCAGTGAAAGCAGTTATAAAAGCCATAATTAGGAAATGAGCATGCTTTCTTTTTTTACTCCAATTTAATGGATCATTTGGAGAATCTGAAGGTTGAGGAATTAAAATAATATCACCATCTTTTTTCAATTTTGATTTATATAAAACTCCGTTTTCTAAATTTAGTGATGAATAGATGTTGTAAGTTCCAGGAACAAAATCTGGATGGTGCTTATTGGTGTATTGATCCATTTATGACTGTCAGTTTGAGTGCATAGGAGGCAAAGAGTCGATGGGTTTTGAAAACAAAAGAATGAATAGAAAGGTCTAAAGAAAACTGGTTGTAAAGTAATTCACGTTATCTATAAATTTTTTCAATGTTGTTGATGAATTTTTTTTCCTTTTTTTTTTTTGTCTGTGCTGCTTTTTCACGGATTTTTTCCTGATTGGGCATTTGCTCAGAAGACAGAACTTGGCTTTGTATGAGACTCAAAGTTGAGATCTGGACTAATTTGATCTTGAGGATAAGTGATTTGATTGGATTAATTTGTCACCTTTTTTAAAGCTGTTCGTTACCGTTTTTTCTTTGAATTTGGAACTCATCGGTCTCGAGATCCAACGGTCGTACGTGCCGAGACTTCGCGAAGATTTGACATAAACAATTGTACTCATACAAAAAATCATACAAGTAATAACAGATTATAATAAATCACATTCATGCGTCTCATATATTCATCTCTCCTTTATGGCAAGTTGCCTGTGAAATCCCTGATAAAATTGGGCTTCTTCAGACTTCGAAGCTCTAATCTTAGTTCTTGTGAATCATTCTTCAGATGATGGAAATCCAAGGCAGTTATATGATCAAAAATCTTATCCAAATCATTATGAATTCTCCATTCCTCTTTAACTATATCTAACAATTCTTTTGAATATAATTTTTCAATATATGTCTTGTGGCTATTATGTGTATACTTGATGTTTAAAGTTTTCCCATAGATATCATAACTAACATACATATTTGAATTACAATTTTCAGTCTTCATCTTTCTGTTGTTAATTGATGCTGGTGATGATGGTTGTTGTTGTTGTTGTTGTGACTGATCAATGAATGCACCTGGAGAGTCAGATGAACCATCAGTATTGTTGTTATTAATGTTATTCCCAGATCTTTGTGTCGTTTTGACATCTTGTTTACATTTGTATAGAACTTTAATAGCTTTTGGAAATGGTTTTGCTGATAAATTACTGCTACCTTTAGAGAATTTGAATCCAGAAGCAATGATCACGGGATTGATGAAATTATTTGTTAAAGCTTCCAAGATATCATAAAGATTAGTTGGTTCTTTTTTGGTTTCATTTGAATTATTTTGATCATAAATTTCAAAATTTGGTATAATTCCATCATCATTTTCAAATTTTTTTAAAAAAATTAAATTTTTAACATCTGAAAATCTCCCATTATGAATTAAGTTTAAATATTCATTGAAATCATTGCAAACGTTGGATTCTAAAGGATTATCAACACAATTACCACAAAGCTTATAGCGACCGTTATCATTTACATCGCGTAAAACACCGCAATAAAGACAATAATCTGCATTAGGATCCTTATTTGCTGTACTATCAATTAACTTATTAGCATTTTGTAGAGCTCTTTCAAGCACTTTAGCATCATTAAAATCCTTAGATTTATCATCTTGTGAAGCAGCATCAGTTCCTTCAGCTGCTAAATTACCAACCCCACCACCTCTTTCTTTTTTTTGATTGTCAGCAACATTTGGATGCTTCTCATCATCATTTTTTGGTGGGAGTTCTTGATCATTACCTGATTGACCTTCTCTTAATAAACTTTCATCGATTGGAATGTCCTTGTCTTCTTGTCTTGATTGTTGTTGTTGTTCAGGTTGTTGTTGAACTTCCTGATGCTGAGGAGTTTGACGTTCATAAGTTTGTTGTTGGGATTGCAATGAGGCTTGGTTTGCAATGTTGATGATTTTCTCATTCAATGAATCTTGAGCACTCAATTGAGCAGCAACAGCAGCATTCCCAGCACTTGTACCAGCAGAGGCGGTGGCGTCTGTACCACGAGAGGAGCCATGAGCAGCACCACCAGTAGCATTACCAGCAGATCCAGAGGAATTGGCCTCAGCAGCAGCAGCAGCATCACCACCACCAGCATTCAACTTGTTGAGCTTCTTCATTCTCTTCTTCTTTCTTTCAATCTCCCTGCATGGCTTACAAGTTCTAAACTTCAAGGTAGCCTCTGTCTCATCAGGGGATCTCTTCTTCTTACAACGACGACACACGTTTGGAGCAGTGGACATCTTTGTCAATTGGATTGTACTGTCTAGAGGCTTCGCGAAAGACGGTGCTGTTGTAAACAAACAATTCGTGATTTAAGGGGTGTCGCTATAAAACAGTTTCGTGAAGAAAAAAGGAGCGAAAACATTTTCACGAATTTTCATTTTCAACGTTTTCAGGAGGCCGGGCAACTGATGTATTTCTGGATTATGTAAGATATTATCACGTGATGTTTACTTTTCGTTTCGGACTTTGTTTTATACAAGATGCTCTCTGTGTAAATAATGGTATCGTTTCCTCGATAGCATGGGAATACAGAGTACTCATTATTTTATCCATAACCAGTGAATTGTGATTCTTGATCAATATAATCGTTTGCAAATTAATCTCGGATATTTACGGGATTTTTATAAAGGTCACGTGACATGGCGCGTTTTTTTT